ACAGCATTGTGTTAAAAATTTAAAAAAAATGAAAATATTGTAATACTGCATTTTTAAATCATTTAACATAATATTGGTACTTCAGATTTTTTTTAAATTTTAATCAAAAATGAACAACTGACAGGTGTCACATGTTCTGTAAATAGTTTAATCATAGGAACTAGATCATAAGTAAAAATAGTACAAAAGATTGCATTTTGATGCATTTCATTCATATAACTATTTTAGCGTCTCAAGTAACAACAATTTTAAAAGTTATAAATACTACTTTGAATTTATTTGAGATTATAGAAAATTTTACTGATAAATATATTACTTCGCAATCTCATATTGTCTAATACTTTTCATTACCTAAAGTCTATACAGAAAGATTATTTGTCTTCACTGCAGATATGATTCACTGACGTCGTGTGTGAGCATATACCGAGCTAGATTGAATCAGATAAAAATGGATCTCTGCTTACAGAATTTGAGTGGAATCATTTGCATAACTTTGTATTATGTAATAAAATCGAAAAAAGTGATATGCAAATACTAACACATTTAAGTAGAGCTTTGTTCAAACGAGTAGGGAAATGTTACAGACTTTGTTCAGAAAAAAAGAATATGTGAGTGAGCCTACTTTGAAACGATCTCATTTTATCATTACAAAATATTAGCTACATTACATTGTGTTAAGTAATATTCAAACATACATCAATATGTACCTGTTACTTGATAAAAACATAGATCAGATAAACACTTTTGAATTTCTGCCCTTTTTTTTAAAAAAAATGGTTTTTTTTATAATGTAAAGAATTTCAAAAATCTATTAAACTAGTTAGTAATTTAATATTTGTATCTCAGATACATTAACACATTAAATTTAGTTATCCAAATAATTGAATCACTTCTTTAATAGATGCATTGAGGCATTCACAATGTAAGGAAATGAGGTTTACAAGATTATTATTTGTACAGAAGTTGTTAGGATGTGTACTTCTATTTATTTAAGGTATTATCAAACTGGTAGATAATCTTCTTAACTTTGTAAAAAATGGTTTCTCTCGGTATTCTTTACTTTACGCATAATTATACAATTCAAGTAAATCTGGAACAAGTAGTTTAATTGTAATATTTATATAGATGGAAAAAGTGGTCGGAATGTTTACACATAAACCTATCCACAATGATTAGTTGATAAACAAATTTCCAAACAATAATTTCACCAAGTTATCATTATGTACTGTTTAGGTGTTAGCATCTCAATGCTTGATATACAAGCTCTCATTCTCTAATAGGATATTAACACCTAATTTTTCACATTCGAAAACACAATTAACTAACTATTAACACATTTTTCTGATTTTATTTTTGAATTTACTTCTTACCACCTTTGTGATTTCTAAATTACTTCAGCTTCTTTATATTTGTCAAGTAGCCTCGATTATTTTTTGTTATCTTCGTTTAATGTTGTTGCGTTAACCTTTCGATCGTTACTCAACTTCGTTTTTTACTAAATTTAAGTTATACAAATACTTTATGAAATAATTCATTCTATAGTTTTAATCGATTAACTTAATTGGTAAGTCACCATGAATCTGATTTGTAGCTTCAATATATATATATATATATATATATATATATATATATATATATATATATATATATATGAGAAAATCTTCTTTGTTGAATTGTATTCGATGTTTTTCTGTGCACCACGGTTAATAATTTATGATACATATTTCTTTTATCTAACATGATTAGTCTTGTAAATGTCTAACCATATTGCCAAGTGACGGTTGGACATCTTGTACAAAAATAGTTTTGGAACATCACTATACTGTTGCATGAAAATAAGTATAAATGAAGTAAAACTCAGAAGATTCAGTAGACTATCGTATTATAATTATTATTATTACGTGGTGAACACTATATGTTTATATCCTTTTCAATACATGTTTAAGCAGTAATAGTTGATAGCTAATTTAATCGATAATACATTTATAATTTATGAGTTATTTTATTATTATACACAATTCCAATACTGTTTACATATTACTAAATTTAGCATAAAATTCTCATTATAAGTTGTAGTGATAAATAAACTAATGGAAGACTGTATATGCAAGATAAACAGTGTTTAAATATGCAATACGAAAATTACAAATATGTAGTTCAAAGCTAAATCTATGAAATTCCAAATATCATTGCTATCATTATTGTTATACTAAGGACTCCCTTGATAAAGTAGTCCTTTATATAAAAAAATATGATTTTATTGCCATTGAAGGTCATTCAAATTCAGATCGATAACTAAACAATGAAATGATCATTCCATAAGCTCTGTCAATACTGATTACATTTGTTTTAAATATTATTTTAATTGGATTCAAACAAAAAGTAAACTTAATTTCAACAAATTCATTACATATAAGTCACAACTTGTAAATACCTACTCATCATTAATTAATAATAGGTTACTACATCCACAAAATTTAACTACCAAACAAACATCTAGCACCATATACATTAAACTAAATCTATGTCTGTTTATTAATCAGGTTTGGATTCTTCAAATGTTATGGATATTTAATTTCTTTCTTTTATTTTTAACATTATTGATTTATTATCAAAATAATTCTGATAAATAACTAATTGTAAGAAAGGATATATATTTGAATTATGGGATTCATTCATTTAATTATGACAGTGATAATCCGGTTCAAGTTAATATTTGTGAGTAATTTATCAAATCGTCAATTATATATTAATAAACAAAAATTCTTTTGACGAAATCTTCAAACTTTTGTCATAAGATATATTTACTATTTGATGAGTTGTACAAATAATTCATTCTGCACCTGAATCGTGTGTTATGGTTTCACTGAAACAAACAAAACACAACTAGAAACATAATATTAAAGTTCTTAATCCTATTGTGTCATATTTATGTGAGATATTCAAGTATAGTAAAATTGTCATCGATATGTAAAGTATTGTGGGTAAGAAATAATTATCAAGAATACAAGCACACAAAATTTTGAAATTCTAAAGAAGATTTTTAGCTTTGGTGAATGATTTCAACGGAATTTTATTCCCTAAACCAGCTGATTTAAATTATTCAGCAACTCAGCTTTGAGAATGAAAATTTCATCTAGAGCATTAACTTTTAACCGTCCTTGATGACCAGAAGATGATTTGTTGTGCTATGGTTTCAAATTATTGGTTGTTCAATTAAAAGGTTTTTTAATGATTGGCCTACTTGGTTAGATATTTTTGAGTAACTACACTTAAAATAGTAATAAGATTATTAGATATTTTCTTATATTTTTACTCTGTGTACTATTAATTAAGGTTATCCTATGATTGTATTAACAGAAACCTTCATCTTAATTGATAGCTAATATAAAGAGAAAGATATCTTTTGTTTGATACCATTCATAATGAAATCGCTTTAGTGAGTGAACGTTGATTGTTAGATATACTACATATATATCACATTGGTTTTCAATATAAATAACAAACTAGTTTCATGTAAGCAAATTTTTTAATCAGTGATTTAACCACATTATACAATAATCATAGGAAATAGATCACATGACCTAACCTGATTTATCACAGGTTAAATTAATTCCATTCCATGTTGAACAGAAATAAACGAAATAATTAACGTGGCGTTATCTATTGTTATGAAAATTATAGGGAATTGTATTCCAAATTAGTGGTCTAAACAAATAGTTCTGGGTTCAAGAAATGCGCATCACAAGTTCAGTCCCAAATTGAGTTGTAAATCCTTTTGTTGAAGGACCCGAATATAAGACAAAACGACCAACCAGTGATCTCTACATCTCATCGATCTCTTAGCTTGTATCATTCTGTTATAGTGAATAATTTGAAGTTAAGATAGTGTTGATCACCATATTAAAGACACAAATTGGATTTTTGATCATAAATAATTGGTCTACATAAGCGCTGTTTTGTTTCATTTTTTATCAAAGGAATTTCGAAATAGTTATGACTAACATAGATGACTATAGAGATGATGTTTATTTGATTAAACACAAATACTATTGCAAATACATTAACTTGAATCACTGTCGACATTTTATGACGTGTACAATGGAAATGATTGACCTTTTGAAAACTGAGTTTGAAATTAAAAATTTAAAAAAAATGGATTACATGTATGGTTCGTGGTATGATTTGAAATAACTGAACTTATAATTTTAATAATTTATTAAATTATGTGAAAAAAAAACGTACAGAAATAAAATGTTTTCTATTCAATGTAACATTGTTTATGGAAAAATTACAATTTGTGGAGATGATTTTATTTTCTGTTTCAGGTCACAAGATAATTTTATAAAATCAGTGAAAAATACGAAGTTCCGAAAAGGTGTTTCACTGTAGTATGGGACACGTCAACAGTAGCCAACTACTACCACCTCATAGATTTAACTCAAAACTTTCAAGTCTCATGGTTAGCGTTTAACTTTTAGATCACTGATTTAGAATCCACTGGTTTAAGTATCTAACCCCAATTAACTTGCGATATAGTCGGCTTACTGATTTAAAGGATAGGCGCTTAACTAGAGACCTGAATAGTCAAAGTTCAGTCTTAAAGTGGGACTGTGGATGCATAACCCTAAAAAACACTACACTGAGACGAAACACCTGTTCAGGGATCTATGGTTCTCTACTAACTGGGGTCATGCAGATTATGTAAATTATAAAATTAATTAATAGTTTATTTTCATCTGTAATAAGCATATAGTATCATGAAACAATAATAACGATAATAGCAACATTAGAAGTTAATAATAGAAAGAGAAACTGGTAAATTTTACCAACTCAATAACTGTTCATTTTCTTAACTAATAAGAAAAATATACAGATCATTACTGAATTGATTGACGATATACTTCAGTAAGTGTTTAGATGAGAAAAGGTTAGGTGAAAAATATCACAAACCAGTTACTATTATAATGTTTATAATGTTTTATTTGATGAATTATTAGAGAGAAGTGAAGACTTTGTCCGCTTCATGGAAACCAAAAGCGTTATTCAATGAAGAAAAAGAAAGAGAACGTGAAGAAGAAGAAGATGATGATGATGAAGAGGAAAAAAGTAAACAGGCAATTAATCGAAAAAAACGAAGAGTTTCCATGGTAAGTAAAATGACAATTATGATAGTTTGTAGAAGTCAATGACAATAGATTTTTCATTATTAATAGATAGACTATTATTCAACGAAATGTTGTTGTTGTAAACAGTTTAGAATGATTATCATTTAAACAACAATTAAATTTTTTCATAATTCTTTCATCAATAATAAGAATAATAATTTTATTCGTGTATAAATTTCTAACTAAAATATTGAATAGTCATTAGCGCCAATGGAGATAAGAACAATGAGATTCTATTGAATATGAGAAACTAATCAAGAAATTTATAATTCGTAGTGAAATTCTATTGCTGAATAAAATGTAGAAATTCATTTCGCAATATAATACAGTCTTGTAGCAAGTTCTATTTAACATTTAAATGTCACATAATTATCATGGTTTTAGATGTCTTTTTAAATAAAACATAGTTACATTGAATGCAATTATGTTCTTATAGTTAATAGTGCAGATAAATATTTTATTGTTGACGATGATAGTATGTAGTATATTCATAATGAGAATATTTACAAATAAGTGTTTGCAATTTTTCAGTGATTATTATTATACAAGATATCGTTAACATATATATCACTCAATAATAACATATAAGTATGTGTCCTAATCACCAATACTTCAACATTACCTCATTGTGAAACTTTAAACTATTGAAAAGGAAAAACAAACGATATTTAAAGCTTAAAATGAAATCGTGATTTATTTCGTATCTTATTTTCGAAATTTCATGATTCAACTCTATGAATTTTTAGCAGACATGTGATACAAACTTGTTCGTCATTAATGGATCATAGGATTCAAATTATAATGATGAAATGCAAAAAACTGTTATTTTCTTCTCTGTATAAATTAGAATATCAGAATAAAATAAATCTTGTCTAATAAAATCTACATTTGTGTATATTCACAAAGAAGTGACAATCAGTGATTAATAATTATTATCGAAAACTTAACAAATAAAGAGAAATATGATTATTTTTACATCTTAGTTACTATAATTTTTCAAAGTATTAAAATAATTTAAATGAATGATATACAGAACCATTTTTGAATGATCACATAAATCAATGTGAATTTTGATTTCTAAGGACTTGAATCGTACGATTGTTGATATTTTGACTGACATTTATACATCCTGTTGATAGTGTCTTAAGTGAACCATTATTGCACAAGTTTACATTGAATAGATAATTAGAATGAAACGTCCATCCTGTATTCTACACGTATTTATCTAATCAATGAAAATCAAAATGAATTTTTTATTCAATTTGTGTTAATATTAGCGAGTTTATTAGTGAAGTGTGATTTTTAGAAAGAAATAAAAGTTTATTCTTATTCAGTTCTGACTGTAAAACATTCTCCAGATTCAGGGCAAACAAAAGAAATTCTATTAACTCTCATTTCGTTTAAGTTCACTGATTCAAGTCAACTGATATAATGGAAGTTAATTACGATTATAAGAAATAAGTATCCGTGTCTATGCTTGACGAAAGATTCCTCTTGATGAGTTCCGAGGTGTTTGGCAAATCCCTGCACTAACAAGATCATTTTAATATAAGAAAACTTTATTTTGAAGATGTTTAAAATTTTAGAATGATTAAGGAAATCTAATAAAACTTTTATTCTAAAGGTAAAATTCTACACAAAAATGTAAAATAAAACTATTGGTTACCTTTTGACAGATATAACATACTTCAACTAAATGACTAATGCTGTTGTAAATATGAACCGTCGGAATCGAATTGTTTTAATGAGTGATGTATGAAGGAAATTTACTTACTGTCATTGAAACATTGTTCAAAAATTATGTTGTTGTATGCGGATAATGATGTGAAAAAATCGCTAAAATTTCGAAAAACATCCATCATATAATCTGTCTGAAACGAAAAACAAGTGAACGAAAGTTTAGATCACGAACTGATTTTAGTTGATCAACTAACGAGAACCAGGAAGCAGATGACATCCATTTTCTCATTATGTCGGACTCCTCAAAGGTAGATATCCAAGATCTTATAAGGAATCAAAAGGATGACATGAGTTTTGTGGTGAGCGCTTAACCCTTAAACCACTCAGCTGAAATCAAATGGTCTGTCTTTAGTTTCAGTTGTTTAAAATTTTGTACAACTATTTCGCATTGGCTGCAACGACTGAAAACATGTTTATTGATCACTGTGTGGGCTGGTTTAACATAGGGCAGTTCAAGACAAAAACTACAAATGTCAACAACTTTTCATAAGCTTCCTATAGTAATTAGTAATGATTTTTTCACTAGTGGATGAATTCTAAGGTTAATTTCAGAAGTTCTAGTGCGAAGCTGTGTCCCGTGAATTTTAGTCAAGTCGAGTCTGAGACAGCTACCTATCAGTGACACTGGGAGATGGTTGTGTAAAATAATCGATTTCGGCTGAGTAATTTATAGGTTAAGCGCTCGCCACAATGCTCAGGCCTTCCGTCAAATCCCTCATGTGATCGTGGATATACCCTACTGAGGAGTCCTACATTATAACGAAAGAGCTTTCAAATGCTTTTTGATTCTCAATAGCTGTTCAAGTAAGATCAGTCTGTGATATCAACCACAAAATTTCAATCTCTTACATCCCTTGTAGTTAATTAATTACTTTCACTTTTGGGATAAAAAATGGAAAGGTGTTGTGCAGCAATTTGAGTTGTCAAGTTTCAAACACTTTCGAATCATTGATAAACTAAGTTGCTTGCTTCAGTAATAAATTTAAATCAAAATGTGCATACTGTTCCCAATATTTCTTTTCTAATTTTAATCATTTGAAACAGTTCCATTATTGTTTATCATTGTTGCATACATAAGTTACTGATGTTTTATTTTTACTAACGTAGAAAGAACTTTTCACAGTTATCACCTTTACAGAAGTTAATGAAATTTTATAAGTCTAACAGTAACCAAACTTGTGTACTGTTAAAAATGCAATAATTCTATTAGTATCCGTTTGATTTACTTTGGTTAATTAATAATTATAACCAATTATATAAGATAAATACTAGTTTTATGGGTCATCCCATATACGTTTTGGGACCGTAACTGGTTAGTCTCTTTTGGAGTATGTACATACTGTGTGAATCGCCTCAGTATTTCCATCGATTCAAAAGTATTATATGTAGAGATGCATAGTGGTCAGCTGTGGGATCCAGGGTGCTTACAAGATGCGAATATTCCAAAAAAAGAGAACAATTATTTTCAGTCCCAAAATATCAATGAGAAGACTCAAAACAACCTATATATGAATCGAGCATCGGCTCCATTGCACAAGTAAGGTGCCATCAGGACTCAGTAGCTAAGCGGATAAATCGATGTTGTTTCATGCACACAGTACTAGCTCTGAGTCCCAGAGTGAATTTCAACTACGGGATGTGCGTACATTCAGCTGAAGTCTCAGTTAGGCCGATCGTAAGTTCTGTATCCCAGTGTTTGCCACCATCCATCTCTGATAACAAATATATGGGAGCACAATTACCTCTAATCAGATTAAATTCAAAGTTCTTTCTTGTTCAACTTAAATAAATAAAAGAAATTCGGCAATGATATATACTCTTCCATGGTTTTTAAGTTGAACATTTAACAGTGGTCAATTTTAGTATGAACAAGTCATTTTTCCGTGTTTGTTTACTCTCTGCGCTTGCTGCACATTGATCGTATTTTTATGATGTGACATTTTTATTACTTTTAGTACGAAAAAGGATATGGTAAACTTTCATCTTACAAAATATATGAAAAGTTAGGAGAAGTGAGTCAATGATAGTTTATATTTCGTTTTCCATTTATTGAGTCTACACTTCATGTAAAATAACATATTAACCCGGTGACAATATTTTAACTTATCGTCATTTCGATGCTAATAAGGAACCTTCATGATCTGTCATCACCAATTGTCAGCAAGTTTTTGTTCTAACTCCTTACATAGTGGTACTTTAAAAGTGCAAATATTATGTAAATCCACCTCTTTTAATGCTTGGATTCGAAAATCCTACAGTTATCATATAACTAGCCTGAAATAGCTAGTGTCAAAGTGTTTAGCTTTAAACTCAGTTATTTTTTGTGATATATACAACCAATGGTTATTGTCAATATTTATTCCAGTGGTAATAAATGGATATGAAGGAAATTTGTTTTGCAACAATAAATCATGTCTATTCATAAAATATTTTCATAACACCAATCTGATTACTGTTTCCGCTGGTATTTAGTATTTAGTACTAACATCATAACTGTGTTATGTGTTCTTAAAGTCAATTCCAACAGACCCAATACACATATAATACCATCTAACTCGAATAATGTAACGACCACCCTAAATGTTTCTATACTGTTATGTAAAAAGCTCATGATAAAATTGAAAGTTAAAATACTTTACCAAATACCACAATTGAAACCATAGGATCCACACAAAGAAAACCCATTAAATATTTTATCTATGTAATGAAAACATATTTTGTTTAAATGTTGATCAAATTTTTATTATTATGAAAAAAAATTCATTTTAAGGGAACATATGCAACTGTTTACAAGGGATACAGTTTAGTATCTAAACAATTGGTGGCATTAAAACGAATACGTATGAGAAAATCTGAAGGTGCACCATGTACAGCCATACGTGAAATCAGTCTTCTTCGTGGATTGAATCATGTAAATATAGTGAAATTGCATGATGTTATCTATGAGAATGGTTCATTGACATTAGTATTTGAATATGGGGTAGGTTATTTTCTGTGTTGCCTTGTTTTTTCTCTTTTCTCTATTCACTGTTAATGATAATAAACATTAGAATTAAATAGTTTTCATTTGTCATATATAATTTCTTGTATCATTGTTAATTTTGATTTGTTGCGTAAATGTTGTGTGATAATATACCAACTAGCGAATACTTTTTATTGTCGATAAGTGTTTTTTCACGTTAAAATCTGAGGTAATTTAAAATATGGGCTGATATTGCAGTTTTACTAGTGAATAATTATTAATACAAGAATACCATTCTAATGTTTGGTTGCTATATTTATTGTCATCGTATGTGTTATTTGTTTCCTCATTATTAGTGAATAACCTATTTTATTGTCAATAATTGAGTAGTAGACTAAAACATAATAAAGATTTGATTGAAAATGTTATTACTCACTCAAGCTTAAGTATCGATTTCGTGCATACTTTTACTATAGTTGTGACGTTTTAAAATATCACCTATAATATTTCCGTGCAAATACAACTTCTGCCTTGATTAAGTTCGTTAGTGATGAACCATACCATTTTCACTTCAGTAGCATTATTTTGATGCTGTATTCAAACGTTCAAACTTCATTATACATTAAACGATTAAATTTAAGTAAAGTTTACTCGAAAAATTAGTATAATATTTTTGATAACTTCCTATTTAAATAGACATATAAGTTGGATGGTATTTAGCATAAAGTCTACATAACTCTGTGACAAGACTACACAAATGTGATCACTGTTTTTATGACCATAGTTTATGACTGCACTAGAATTTACAAAGTAATTTGTTATATTTGACCTCTTCGTTACTGAATATTTTAATCAGATTATTGTATTGCTATATAAATACCATTGAAACAAATATTCTGACGAAAAGAAGGCACAATTTAAATTTTTCGATTCCGTAAAATTATATAAATATATAGTAGATAATGAGTAAGTCTAAAGCTAAGAGGATTAATCTTTTTTGTAATAAACTAAGATAACAACAGAAAAAAATGCAACTTTATTCTGTATATATATATATATATATATATATATATATATATATATATGCATAAGTATATTCTACGCGGTTGAGCTGTGTATGATGAATTATTTTTACTTTCTACAAATTGACTAATTCAATAAAAATAAAAACAAAACAATACACACATGAATCATTTGTTTTTTACAATTTCTAGATATAACATATGATAGATGTATATATAATGATACATTTTGTAATATAACATGCTGTTATAGTAACCATCTTCAGACGGTTTGTGAATGTGCACATTAATAATGCCTTGGTAAAGTAATTCAAGTCAAGAAAATTATTATTCTCAAGTATTTACACTACAGTAATTAATACACATTATTTCAAACGAACTCAGTTATAGTTTCATTGAATTTTAGCATGAATTTAGTAATTAGCTGATAAAATATCTATTCTGACTTTATATGATTTCAAATAATTTCTTTTTCTTTTTCGGTTTATTTTATCTATATGATTAAAGGGTTTTCTCCTTTTTTTTTCTAAAAGAAATCATTTATCTCTACCGATAAGTAATAAGTATTATCATATGAGTCTGGAATCGAATCACTTTTATCTTGTAAAAATCAATCTTGTATATATATATATCAGCTAATAAATTAGTTAGTTTGCAAAAAATACACTCACCTAAATTTTGACGTCAGTAACAAGGCACTAGATTTTAATTTATCTTGTCAAGAACGCAAAAAAAAATATTTTAAGTGTTTAATTCATGATCATGAAAATAATTGCTCAAACGAAAAATGATGACAACACTGATTTTGTCATTATTTTCCAACTAAGTACGCATGATTTATATGGTATAACTGAGTGTTAACATTTACTATAACTGCCTATCACTATGTCAAGTTGGTTGAATAAAGTTGTAATTAGCCATTTATAAGTGTTATGTAAAACTCATTTAATAATGTCGAATATAATGCTGTATCAAATTCATTTCACAATATTTTTCATCGCATTCTATGTTTGTTTTTTTTGAACATTTTTTCCAGGGAAGTGATCTTAAAAAATACATGAGAATGCACAATAATCGTTTACCTATGAATTTAGTCAGATTATTTACTTTTCAAATATTTCGAGGCCTTGAATATTGTCATGCAAGACAAATATTACATCGGGATTTAAAACCTCAAAATTTATTAATTAGTGAAACTGGAGATTTGAAATTGGCTGATTTCGGTAAGAACAAATTAACTGGATTCTAAACTTTGTTATAAGAATTACTTTCTCATTGAATACTTTCCACCACAATTTATTTATCAACATTCACCAAGAAAAGTTGTGGTTACTTTTGAATTCTTATGAAAATGACTTGAAATATTCACCACAGACGTTGTAAAAACGCCTTTTATTGGATAATTTTTAACAAATGAAATACAGTAAAGTAAATAGCTATGTGAAATGCTCGTCAGTTGATATGATTGAAACTATTACGAGTTCACGTTACTCGGTAAACGGAGAGAAGATGCAGTGACACGATAGGCTATTCCAATCTTTTTCTCCCCGGACCGGCTAACTATAACAAGAAGTCTTGATAAGGCGTAGAAAGTATATTCTACAAGCACCCAGAATTTAGAGATTCCGAAACACAAATTGAGACGATTTATTCATGATACAAACACCCTTGGGAGAGCCACAGAAACAGCGTACTAAAATAATCCATCAACCCATAACAGTCAAGGAATTTCCGAGAAGGAAATGTAATCTCAAGGTCAACTAGGCAGCTTATGCACGAAAACATAAAAAATCCAAAATTACCTTTTCCAAGTGAATTCTAAGGGATCTAACGTCTCCAACACTACGGTTTTCCTCATGTTACTTTAAGAACAGGGATGTCAGATAGTTGATAAATCAAATGGAATTCACTGGTGCATAATATCTGAATAATTAACCCACTCCGATTAGATTCGACTTCAAATTCATTATGTTTAGTGCAAATAGCGATACCTGTATAGAAGTTCTGTTTTAATAAGTTAGTGTACACTTGCATAAGTGAAGAGTGTACTTTATTTAGGACCAACAGTTTCATTAGATATAACTTCGATATAGTGGGTGCTTTAAAAATTGTGAACTATGAATACCTTAAAATAAATCACATTATTTATATATAAATATATATATATATATCTTAGTTTTACTAGAGTAACAAGGTGTTTATGGCCTTTATTTGTGCTGATTTCCTGATAGAATATATATTGTATATTACGCTTCAGCTTGTATGATCACAACTTCCAAGTTCAAGTGATACAGTTCTCGACATCAAAAAATTCTAATCAAAGTGATAAGTGTATAAATGCATATATTTTTATTTTATATTGTTGAATGTAATTTTTCAATCTGTAAATCTCACTGGTTTTTCTATGATCTTTAAAGGAATACTGCTTGTACACATTAAGATACATATATTTTTTTTGATAAGACTTTTCAGATGGTCAAGAAAGTTGTTTACAATCTATAGCATATTTTTACACAGTCCATGATATCGTCAGGATTTGTTTGAATCACAATAATGCGGATTGTTTGTTATGGATTATACAGATACACAAAAACCATTCCTTAGTTTTTATCTACCAAATTTGTTGTGCATTTTTATTTGATCATAAAAGGCGAAATAATATTTCACTTGTATTGATACTGTTTATACTAATGATGCTATGATGTATACACTGATATTCAGACTTTCGGCCAATTAAAAGTTTTAATTATAGATATATTTCTACTTAAAGGAACTGAAAAATCTTCATTATAGTATTACTTTGCGTAAACTTGTAAGAAAAATCTTTTTAATACATTTACCAGTTTGGAATCTACTCTTAGAAATATAGTGACTATTATAATAACTATCCAATAAGCTATCCCAACTATGAACGAAATCTTCTGCTCATTAGCATTAAGTCGCTTGGTGAAGTTTGTTTGTAGGAAGCGTTTTCGTTTTTGAGTTGACGTTTTCTATTTTTTATTTTTGATAATAAATGAGTTTTTGGAACTAGTAAATGTTGCATCCTCTAAATGATACTTTTTTTCAAGTTCCTGTCAGTTTTATTTATTCAGTTTCGATTAACGTGTTAAGACTTACATTTAAATAAAACCCATGAACACTCTTGTTTGTAAGACATTGATTGGTGATATCAGATTTACTGCCTAACAGGGTTTTTTATATCTGAAACCTTGTTCCACTGTACACTTATTCACGTTTGATGAAATATTGAGATAACTTTTCTTTATAATGTTTCCCAATTAATTATTTGTCTTTTCATGATAAATTTAATTAGATTTGACACTACTTTATAAATTATTCACAATTTTTTTGCTTTAGAAATGACTATAGATATATTCCTTTTACTTGATATACTGTTTGCTGCACTTCAGCATCACAACTATGGTAATGATGGAAGAAGTAGTAGTGGATCAATTTTAGTAAATGTCTTGAATTTTTATCATTTGGTCGGTTTTTTAATTGGTCGGGAAAAGTTATTTTCTATTGGCTGTTAGCATTATAGGGTTATGGAAATTGTCGCGTTACTTTTGAAATCACCAATTGATCAATGTTAGACCACCATTAGAAACTTGGAACCTATTAGACTTAGACTATTAGAATTATTGAAAATTTATAATTCACTAGAATATCCAACCTTTTGATAAATTGATATCTTCTAAAAATTGCGCCGTGAAAAACAAATGTGGTTTAAAAATAAAAAAACTTTAAAATTGAATGAAAGATGTTTAAACAAATTTTTGAGTTTCTTTAGTAAGCGACTACATAATTTATGCATTAACAAAATATGCTAAAGATCATATCTTCTATTACTCTTAGACTTGCAATGATGCTGATTTATATAGTTTCTAACCAAACTAGCTATTATATAGTTTGTTTCCATATTATTTATGTGATAAAGCGATATATATTCCAATAAACATGATCAGATGATAACGCCTGAACAATGAACCTCAGAACGCTTAAAAAGTATTCAATAAATTCTACATTTGAACAAAGAAGTTTATATCTTACAATTGATTTATAAAATTAGTAATATGTTAATTGAGATACGAAGCTTTTTGTTACTGTTTTGAAAATTAAATTTAAGTATGTTCTTCTAGAGACAACTACGTATTTATTACTGATAAGCTTCAAGAAGTAATGAAAAAGGTTTTGATGAGAAACTGCTATTGATAGAATTCAACAATAGGAGTAGTATAATGATAAATAAGTATTATCATCGACACTAAAGTTGTGGTTGAGAACCGTTAGATTTTATCTCATTCATCACACAGCCTACAAGACTTAGGTACAACTTATAACAGAGTAGTAGGTTTCTATTCATCTTTTGATGAAACAGATCGCCAGAACTCCTTCGGTTTCGATAGGTTTATAACTAGTCAATGCATAATTTTAACTATTTTCAAGAAGAAAAAACCTGCTTAAACTGGTGACCGGCACTAAAAAGAACGATTACAATTCTTCTAAAGGTATTACTTTGTAAATTTTGTTGACTATGTGAATAAAGTTGAGCTGTAAACTTGTAACCTGGTAGCAAAATAGTTTGGTAAAAATCTTTTTTATAGATTTCTAGTAATCTTACATTTCCATTACGACGCTGAAATATAGACAGCAGGTAACAATAAATAGTCTAACCTGCTCATTACAAACCAAAATAGATATCAAACATTTTTCAACAAGATTTTTTTACCCCTACATATTATACTTGATAGCCGTTTTAAAACGGTTTACTCCTTATGGAATGTGGTGTTTATCAAGTAGACGGAATTCAGTTGTAATGAGATAGTTCAGGTGTGATTCAGTTTTTTATGGTATGGGTCTGATATTTTATTATTTCACTCCTTTCAATTACTGGCCTTGTTTTAACTAACGTTTTATTCAAGAAAAAACTGAGTCAGTCAAGTGACTGACACTTAATGAGATTCATTAAATCTATTTCGTTTACGAATGTTGATTTATCTAAATAAAAGTTAGCAAATTCAAAAAACTGATTTACATTCTCATTTGTTGGTTTTCACATGATTTAATATGTTAAGTAATTAATTGTAGTTATATATAATTCATTTATATATTGTTTGTTCTTAATTTGAAAATAAATGAATGTACTGGAACCTTGAAAAATTAATGGGATTATTAATGTAAGCAGAAAACTTGCAACGAATAAGAAACATATCTTTGAACTAAGAAGTAATATCAACTAATCAGTCTATGGGGTAAATAATTCTACTCAAAAAGAAATATTCTTCTGTTTCTCTATAATTGTAATGTTCCTGATGTAAAGTTGAGATTGTTTAGTTTTCGCAACTAACTCTGAGTTCGGTTAAGATGTAAACATCAACATCACTAGTTTAATCTCTACATGAAACATGCAGTTTAAGACATTATGATTAAATGAAAATATTATTATTATTTTGACTGTTTCTCTAAAAGCTTTCAAAGAAAACTTAATCTTCCTTATATATAATAACTATTCCTTGCACACAATATAAACATTTTCACGTAATCGATAGTTAACAATAATTCTAATTTATATTAAAAATATGTCTATAATGAATACTACAGGTATATGTTGATCATGTCCATTATTAAGTTCAAACATTTCAAATCTAGAATCTTGTGTCAATTGCGTTAAAATTCCTTAGCAAAATGTGCTATCCTCTTTGTATCACATGTAATAATCTCATAAAAGATATTTTCTAGTGAAAATCAACATTTCAATAATCAATTAGAAACTAACATTCAGATAAAATCTTTCATAGTTATTACAAATCAGAACTAGTTAATCAGTGTTATAATGTGTATTTTCTTGACAAAAAATACTAACACATTAAAAATGAATCAAAGTGAAATGAAATTATGCACATTGATGATTCACTACAATGTAAATATTTCAGTATTCATGTGAATGTGTTTGTGAATAAGAGTATGAGAGCAAGAGAGAGAGAGAGAGATAAATAGTTACTTAATATATGAATGATATATATTTGAAATTATTGATTTCCCATTTAATAATTTCACTTTTTTTATGCCCTCAAATATAACTGTCAATCAATTGAAGTGCACAAATTGTTTTTAAAAAAAACTAATGAATTAAGTATGCTATTGTTTAAACCAACCAAAAACACACAAAAATAATATTAATTTTCAATAATGCACAATTCAAATCATTGCGACTTGTCTATTACATATTTGTCGATTTGTTCTAATGAATTCAAGTAAACATCTCTGTTGTTAGCTCAGAGTAATGCATAAACCTATTGCACACAATTAATATTTATTTTTGTACAACAAATTAAATGCTCATCCGTTTAAACAGCTTCATTTTGTCAATAGTAAACTTAAAAACTTATGGATAGAAAGCAGTTAGTTTTTACTAAGTTTAGTAACGTTCACCGTTATTTATTTTTATCTTCACTCGGTGTACAGTTAATTGTACATAGTTGAATTGCCAACACATTGAAGTCATAATTCCTAGTTTACTGAAATTTCAAAGGTTTCACTTATCACTGAGTTAATTCTTCACATAACAATTTTTGTAGATAAAGTAACATACAGCTTATCTATCACATAATATACATGTATGTTCCTTACTTCAATTATTATGTGTTATTTATTTACTCGTAAACAGTTTTAATCTTAAAAATGGTTTTAATTATTATAATCGGTTACACTGTTAACTTAACCAACTTTAAATCTATATAATTTCCATTTAAGTTATCATTCAACAACTGTGAAGTGAAAAGCGTGATGAATATAACCAAATCGATTTTTAAAAAAAAACTTGTCTAAAAAGAAGTAAACATTCAGTTGCACCATCAAATTTATTTTCAAACTACTACTGTATTGAATCTGCATTACAAATGTCCTTGTGTTTTAATGATTTAAACAATTGTTGTATAGCTTTTCAGTACTTCATACAACCTTGTAATATTTTTTTAACAATTTTTTCATTCAATTTCAAAATTATTTAGAATTGTTGACCCAATTATTTATTTGATATTCAACAAGTTACCAATTTGTTGATCTAGTTGATTTATTCACATAGATATGATATTTCTAGAGTTGTATATAACATTGACCATATCAATAAATTCCAACAAAATCAACAACAATGCATTGATATATTTTCTCATTGTTTAACAATCAATAACTTGGAAATCGTCAAAGTAACAAAACAAATGATTATCATGTATGAAAAACCAGACTCCAGTTATCTGAACAGATAGTAGCATTTATATAGAATGATTATTCAGTGAGAAATATTATTCTATGTCATTATTTTCTTTCTAAATAATGCCTAGTAGTAACAATCATAAACCAGTCTATTCATTTATAACAGGTTGAGATTGTATTATCAAAACTGTGTAAGATACTTTTTTTAACTGGTACACAAAAATATTTTGCACAAGCCTTTAGAGTGTGAAAAATATTCAAACTAATATATGATTGGAGATCATGAAAATTACACCCAAATGCGACCGAACAAAAATGCCCCGATGAGATTTTAAGTAGTGGATTAAGGATGAGCTAAATGAATCAATTAAATGATCATATTGTTTGTTATAGCCCCATTTCAATTTTACCATCATAATTTATCCATGTAACTGAATCAGTATGAATGATGGCATTATCGTGAACTATAACATATGGTTCATTTTTAATTTTATGATCCTTAGTTGAACAGTTTATTGATTTCTTTATTTTAATTCAATATTAACAATCTTTGATTCAGGATTGGCACGTTCACAATCTGTACCAATTAGAACATATTCCAGTGAAGTTGTAACACTCTGGTGAGTCAGTGAGTGAGTTAAATGCTTAGTTTAACAATAATTGTATCGTTATATTTATCATATAAACTAATTTTCAGAAAATACCAAATTTCATTTATTAAAAGAGTTTGTCAATGAAATTAGTTCTAAATGTTACATGTTCAAGTTATAGTAACTTCAAATCATTCGATTTGTTTGTTTAAAGCGCATAATTTAACATTTTTATCGGATGAATTTTTGAAAATTTACAGCTAATAAATTATATTCTTGTCCAATGACTAACTGAAAAATTCATAAATCATTTATACTTTTTATTATATAAATCGACTGTAGTTTTTTTAGAATTATACACTGGAAATTATCAATCACATTGTTTTAGGTATTTAAAATAAGTAGCTAGATATTTTTTTCACTGGGAAACTGATTATGATTTTGAATAAGAAACCATTAATAATACCCACGGTTTAAGGAGAACTTCAAAGCACTAACTCACTAGTAATAGCAATTACATCTGCAAATTATTACGGCATATGATCAAAAAAATTGGGTTAATTTGTAGGAAAATGCTATCTATAATTAGGGTTAAATTTTGTTGTTACCTTTGTGGTTACATAAATTTTTGTCGTTTAACGGTTTGCTGTGATCATTGTTAAAGTGAAATGAAATATACTTGTGCAGTTCCTAAGTAATAACAGGATATGACAAAGGTTTAATTTTGATCGAACAGTGAGAAGACGTAATTGGTCTGAAAAGTATGATGTATTTGCATTATAAATATTTCAATAGGACACAACGGATTCGCACTACACATACATTCGAAGGCGATGCAAAATTTTTGATCGAAACATTGATTTCAAAAGGTTATCCGCTAAAGTTCATCAATAGGTGTACAAATCATTTAAGGCAAAAGCCTGTTTTTCATTCTGCTGTAAAGATTAATGTTTGTATTACTTTACCATTTAGAGGAGAATCAAATGGTTTAATCTTAAGACAGCGACTAAAAGCAGCTACAGTGAAAACATACTACAATGCTAAATTGATTGTAATTGAAAAAACTAAGCCCATGATTCCATATAGGTCTAAACGTTGCTCGAATGATTATATCATACCCAATCGCATTCATCATTTTACATGATTGTGTGAACACACATACATAGGGAGGAGTATTCATACTTTGCATTCAAGGGTTCCCTAAGTGGCTTCAAAATCAGTTAACGTCAGATGAGTCGATAAACATCAAAAACAGAAAACCATGTTCATCGATCGCAAAACACATAATTGAGACAGGGCAAAAGACTGACATTAAGACAGTCTTCAAAGCATTGTATCGAAACGTCGAAGGACAAATTTTGGAGTTTATGGAAGCCTTGATTAATCGTAAATTGAAACCCCCGTTATGTCGATTAATTGTACTGGTTGTTTTAAAGGTTTGATTGTAATAATTTTGGTTCAATTCAGAGTCTAAATAACAAACGATAAAGAACTCTAGATTTCCGATATTTTGCAAAGTCATTGATTTAGGATAGGATTTGCATAAACTTACAATATACAAACCAACATTTTATAACATTTGCATATTTTACCCATACTTTCAATAAATTTAACTATTAAAGCTAATCGATATCAGATCATGACGTTTTGACTATAAGAGACCTAGATCCAGTAGGTTAGTCAGTGAGTTACAACGTAGAACTTCGTACTTACGTGAATCACTTTAGGTTGTCATACCACATTAGCACAGAGACGCAATTATCACTTCAGATCCCTTAGCAGTAGAGGTAGTAGAAGTATTAGCAGTAATTGGACAGATTAGGATTCGACGATATTTTTCAAGAAGAAGGATCTGATGAAATAAGCTTAAAAAGAAAACGATAAAGGTGATGATGAACTTAGAAGGTTAGGATTTGAGAGAATACAGTGAATGAATGTACCTGCGCCATTGCAAACGGTTTTGAGCCATGTCGGAGAGGCCTACATAATACTCCTTCATGTCCTGCATCCAAATCCCACAATGCAAGAACATTCTATGTTTGTACAAACATTCCTACATAGGTACACAGACATAAACACACTCAAGATAAAGCCAGAAATGGACATTTAAATCAAGTAGAAATTTGAGAAAATGCATTTTTGATTTCAAACCAATTAGATCGTCGTTACTACACTCAATCATTGGCTTCTTTTTGGTTAATCTAACAATGCCGATGCTAAATGCATAACTCGTTGCGTGTTTGAAACAAAAAGTAACAATGTTTGCATTTCTGTGTGAACATAAATAGCATTTGGCTGACGAGTCTCGTGTGGGATAAAAATTGCGTCCAAATCTGCCTATGTAAATCAACTGTAACATTGTTAGTAATATTGCCATGACTTTACATTTTGTCAGATAATAACAATTACACATGCATTAACCTAAAGATACGAAATCAAAAATTGTAAAAGAAAAAAAGACAAGTTATTTGTGAATTTGTTTTGAGACACGATGGATTATAGTTAAGATAAAACACTCATTTATAATGACGACCTATTTAGTAAACACTATCGTAAAGTTTTCCTAGTCAGTGCTAACTGTTTATATTGTGTTCAATAAACACATATGTTAAATAAGAGACAAACTGTAGTGTATAAATGATGATTATTTATGCCTTCCTAACTATTAAGTAAGTAGAAATGAAACACTTCATAACCTTTAAACCTTGTTTTTTATCATTAAATGAAATAGCGATTATAAAATCTGATATGCATTAATTTGATGATGTGAACTATTTAACTGAAGCAACGAAAACAGATGAATTGAACTGAACAAAATCTATCATTCTTATATTATTTCCAATATCTACTTCAAAACAATCATGAAATAAATTAGGATATTACAGAAGTAATTGTTGGGTTCATAGCCTTTCTTAAAGGTTGTGTCACTATCTTATTGTCAGCATCTCTATGCATCGGAATCAAGAACACGGTTCTTTGAAAAAATAGGCTGTTTTCTGAATTTCCATATTTATTTTGTTCACCTATCTATCAAAATTTTGGTTAGTATTCATTTCTTTTCAGTGAATTTTGTCAACCTTTCACTCTTCCTCTGAAGCAATATCGATTCAGAGGATATGAACTGAATAAGTTACTCACTCCTGTTATCCCTCGTGGAGCATAGCACTGAATGTACGATGTATTATTGATCTATTCGACACTGTGCTTAACACTTGTCGTTGTTTACCAAACCGGACTGAAGAAACGTCTAACACATTGTAGTTAAACTGCGCTTTAAAAAAAACAACAAACTCATGAACTGACCTTTTAAACTTACACAATACTCATTCATATGATTAAACGTTAAATATTATATATATATATATGGTTTTAAAATAATACATTTTGCCTATGAAATTCAAAAAAAATGAACTATCCTGTTAATGCAATTATCTATATTTCGATAATGTTCTTTATTCAACTGAATAGTCCGTCCAATTATAGATTAAAATTATCTTGCAAATTTGGTACATTGAGTAACTCGTGAAGTTCTGTCTCGTTCACTACTAATAAATCTAAATTAAGTACAACTAATACTGCTTAATAAATCAAGTAGGTTTTCGAGTTTTTCTTCAATCAATCCAATTCAGTGATCGTTAACGAGCGTATTAAACAAATTTTTCTGTGAGATTAATGATTGACATAGGTCTTAGAAAATATCGATCATTTCGATTCGGATATTCTCCTTGCTTACTTCTAATAATGTATAAGTGATTATAGAATATTAATTAAGGTAGATAAAATTGTTCAAATAAATTTCATATCAAAAATCTATATTCTAATTTACATAACCCAACCTATGAATAGCACGTTTTCGAGTAGATTTTGATTCATATCCAAGAGAAGTAATACGTTTGTATTGTGATGATAACACTAGACTATATGATGTGAAAATGTTTTTTTTTCTTTGTAAACGCACCAACTAAACTAATTCTAATCAAACTAAACTGAAGCGATTGGCTTCGTTAACTACACATCTGTATTATCATGACTTCACGGTAAAAATTCAGTTTCTGCAATTCTAATGAAACAACTAATAAATTCAATCATTAGTATACATATGCGTGATCACAATCATACATTGCATTAATATATTTGAATGATCAAAATCTTTTTTTAATAAATCAGCGTCAATGAAATCCAAAGTTTAATTTATATAATTTTAGGTTAAACTGACCAACACTGACTTGATGAAGCAAAGTAATTAGCAAATGAAATAATTTCAATTATATTTTTGACATGACTCTAACAAAACTTTATAAACATATAGAACAATTTACATTGAAGACTATTAATAAAGAAGAAATTACTAGAAATAGTGTGGAAGTATACAAGTGCTTCACCGTAATCTGAAAACAGCACAGAAAGGACTGTGGTAAAATTGTGTCTTAAACCCAAAAAGGTATCAGTCATTCAAGTTGAGTAGTGATCTAGTGTGACTAAGTTGGGAGAATCTGATCTCTCTAAATACTCTCATATGGCCAAGCGTGTACAGCCATCGCCATAAAAGTTCTGCTCACTGCCTTCTCGCGGTTGCGTTAATTTTTAGGAAATTGAGAAAAAAAGTGAATATCCGGGACTTGAACCAGGTTAGTAGATACGGAAGATCCACATATGAGAGTTGGAAAACCATGATTCGAAATCGATGATGCACATGAACACCAATATCTTGAGAGGACCTATGATGTGATGTTGGTCATCTACTACCATGGAAACGAATTTTCTAACATTGGTCCACTGCTTCAGTCAAAAGCTCAGAGTCGCCCGTAAGAAAATCACCAACTTCGGTCTGAGCAACCGGGTAGTATCACAGCCCACACATGAACTCAATGGTTTGTATAGCTCATATGTGTTTTGGTATCCCTTTTACCTATATTTGTGTCTAAATAAATGAATAAATACACTAATGACACAAAATGATGACTTCGTTATGTCATGAAACGACTAACGGTCAACAGTTTAAACTATTTTATTATAATTTGAAACTGAATCACAATTGGTAAACTCTAAATCTTGAGTTCTATTATATAAAAATAATGGATAACAATCGTTAAATATTATCATCACAAGATGAGACAGCATTTCAAACATATCCCAGTCGCACTGATAATTTCAATTCATGATAGAAACTTTTAAAGACTGAGCACAATCCATCCTTATCACTCTAATAAGATTGATAATTTTAATGTGTTTGGAAAAAAGACTACTTAACCAGCCTTAATGGACCTCATTAACTGGGGGAGTGTACATTTCTTCCTGACTTTATTTTACATAAACTACCTACTTAATAAAACAACTTGACACTAATTGAAAACAATACATATACCTTCTAAGGAATTATCACCTATATTTCTGTAGTTCTCTTGAGTTCTTAATTTTAAATTATTCATTTGAAAATGGAGCGACAAGAAAACACTTAGATTGTATTTTTCTAAATCCACCGAAATTGTATTTTCACAAAACCATTACTTCTGAAATCAGTTTCCTGCAAAATAATTGATTTTTTCAAAACGTTGAACCATCATTAGAGCCTTGTATTCTTAACACATCCAAGAATCTGTTCAGTAGTTCAAAAGATTTTCTAATATTCTTTCTAGAAATTCTATAGTTATTTTTGAATGAAAATATGTTTTATATTATGGCATTTTCGAACAACTTATTATGGCTTACAGCAGCTAAACAGCAATGTTTATAAAAAAAGTGGTTTTTCTATTGAACACTTGGTTCATGAATAAACTTCTTGAATTCATCACTTGAAGTTTCGTATCCGGTGGAATTTGCATCCTGAATTGTTAAATGTTAGCAAGTGACCACTTTAAACTGTTAATGAGATAATTTTTTGTGAAACATAGAAAAGTGAACTTCTGTAACATTCTAACTTGGACTTAAACATACATTTTTTATTCATCAGAAAATTTTTAATTATTTAAAAAAAACTGTTAACACATAATGAGAAAGTAATTTTTATCCCCCCAGAAATTAAACATATTTTAAAATCTGTCAGTAAACTGTTAACATGAAATATGTCGAAAAAAAACACTAGATTTTACATGAGCTATACTTTTTTTATGAATTCAAAGACTAAAGACAAGTATTTCGACGTTTAAATGCGAGTTCCAAATAGAATGAAATACTGCTAGTGAATTTCGTTCTTAACCATTATCCATCTTTACTCAAATATTTGTAACCTAACAGTATTATCGAGGGAATTTATACGAGATATACGTTTACTAAAAAGAGGTTTATTAAAATTCAATCTCTAATAGCAACAAAATAAATTGATTCAATAATTTATAAGTTAATAATTAAAGTTTGACTGATTAGATTGGTTTATTTTAGTCCGATTTAAGTAAATATTACACAATTTTGTATTTAAATGTCAATTACTTTTAAATAAGTCAAATTAGCTTTCAAAAAATGCAATTAAATTATAAGCACATTGATTTGTTGGTTGTTAGTTATCAGTTAACTGTTGTCATTGTCATTCACTTTCAAAGTTATTTAATGAATTAGATACAGTTTAATGTAAGTAAGGTTATTTTTGGTTGAGTTTAAATGAAACACTAAAAAGGCTACTTATTTAATAAACTAAGTTTTTATATTTTTTTCATTTCTTTTGAAACAGGTATAGACCACCGGATATATTGTTAGGTGATAAAAAGTATTCCAGTCATATTGATATTTGGGGAGTTGGTTGTATTCTGTATGAAATGACAACAGGTTATAGTCTATTTCCGGGAACTTCAAAAGAAGATCAAATTAAAATTATCTTTAGAAAATTCGGTAAACAAATTAATCTTTTTTCCGTGCTCTAAATGACTAATTTACTTAAAAACGATTCACATGAATTAAATTATGATCAAATATTTAAGCGTTAAATGAAAAGTGAAATTTAAAGTAGTTAACTCAATGAGAACACTCATAAAAATTAATCAGTATTAGAATTTTTTATAAAGTATATGTGAATATCATATTATCATTGTTGAATAGTAAGAAAACTAATACTATACAGTTTCTTTTTAATGTTATATAATAATTCAATCTTATGTGAATATGTTAGAAATGCATATTCACCTACACGACTGCTTAATAAAAAATGAGTAAAAATTGGGAATTTTCTAAAAATTACATATTAGCTATAATTAATGTAGTCTACAGTTTGTTTTAAGAAGATCGATGAATTTCACTACAAAACTGACGTTAACTAAAGCACCATTAAAACTTTGATTCCAAAAAAAAATCATCGATGCATAACATTTAGCAGCATAGTACTTTCATTGAATATATCGTATACATAACAGAATCTCACAGGGAACAATATGTCCTCCAAAAATTGAAGCTATGACTTCTTTTTGAGTCTTGACTTGTATGAAACCTAGATCTGGGATTTATTGTCCGTTTCCTTCAACCATCTAACATACATATTATATGTTATACTACTCTAACAAATAGAATCCAATGTATTATTTATTTTATTTAAAGTTTTTGAGTAAGTAGTGAATGGAACTTAGGGCACAGTAAATTTTATCCCTATGTTTGCAAGTGATCCGAAACTATATACGGTTATCAAATAACTTAGTATAAACTATCTAAAATTGTGCCGATATAAAACAATTACATGATTTCGTCATGTTCATCAGCTGTCCGAGTTTGCTATTGACAGATAATTTATTGATCCGAAAACTGACTACAGTTTGGACAAACAGTTGGATATGCTATGAAATAAATCCATCTCTTTTCTAAATATCATTTTTAGGTGAACTCCGTTTGTGTGACAGTGGTGATTAATAGCACAATACGATTTATTTTAGATGGATTTATTTCTTACAATCATGCAAAGAGATATACAGAAAAGACAATAGTCTAAGAGAAGCAAAGTGAAGCGGAAAGGGAGAATGGATGTGATGAGGCATGACTAAGCAAATATAGCCAAACAAAAATAGGCGAAGTAAGCAATGGACTCATATGAAAGTAAAAACAACCAACATGATAAGAGAATGAGTGGCAAGGTCGAAAGACGTGAATAGCTCTAGAAGAATGGATTAATTAGTTTGTCCAAAGGCTGGGACAAGCTGTGTGGACTCATTACACACTACAATACGCTTCTTATACATGTATTTAAATCATCTACATCAGAATAAAAAATATGAGCGAACACGAGGATCTTATTGGCACACTGAGTTGATCATACATATATGACTCATTGAAATATAACCCAATATATGAAAGTGAAGCTCAACCCTGAACAATAGGACTAGCCTGTAAGCATTTGTGATTATCTGCTTATGTATAATTGAACTAGTTTATCATTATCCCATCACTTTATTTTCCTTACAATGAAACGTAAAATAATAGCTGTTCTGGTTTGAAAAGATAAAACATTTTTGAGGACTTTGTTTTCAGTGATGCAATTATCTACATTTTGTAAATTTTCTTACTTTTTTTATTGAAATGTATTATTTCATTCACTTCAAGGAATTCCACCTGAATCCTATTGGCCCGGTTTAAGAACCAATGCTAAATTTTTGGAATATATGAAATCCCATCAACGTGATGAGAAATGTGACTCTCGTAAGCCAAATTATTCTCAGTCTTCAACAAATCTTAATTTAATCGATAGTACAAAATTCTCAACTCAGATAAATAAACTATTATATGATGAAAATCACGATTCTATTGATACATATAATGAAAATATTAAAAATATTCTGTCATGTTGTGCTACAAGATTAAATTCCGATGGTCAGCATTTATTATTTGAATGCCTTGCATTAGTTGGAAATCGTCGAATTACAGCTACTGAAGCATTAAAGCATGTATATTTTAAATGTATTCTACCACCTGGTATAAATGTACATGATTTATTACCAGAACAATCAATCACATTTCTTGCTTTTCATTCTTTACAAAAATCTCGGATCAATTCTACTAGTACTACTACTACCACTACTACTACTAGTAGTAGTAGTAGTAATAATACCGCTAAGTTTACTAATACTAATATTAGTAAGAAGAATAAACATAAAGGTAAAACTAATTATTTAACACATTTAACCAATGCAATATCTTACGGTAATAAACTACATGGCTATGAACAATTATCCAAAAGTTTAACTAATCTATCAGAATTTCGTTCTCATTCTTCAAATGATTCGAATTCATGCAAAGCACCTACAATTCAATCACATCATGACAATAAAATAATAACAACACCAACAAAACATAAAACTAACAAAGAATATGAACAAAAAATATTTAAATTAAATAAAACGAAAAATTCAAATAAATTATTATTATATAATGAAGGAAGAAACATATCCACTGTTGTACATCGTCAAAATGAACAGATTTCTCAATCTGGTGACATGAACAGTAATAATAATAATAATAACAAGGTTAATTCCATTCAAACTGACCAAACCTCTGATATTGATACATCACTTAGTTCAAATAGTCAATGTTATTGTCCATATGAAAAACAATACGATGAACAACATCAACCGGAATTAGTGTTATTTACACCGGTCACAAAACTAAATAAATTAAATCAGAAAATAAGAAAACCTGTTAGTAAATATTTAACATTTTCTGCAGGAAATGCACATAAATTACTTTACAATCAAAGCATTGCTGATAACAATTTCAGTGATAATCATAATAATAATAATAATCTCAAAGAAAAATCACTAAGTAGCACTCCAACAAATAATCTTACAGCATTTCTTAAACGTAAATTATATTCATTTCAAGCAAAAGCTAAAGAATCTCGAAATCGTCTGAGACCAGTATCAGTGGATCAACTTCAAATTTTAAATCTATCATCAGATTCTTCGAAAGATATTGAATTAGCTGATGCAAACAATTGCACTGATAATAATCATGATCATAAGCTCAACAATAGTCATGATAATCTTGTGATTTCACGTAGTTTTGTTAAAAACATAATTTATGACGAACAATTTAGTCAGAAGACAAATCAAGTAAGTTAGAATAAACATACAAATTAGATAGATACATTTATTCATTCATTCATTCACGTGTATACATGTTTCTGATTACTCCACAAATATTACACTGAACTGTATTTAAAACAAGTTTTTCTTAGCGTCATTTCATTGTCTCATTTCTCATTTAGTTCTCCATACATAACCATTTATGCTTGATCCTATTGACAAAATAACATTTTTATTACAAAATAAACAAGTATTAAAAACCATAGAAAAATTCCACACGTATACAAATTGAAACAACTATGGTTTGAAAGATGAAATCAAGGAAGAAAATGATTCATTAAGCATGTAGTTAGTTTATTTACGAACATATGAAGTATAAATTCAATCTCCTTCTTAGACCATACCTTATGATTCCCTGAAAAAATAAAACATCAATAGGATTACATGAGCATGAATTCTGATTTTTGTCTGGTATCAACTAGAGCTTGATTTAGAAAGTTAAGACAAACAATCAGATTGTAATATAACACGTGTATCATTCAGTTATCATGATCATTTCTTAAAGTGAATAATCCAACGAACAGAGTATTTTCACAATGATGACTAAAGTGCCACTCCCATAAAGCTGGATTGTTGCTGTTTCATTTCAATAAATAAGCCCTCTACAACACTATCATACAGTACCATGTTTATTTACGTTGAAATGAACAGATGAATTTCGAAATATTAATTATGTTGCATCTTAATATTAAATCGCAGTAAAAAGTATTTTAATCGATTAGAAATTATAAATCTGTTCACGTGGATTCCGATAAATACTTCATCGAATGACCAAACTGAATATAATAATATTTTGTAGATATCATCCAACTTCTCAAAGTATTTTTTTTTACAATCAAACTTATTATAATGTATACGGTAGTTTACGTTATCTATCTAACTGTTCATCACTCATTAATTCTATCTCTCTATATACAAACATATCTATGTTTAACTCTAATTCGATTCGTTCTAGTTTGTTTCAAAACCTTGTATATACATTGACAGAAATGATAATAGCTAAAAAAAAAGTCTATAGGATTTTAGTCTAATTTTGCATAGAAAAATAGGTCGTCTATGAAAATGATTATGCAAGTATTCAAAAAGAATCAATCAATATACCGTATAAATAAGTGATGAAAATTTGAAATGTAAATCTTTATTTTTACACAAACCACACAAAATAACTGAAAGTGTGTTGTTATTTTTTTCATTATTTGAAAGAAAACACAATAAGAAGAATAAATTCAATTTATTTGTAAATCATAGAATTTTTTCATAGTTGACATCACGAAGTTTGCGCGAGAGATTTAGAGGTTAAGTTAAGAACAGTTCCTTAGTCCGCCTACGCGTGCAAAGGTTGTGGATGAGCACTGCCTAGGACGAAAAGGCCATTCCATGTTCTTAACAAAAGGTCTAGCTTGGTTCGGTTCATGATTTCAACTATGGAAACAGTATAATTCCTAATGAATTACAGAATTGTATAAGTGTAAAAAAGTAACAATACTATTCAATAAAGTTCGATATAAGTAAACTACATGCAGAGTTACTTCGTCATTATTTATCTTATGCTTCAGTTTGATCTGTCTTACTTTTATATTTTAATATTATTCCTAATAATGCCTCCCCAAATATTTTATTTCATTTTTACCAGTTCACTATCTAAAACAGATAAATTTTCTAGGAAAACATTCGAGAGTAATATTCATTAGCTTTTTAATAATATCAGGTCATGATTTACAAATAAGAATGATCTATATGAAACAATCGATATTTTAAAACCGATCATCTATATTGTTGAAGTGACCCAACTGAATACAAGGTATATAATGGTTAATTCTTGTGTGATGTTTATTTTTATATTTAAGATATTCTATAATCTACTGAATTTTACTTGCCAGATTGTCTATACTTTGTTCAGTTTTTTTCATATTAAAATTCTTTTCTTTTTCTATTGCTTTTTATTCTCATTTTACAGCAACATATAAAATCAAAAAATGAATTGTCAAATCCGAATAAATCAATCATTTATACAAATGTAAATAAAAATCATTTTGATTTGCCAAAATCTATACAAATCATTTATAGTCCAACATGTCAATCATTTAATAAGAAAATCATTAAATCAAATTTTTCAACTATTTCAAATCATTCAATGAATTTCTTAAATCATCATAAAACACCTCAATCATTATCATCATCCACATTGATTAGAATAAATCGTCCAAATAGTTTAAATTTAAAATGTATAAAACAAAATTATTATTTCCAATCAAACAATTCGTTAATTTATTCAAATTCTCGACGTAAAAGTTGGAATAGTTCCGGTTCATCAAATTTAGGTAAAAAAAATCATCTTCATATAACGAATGTATCAATCATGATATGCATTTTGATTAAAAGTCATTTCATTATTATTTTCTCAAAAATTTGAAAGCATTAATTATTATGATTTAAGTTTATCTAAAAATAACTTGTAAAATATGTTTTCAAAATAAGTTTCATAAACTTAACTAAAGAAAAGCATTGTGATATTTTTTATAATGTGGTAAAGGTAGATGGAATGAAATTATAATATTTTCGGGCAGAGTTTTGGAGGTTTGTGTTTTTAAACATCTGAAATCATCAATCAATCATTGTTAGACTACCATTAGAAACCTGGAAGCACTGGACGGCCGTTTCATCCTGGTATGGGACTCATCAGCAGTACGCATCCAGCCTTTGCGCACAATACCGAAGGTCCCGGGTTCGAATCTTGCGAGATGCAGGAGTCGTGGATGCGCACTGCTGATGAGTCTCATACCAGGACGAAATGGCCGTCCATTGTTTCCAGATTTCTAATGGTTGTCTAACAATGATTGATTGATGATTTCAACTGAAATTATAATAAACATACCGGTAAATATTCTTCACTATTGTGTAATAGTCAATATCTTTAGACAAAAAATCTAACTCAATAAATGCCACTGAATTAGAAATTATGATGTACTGTGAGACTTATTTTATGCAAATTCAAGAAATTCATTTAACTTATCCCTAAAACTAAGAATTATGAAGCTAGTCGAAACAGTAGGCACTACTTGTTCTGCATTCCTTTTTCTGTTGTCTATTATTTATCCATTACTAATTCACAAAATTATCTTTAGATATTTCATTTTTTTGAAAAGTAACCAATGAAGACTTCTTAAAGTTCATATGATCTTTGCTATACTACTGTTTATCATGTAAACTACATTGACTGATAACTGAAAGGCAGCTGATGTGATGGTTTTGTTTAGTTTTCAACAATGATCAGATCCTATCAACCACGTGTTCGATTCCAATGACTTCCTAAAATATACTAAACACAATGGATGTGATATTTAGTCACATGAACCAATATGTATATTATAATTTGATTAAAAGAATTCGGTCAGTGCTATGCTGTGCGGTGTTCCAGATCAGTAATATACATTCGTTCTTCAGAACAAATAACCTTTTTCGTTTGGTAGTTTCTGATTTGTTCAGTATATCAAATGTAACGTGTATTATGATTTATAATTAGTTTACGTAGGAGTATTAGTGCTACAGTAGCTGGATTCTGGCTTGCTCTCTCATACAGTAGAATGTTGCTGATGCTGTCTGTCAAATGGTCCAAAGTGTTGTGCGTAGACAACTCTTAATGAATACTTGTATCTTTTGAATGATGGCATTGATAGTTCTCCAAGTTTTCTCCCTATACAGTAGAACTGTCTTGAAATGTGTTGAAACTTCTTATTTTGATTTTGAATGATAGTTGTTTTGAGGTCCAGATGTTGTTCAATTGCTTTGCCGATCCACGCCCTCACATCTGCATCAGATCCACCTTGACTGTCGGTGATACTGCCCAGATACGTGAAAGTTTAAACGTCCTTCAAGGCATCCCCATCAAAATTGATTTGGTTGGCGCATGTTGTGTTGTATCGTAGAATCTTGCTTTTCCCTTTATGTGTGTTGAGACGTGTTGCTGCTTGGGCTGCTGCAACACTGACCACTACCTTCTTGTTCATCCTTTCCTGAACTTTATCAATAGTACCAACAGAGATCCGTTCCTTGTGAAGGTACTTCTTGTGGCTCAAAACATCCTGACATGTTGACGTGATTGCCTAGTTGATCCCCTTTCAATTGTTTTCCATGTTAGTTTCTTTTCCATTGAGTAGATTGTGAAAGGCTTTGAATCTGTTGCTTAGGTCTGTCTTCAATTCGTTGAGTTTTCCGTTATCCTAAAGAAATGATGTATTAAACTTTTGAGATGTTTTCTGCCCCGTTGTCCAGTGCTTCTTGAGTCTCAGTTTCATTTTGGCGATCAGCAAGTGGTGATCCGAGGCTATATCAGCTCCTCTCTTGGTTCTGACATCCTCCACGGTCCTTCTGAACCTTTTCTTGATACAGATATTGTCGATTTAGTATTGTGCAATGTGATCTGATGAAACCCATGTAGCTTTGTGCGAGCGTTTGTGTGGGAATATTGTGCCGCCGATGACCGGTTTGTTGAAGACACATAGGTTTGCAAATCGCTTACCATTCTCGTTCCTTTCTCCCACTCCATGTCGTCCCATGATGTCTTCATATCCAGTGTTGTCCATATCAACTTGGTATTTAGGTCTCTCATCAGAATGGTCAAATACTTTGACGAGCGTCTTTCGACGATTGACTGTAGCTTCTCATAGAACTAATTTTTAACATCTTCATTGTAGTCGTTGGTAGGTGCATAGCAGTGGATAAAGTGAACTGTAATGCCCTCTTGCTTTGTGGTTTGAGGGATGCTTCGATGATGCTGGGTCCATGAGATTCCCATCCTATTAGTGCCTTTTGTGCTTGTTTGGACAGCATCAGTGCAACTTGTAAGAATGAAACATTTTCTTCTTCACCGTCAGAGTATAACAACAGCTCATCTGAAGCTACTCTCAGTTTTCCAACCTGCGTCTAATGCGTTTCACTGATTCCAAGCACCTCTAAGTTGTATCTTGTCATTTCTGCAGCAACTTGAAATGGTCTTCGGTCTCCCACATGTGGCTAAACAACTGGTTGCTCTGGTTGTCAGAAGAGGCATCGGCCTCGTAACTTCCTAACGAACTAGGCTTCCATCATGAAACGTCATAACTCTTCTGAAATTAGACCTTCAAACTGCCAGGGCTGAGTTAAAATGGTTTAAATTGTGTTTTCTGGTTAGCATTTTTTAGCGACTTAGTTTTTTAGTGGGATGGGGGTGCCAACACCATACCCAACCCTCCTCCTTTATCCGGGCTTGGGACCGGCAATAACTCCAAAGCGGCTACAGGCAGAGTTAATATTTAACTTTGTGTCGACATATTTGTGATATAGTGTCAAATGGAATTGTACATACATACCGCTGAGACTATTGTTTTTATCTTCCTAACAATCATAGGCTCCTTAAATACTTTAACTTCACAAGTACGTATACTGAACTTGTAAAATACAGTAAGTATACTCCTCTGGAACACATATTCTGAAAATATCAATCACAGAATTCATGCCAGTTTACTGGCATGATCAGTTAGACATAGGACAGATATGTGATAATAGATTGAAGTGTACTAGTTAAGAAAATTGTTTGTGAAGTACATTTTTCACATGGATTAAAGAAAGGCACCAGTCGAGAACTGTAATTTCTTTTTGGGTGGATATCCTGTTGATGTATGAACAGTGTATTTAACGTCATTTCCAGTTCCATAACGGATAGATTACAATAATCTATGACTAAGGAAAATAAAACGGACACAGATAATATAGAGCAGAGCAATCAATGATTACCAATGTAGGTCAACCATTATTGCATGTAGAAAGTTATTTCATGGTCTCCTGTTCGGTTTGATTATTATCTAAACCAGTTAATTTTATCGGGTACAGTATTAGTGTAAAGTATTTGTTAGTAGGGAGGTTTGATGATTAGGTTCAGTGATAAAATCGACTAAACATTAGAAGGGTCATACCTAAGGAGTCAATTTTGGTTGGGGATCTGGATAAATCTGGGTATGCTTTCCTATATTGTTTAAAAGATCTAATCGTAACAATGTTTCAAAAAGTCTTCCTTTTCGGACTACAAGGGTGAGTATGCCCTTCTAAAGTTCCATTGGGATAGATCATATTAAAGGGTAGAAGATCTATATTGAAATCCATTATACATCGGTTATCGTGGACTACAACCGAATTATGTGAATTAGATGACAATTTAACATTTTTCATTCGTAAATTATTGCATTGGATGATATGTGTTGCTATTTACACGAGTAGGTTTTGTCAAAGATACAACATTCATTGTAGTTTCTACATCAATATTTTCTGAGCGCTATTGTGTAGTGAACTTGTCTGAAATTTTCCGTGGATTTTTAAACTTTGTGCACAAACTAACCTTTCGGATTCATTCAGTTGTTCAGCTGCTAAATTTGAATCAAATTTAGGCAAGATAAAGAACGAACACTCTTTGTACTTTTTATTCAGTTGGATAAATTGGTATGGACTGAGCTGAAAGTTAACTACTTTCATCACCTCACTGATTTAAGTGAGATTTTGACAGTGAATTGTAAATAATCACCTAATTTCCACAGATTACTCAGTAACCTCAATAACAATGATATGTGTAACTGTATGTTTTTTATATTTGTTGAATTTTTTTCAGATACTCCATTCGATGAACAAAGTATATTCAAATAGAACATGAATACTCATTGCTGATTTATCACGCACAAACTTATTTATTATCCATTTAAAGAGAGAATAATACGCATGAAAACCACTAGAACACATGACCTTTATTGATATTTCTCAAAACATAAAGTTTTTGCAATACAATTTCTTAATGAATTAACATCAACACAAGAGTATCTTGACATTTTCTTACATTATATTATCATTGTAAAAAAAAAATAGAAATTTAATTCTGATTTTTAATATGCTTCATCATCAAGAGTTCATTTTATTGTCTCTATTTTCTTCTAAACAAATAAGTTAAAAAAAAAAGATTCACATTGTTATTTTAGCGTAGGAAGATTAATTCAATCATAGAACTTATCATAAAATATATATATTTTTTTCTATTATTCTTACCGTATTAATGTATTGAATGTAGATTTTTCGAGACAAACTAAATGAAATCCATTCAATAATTTATTTCTTAAATTTATTTGATTATCAAAAATACCTACACACACACACACACACACACACACACACACACACGCACACACACATCACAGAAAATAGCACGTTTTTAGTACGAGCCAATTCAGTTTTTTCTTTGTTTTCTTCATTGACACGTATCTTGAAATTCTTTATCTACCGGTTTTAATATTAACTAATTATTATTATTATTATTATTATAATCATTATTTATTTATTAATTTATCTTATAAAATATAATGAGTTATCAATCAATATATTTACAAATAAGTTTGCTTGTTTTTAATCAATTTGTATTCAACCTTGCCTTATTGATTCAACATAGAGCATGATGGCAAGCGTCTTTTTACCATATGTGCTTGCATTTTTCTGCCAATAACATGATCAAAAAGTTAACTTTTGATATATGGAGCCTAGGGCACAATTACAAATTTATTTATTTATTTCTAATAAAAGTTCGGATCAAATTAAAACAAGAAAATAAAACTGTGCAAAATAATGATTACTTGTTCATTTAAATTCTCTTCTCCTAATGAACTTTATTTATTTGATGACATTTTATTCTTTCTCTACAATATCTCACAATCAATCGAACGAAACATGTTTGAATATTCTTTATTACTTACTTTCAAACATTGTGCCATTATAAATTATTTTTTTTTCCTTTTATTGCTTTTCATGCATACATACATACATGTTTTATAATTGTTTACAATCGAATATGAAATTTTTCTTACATGAAAGATTTCTTACTAACAATATTATTACTTTTGTATTATACATAAATTTGTGCAACAGAATAAAAGATTATATCATTATCATTGTATCAATTGACATAACTTTTTACATTGAAAAATATTGAAGTATTTCTTCTGGTTAGCGTTTTTTTGGCAAGTTAGTTTTTTGACGGGATGAGGTCGCCAACCCAATGCCTAACCCTCCTCCTTTATCCCGGCTTGGGACCGGCAGTAACCCCGAAGGGTCTAGAGGCGGAGTTATTGAAAAATATTAATCATTCCTAATTCACTTTATATATATATTAGTAAGAAAGTCACATTAGAGATATAGCGTTGGTATGAAATACTATTGACAATGTAATGAAGTAAACTTTATTTTATTAAAAGCAAATAGTGATGAATACTAATAATTCTGCGTTCATTTGAGTGGAAGGATTTAATGAAGACGAGTTAACTGTCTCTTATAGTTCATCATCATCATCAAAATATACTTCAATTAGAAAATCATCATATAAACTATGTAGTTATTATGTTACACATTCATCAGTCATATATTGAAGCATAGGCTAGTGTGAAATATTCTATACTTAAAATAGACATTTCGCCTACACGCTTACTCAATCAATTATAAAAAGTTATAAACTAATGAGTAATTTCATATATTGCATAATTAAGAAGTCATTAGTAAACAGTGATGTTTTTCAGCTAGCTACAACACTTCAGTATGTATCTGTAAAATGAATGTATTACACCTTTCAACAGCTTGTTCAAATTACTGCTCATTTAAGTTAACTTTACAAATAAAAGTTAATTATCTTCTCAACCAAAACAATTATACAAATAAAACATAAACAACTTGAAGTAGATTATTTTTCATTTTTGTTATTTCTATTTTTGATTAAGTGAACCGATATGAATTTACCGTAGTTAGAAATAAATAATACTTCAAAATGTTTACATCACATAGAAATAAAAAAGGATTACAAAGCAATTCACTTGATTCAAGTGCGTTGCTCAAAACTAGTAAACGATGTGTATATAGAAAGGTGATATTCTTTCTAGTTGGTTTATCTCAATCAAGCAATCTGATAATTTTCAAAAAAACCATATTCACTAAGCCAAAATATTGATTACTGTCATTTCTAAAAACAGCTGATCAATTTGTCTTTAAATAAGTTGACTTTCATTAGGTGGTCATTACTTGATTACAAAATGTCGTCTCTTCTATCGTTACAACATATTTATTTAGTTTGATTAATGAAGTAGTCATTAATTGATTTTCCAGATCTCTCTTACTACAAAGTAAATGTCATATGTTTATTTATCTACGATTGAACTATTCAGTGAACTTAACCTGTTTTTTTCTTTTATCTCTAAATAGTTAATATGTGTTTAATGATCCATACTTTCTTTATTACTTTCTATTTAGTTTTTACGCTGTGTAATTTTTTTTTTGTTTAAGGATACAATTTAAGAGTTGACAGAACTGAAATCAAAGCATAAAAGTTATTTATTTATTTAGGCTTATGTTTTGGTTATTAAGTTACTTTGAATGATGATATTGATCGATTAAATGACATGAATCATAGTCAGCATAAAGAGTTCAACAGAAAACACGTATTTTACGTTTGAATAAATTACCTATTTTTCATTTAACGATGAATATTACACTAATCAAGCATACATATTGAGAATGTAAATAAAATGTGAAAAATGATTCTCTAACGAAGTTTAACTTGATTGAAACAAAACACTCATTCCAGCTCTACATCTAGATTGAAAATAATGAACTGTCCATACTTATTCGGTGCCTTATGAAAGAATACCTGTCCTATCAATAATGTTCGTTTCACCTTGATTTACTGTAAACTAACTCGTATGTTCGTTTGAACAGTCAATGTAGATAATAATGCTCTACCATAAAGCACGCTTGTATATATACAACTTGTTTTATACTCATACTTATTTATACATATAACTTGAGAAGTCCACTGGAGGCTTTATTTAAATAAGTCCTGTTGAATAGAAATTCATTAATTCAACGTCCATTTGATGGGATCAGTTCATTGCCCTTAAATATTATCTTATTCAACAGTACGGAAAGCTTGTCTTGGTTATAATCTATCTGTGACTTTTAAATGAATCTTCCAAGTTCGTGGGAAATCTGACTAACCAAATTGATTTAAGGTGATTAAATAAACGAATTATTTGAAATTTCCGCCACAGATTTCGTAAATTAGTGATAGAAATCTATTATTATGTTGATAAAAGCATAGTACAATAATGATTTATTGCGGATTTATTAAAATTATTTCAGAGCTCTTTTTAAATTCTGTCATTTTTTAAGTCCATAACTATTGAGATAATGTTCTGTGATAATATAGACACAATCTTTAAAATAATAGACTGATCTGTCAGTATGTCAAAAATGAAATTATTTCTAAGTGATTTAAACGTTTCTACATTACAGTAAGAAGTTTATCTAATAAACATGAGGTATATGATCACATTTTTGAATAATCACCTATAGATGTTTGATTATATGTTGAGCATTTGTTAGGATTGTTTCGATTATCGCTTCTGATTAAGTTGACCATAGAATGAAATGGTTGGTCATTCATAATGATAATAAGTTTACTTTTTTTATAGTATTTCTCATTCATTCATTCACACTGATTTTCTACCATCAATCTTTTTATTTCTTAGATTTTAAGTAGATATTTATCTATTAGTCATGATAATTTTTTTTGATTATTGCAATTTCTTTAGTTTATCAGTTGTAAATAGAGGTGACATTAACTAGATGTTTTATTCACGTGTCATGAACATAGCAGTTGGTTCATCAAACAATTAATAAGCATCATATAATTATTGACACTTTTAATACAAGACATAAAAAAAATTAAAAGAAATTTATTTCATCTCATTAATCTCATATAGATTGTAATCAGTTTGAATGTAAATCTGTAAATAAGCATTGTATACCAGATACTGAAGTGAGTTATACATAGAATCTGTAATTATTTAATTTAAATTCTGAAAATAACCAAAAGACGTGACACAGAAAATAATAATAATAATAAAATGACTCAATCAAACCAGATGATAATATACCGAGTAAACAAAAAACAGCTTAATTTGCTTAGTCATTATTGCACAGTCATTTCGAAATTAACTAGGACCATAATCAAAAGAAAATTGATACAAACAATATCATTATATTTTTTTAAAAAAGATACTCGTACTACCACTTGTTACGATTGTGTTAATAACATTTCACTTGCTACTATATACAATGGAATGAAGATCATTACTGGCAGTTGTAATGAAGGAAAGTGGCAGAAGACTTCTTTGTGAACCAATTATTTAGATCAGTCTATACTTATAATGACCGGTTCGTGGGGTTATTTAATGGGAACCCCGTTAACTGAGTAACTACATGATGTACGTTTGACAACACATAGAATTATAAGTTTACTTCAAAGTGTAGATAAATTGTGATGGGCATTTGCAAACATAAACATAGATTCCAGCCTCCTAGTTTGGTTGGCCTCAAAATCCTAACATCAAGCATTCTTTCGTTTGTTCAGATATTAGAATAAGTTTTGCCACAAAGAAACTTAATATTTACTCAAAAAAGCGATTTTCAAACAAGTGAAAATCTGAAGCATTTGATAGTGAAATTTAACAACAATAATTAAGTGTCCTTTATCCGAAACACTTGTCTTTATTTTACAGAAGAGAATGATCATATCATCGTAAAATTACTGTAGTCACTATAAAGTATAACAAACCAACCAATTGTCACCCATTATGTAACTTCAGCCTTTGATAAGTGTGCCATTATCCAGGAGGTACCTTGTGTTCTGAGGGAGTGTGAATAGCAATGGGTGAGGCTATCTGTAAGAGGAAAGAACATGAGCAAATATCGGCCGACGACTCAGTAAGCAAAGTGAATTCACTAATATTGAATAGAGAAAGCAATCAGAAATAATCCAAGCATGATACCATGACAAACTGGAAATCGAAACTGGATGTGAGAAGAGTAAGGTTTTGAATGTGTCACAATTATGTTATTTGAAATAACCGAGGGTTGTGATAGAGCCTCATTCTGAAGTAATTAACATGGATTAGACCATCGGTGTCGATTCACCTGTAATGGTTGTGGATCATGATCGGTGCCAAATAATAGTAGACAGATTTTTACATCAATAATTCATTTGACAGCTTTATTCTAGATGTATAACATGACGGCGTTTCCCTTAGTTCAAACTCTTGCCTGTTTGTAGCCACTAGAGAGTGCTTAGGTAAGATATGTGAATTTTTATCACACATGTTATAATTAGTTCCATTATTCAGGACACTGAATGGCTTGATTGAAATGCTACATATCACTAAGTTGCTAGTAGTAGTTTACAAGCTAAAATGCTGAAAATATGGTAGTTAGTCATCATGAACAAATATTTATTTATTTTAATGCTCGTTTCGGGGACGGTATGCAAAAGGGCTGAACACGTATATGTGGCGTTTGATAGCGTTACATCCAACAAACTCTTCCTAAGTAATGATCTCAAAGTCAATCAACCCAGGAATGATGTAAGATTAACCTCGAAGGTATATTTGAACTATGAGTCGTGTTATCGTAGTTCGTAAAATCTCAGTTGAATAGCTAAGGAGAGAGTTTGGTAGCACAGGGTACCTAAATATGATCCAGCGCAAGTATTTGTCCTCCAGCTAGGGTCGTGTCCAATTAAATCAGTGAGATCAACATTATTGTTGGAAGTTCACTAAACCATCTATTTTGGGGATTTATTTGCCACTACGGAACTACCATAAGGACCCCAGGTGTGAGCAAAATATATCTCCATGTTTGCGATTCAAACAAAAATATGCACTAGCACTAAAACCCAGTGCCTGTTTCTGTTGCTCAATTAAGGGATGCATATTTATTACAAGCTGAACTCCATGTATTTATCGAGAAACGTGGTTTCATTCTAACTTTTACACAGTGTTTCGATTTGATGTTGTGAATATTTTCTCCCACAAAACCAAAAGCTAAAGGTTTCCCGTAAAATTTGTCATAACTGTTTTAGGACATTGTATTTAGTTCTACAGTAATCTTTCGGTACTGCGTTCGGAATCTAGTTTTCTTATTATACGCATCAGTCCACTATGCTTCAACAAATAACCAAAGTATAATTTGGAAATGATAAAACCATCAGTTAAATGTATCTAAATGTTCTCCACATGTTGCCACTTCGGTCGAGCAGACCTGTTTAATGTTGCTTACACTTATCATTACAATATTTTCCAAACAGCAAATCATACTTCCACTGAAGCTTGAATTTTTCCATTATGTTGTATTTTTCTTAGTCAGTGACAATCTTAAACCATGTAGGTGAATTCGCTGCTCATTTTAACTGCATGTGGTCACTAAAAATCAGTTCTCGTTATCCATAATGATACACGAAGATTATATTGTTTCTCTGTTCTTCCATGACAGTTTCTCCTGATTCCACAAACCAATGATGTTTCCTGAATATACCTACCCACTGTGTCGCAGCAGCCTCTCTATCCATTGCCGTGTAGTAGATTTTCTTGTTTCGCATAAATTCTCTACCCTTGCAACCTTTATCAAACTCTGGTTTATTATATGCCTTTGTTAAACCCTCTCCAAGGAAGTGACTATATCAGAGATAAGATCCAGTTCTACAACACAGATTTCATCCCTCAACAGTGCTATCACACAGGTTTAAATCTCTTCACTCTAAACAGATGTACCCTGAAAATTATCAAATGAGCCACACATCCTGTTAATTTTTGGACAGACTGGAATACCTCCGATAATAAAATAAGATATATACAACCTGGAAAGATAAAATTCGGAACCCAGTGTCGTTGTAACGGAGAAGACTTACAGAGTAAACTTTCGTATTCACAATGAGATTCTTTAGAAGAAGCAGATTTCTATCTACGTATTTTTAAATTATTCAAGCTAGAATATAAATAAAGCTGATACTTTCGTTCCTGAGGTAAATCAGAGACAATGACGACTGGATCACCAACCTGCCTGTTCATTTATCTCCGAAGCTTGCATAAAGTCATACGTCTTCATTCATACCTATTCTGAATTACTGTATCTAATAATATTACTAATAGTTTATTAGCAAATAACATGTTACAAGAGGCATGCCAATTTACAGGCCAGATCAAAAGGTTAAAACTGTTAACATCTTTTGTGTGATTCAGCAGATACTTTTTTAAATTCGAACACTAACTATACACCTGCACCTATGCAGGTTGGTGAAGATGAATCACTAGTGAGAAAGCGAGCGGGCAAATAATCATATAAATAGAGGAAATTCAAAAGAACTAAATTGTTAGCAACAATATTGATTCAAAGAATATAATAATGAAGCACAGTGATCTGATGCTTCTGAGATATTTTATCTATCCTTTTTCTTTTTATCGCTGTAGCTCAAGAAGTCACAAGTGAGCTCTTTTTGGTAGTCTGCTTGTTTTAGTATATCTTGGTCGGCAGTGAGACCAGTGCAAGGTTACAAACATGAGTTGTAGATGCGGTTAACAAGGGAAAGTAACATCAGTATCATTGATTAGTTACATCCTGCCATGTCGTAAGGAGCCGTAAGCAAACGAAATGTTCTACCCCACAGACATGGGTAGACTGAGGTTATCACCCCACCAGCATGAATGCAGGTCAGATACACCACCCTCCCTCTTTTCGTGATGTCAGGGTCCCTTACGTTTAATTGAAAATTTCAAATGTTTTAAGCCTGAGCTCTATTTTTGGTGCACCTTGTCGAAATACACTTTCTCTACTAGCTCGACGTTACAAGCAAACCAGACAACTTTGGCTTCCGTAGGTTGGACTGATTATCCACTTAGCATATCACATTTCTATTGGGTTAACCAGTGGTATAAATTGTAAGACATGGGTCAGTTAACAGGAGATGTGGCTATCGCAAATAAGTTAGGATATTTTGGATTTATCAACGTATTTAAATGTGATGTGCTAGTTGCTTGAAAGTAAAATGATTTTCATCGGTTAGAATGAAGAATAATACTATTGTGAAAAAACTTTTAATGAGTAGGACTCAGGTATATACCGCTGATAAGTGACCCACAACTGTTAATGTTAATAGTTCAGAGGTTCATTCGTAAGTATTATAATAGTAGTGCAGTGGTATGATGTTAGTGATCATAGATAAATAGCTTATCTCAGAGAGCCATTCAGGTTGTTTCCCGTCCATTTCAGTCTTTAATTACCTCTGTATGTAGCTTGCCGTTTGAAAGCATTGCATAAATTCAGAGAAAAAGAAAGTTTACTGATCACTTAATTATCAGGTGTTCAAGAACTAATAATTGTAAGTTAATGCGTTAAACAAACATTTTGGACTACACACTGGTAGGGTGATTGATTGATTTCTCTAATACAATAAACGGTAAGCGTTGCCTATCCTCTTGACACGTGAACTGGAAGATAATGAGGAGGACGCAGGTGTTCAAATAATGTCACTTTGAATTCATGGTGATGGTATCTATCCGAAACCGTAACGGTGCTGTGGTCGATGCAGCAATGTCACTTACAGTTTACAGGAATTTTTCTCGAGGAAGTCAGCTGATGATCTGAACCAGGGACTGACCAATGGACCACAAAATTAGGCAGGTGAAATGCAACAATGAGGTTAATCAATTACACTAGTCTGGATACGTATGACAGTGTCAACGAACAACACGATTGTGGTTGTATGTGCTAATAGTTGTGATGAACCATTATTTGAGCGGTAACTGTTGAATATCTACCTAGCTACTAAGTCCAAATAGCCTATCACTTGTATGACGGATATGAGATTTAATTAGGTCCGAAATAGCTTGGGAAAATCTCGTGATCTATATTTTTGACTAAGATGTGTTCTGCCTTGGCAGACTACCTCGATGTAGCCTTTATGACATAACTTGATACAAAATAAGTTGAATGTGGCTGGCGTTAGCTATCTAGACTCGACCGCTAAGTGACTGACGCTATGGAGTGAACGGTGCTGTATCAAGTCTTGGAGTGAACATTGACCGGGAAATACCGGTATGTCAAGGGGAAAAAATGGTGCTCTGTATTCCAGTGCTCACCACATTTCAACTTTACTAAAATTAGTTGTGTTACTTGAAGTACTGCTCACAAAACTGAATCTTTTCTAGAGTATGGTTACAGTGCTCTTATCTTGACTGCTAGTCCAAGATACCTAGTATACTATGGTTTACTGGCTATAGTAAAAATTCTCAATATACATGAGTTTATGTAGAAGTCATACCACTGTCTACACTGGCTCTCCTCACTGTATAAAACAGTGCAATTTTTGTGAGGACTTTTAAAGAAAACACTGAGAATATCGATAAAATGTATATCTTATATGACTAAAAATTTAGCGTGATCCCGAATGAATGATCAAACTATCCGGGACGTTAGGACTCTCGAATTAGCGTTTACTGGTCTTCAGTAGTTCGCACAGATTGCCAAGCAATCTGATTAGACAGACCAGGTTCAAGTTTCTTTATCCTCAAAACCAATGAATTTATGAAACATTCCTGTCCCAGCACCACAGTATCTCCCTTGGTTAGCTACGACTGATCTAACTCTTTATGCAAAGTAGTGCTGAGTACAACATCGAAGAACCAAATACCACTGGACTGATAAAAACTTCCAGTTTATTTTAATTATAGGGAAACGTGAGACTATTTGCGTCTTGTTCCTTAAGGCTGACTCGGCACTAAATCACCTGCTAAATTATACTGGTTCTCTATGCTATGTTCTATCTTCTGTCGTTTTCATTCCATATACTGGCATTTTCTGGAAGTTATGTTACAACGTGTATTTTTCACAGTTATTGTCAAAATCCCAAAGTATGCTACTAGAATTTTTTTCTTGTTCATGGAAAACTATGTGCTGAAGATTGGAACTGTACCGAAAGAATAAGAATTGAGCGCAAAAAAATCAGTGGGTTCATACTAGCTCCTTAGAAAAATATTGGATATTGGAATTTAACCTTGTCGGTGCATTTAACTTCGACCTTCATGGGGGTGTCCCCTTCTGGAAAGGATAGTCACTATGAACGAAAATCTAAAACTAAGCACAAGCATAAACACAAGACAAGAGACAAAACTAAAATAGAGGATGAAGAGTCCCCGCATTCTGAAAGGCTCAAACGAGAGCACATCGATAAACGGTCCCACCACACTACCGGTGTCAAAATTAAGAAAGAACCTGAAGAGTCCTACAGCCCACCTCATAAGCGAAGATTAAACAATCCTGTAATATTGAAATCTAAGTCCCCTCGGAGAGGTGGTAGAGTTAGTTCTCCAGTTATCTTAAGAGATAATGAAAATATTTCTGAATCCCAACCTAATCTTGGGAAAAGTGGGTTGTTAGACAAAAATCCAGGAACAGTTGTTAAACAGAAAGCCAATTTTGAATTATCAGGTACGTCCAATTATTATTTATTGTATATCATCTTGTCCAGAGATGTGATATAAATGGCCGCTATTGCCGATTAATAGTAATTAGATAAATAGGGTACGTCATTATACTGGCACTTGGAGAAGAAACTGTCGAGCTATTCAGTTAACTGGACCAAATGAAAATCAGGCTGCATCAAATATGATACTTATAAACCCACCCATTATATAATCAAACTATTAGTAATATCTACTGGGAGCTTCCGAAATCTGTATTTATTTTTGAGTAGCTTCTTTCTCCCCTGATTGATTCCGTCTGGCCTAATATTCCTTCAGTTCGTTTGTTATTTTTAGTGATAATTTCAGGTTAACCCTAACTGTATATCCATACAATAACTCGGACCCGTTATGTCTCCAGATATTTATCAGAAATTCTATTATTTAAGCTTAGATTAAGTCTAATAGCTCACTAAAGTAGTGGATAAACAACAATTTCGTGTCATTGCATTGGCTTATTAAACCAAGTAGATGAAGTGTAGAAAAATTTATCCGAGATTTACTGACTAACAGACGAATTTTTCTATCCTGGTGGTGTCAACAGTTTCCTAATTCCATAAGTTCTTACTATACGAATTTCTATCACTTTTATATCGATTTCAGACGGATCAAAGTCCAGGAACTAGCTGGATTATCTATTTTCTTTTAAGTCTACTTACGATCAAGCATGTTGCTGTCACTTCTCCAAGTTAAAGTGCCTTGTGGGCCTATATGATTTACTATCTAGTTTTCTCACATAGCTTGCCGTTTATTATTTAAAACCATTTCATGTAGCTTGAAACCAAATCTTTGGTGTCTAAATATGTTATAGGTATTGTGAGTGGTTCCTGTTACCTGTGCCCCCACAAATCTGTCAAACACTAGTTAATTTCATATTTTTATAATACCCAATCCACTTCAATCGTTAGAGAATGGCGATGTTTAGTTAGTTGTGAGAATAGGCCAACCTCTTTCGAAAAATGCCTGTATGCTTTTTGAGTTCACAAATCAAAATTTTGTCGTAACGTAATCCAAATACTGAAACTATTGACTAATGTATTTAAAGACAAACTGGATTACTAATAGACGTAGTAAATGGTTCTACGTTTGTTACTCTTCTCATTGCATATTATTTTGGGTTAACTAATCGTTGCCTTTATCTTTCTGTTTTTCTAATTAAAAGGCAAACTTGCGGAGGATACAAATGTTTTTAAAGGTGTTGTAATAAAATATAACGAACCAGAAGATGCTAGAAAACCTACAACACATTGGAGGCTGTATGCCTTCAAAGGAAACAAAACACTATCCGTACTGCATATACATAGGCAAAGTGGATTCTTAATTGGTCGTGATCGGAAAATTGCCGATATTCCTATGGATCATCCAAGTATTTCCAAACAGCATGCTGTGTTGCAGTATAGACTTGTAAGTTACAAGTTTAACACTGATGTTAGTGCGTTTATTGGTTCCTTGTTGTGTAACGGGTATTTTTGCCGTAAGTAATAAATAAAGCAGTAGTATCTAGGTTCACTCAACTAAAATACTAAGACTCGCCTTAATTTTCAATAAGAAAAAAGTAGCTTTTCTAAGATGATTAAGACATACTTAAAATGTAAAACTGACGTTTGTTGCTTAAACTTTTTCCACTGAATCATACTTCGTGAATAATATCTTCTAATCCTAACCTCTCCGACTACTTCTAATACCTTTACTACCTCTTCTACTATTGGATTTGAATTAACAATTACATCTCTGTGCTGATGTGGTATGGCGACATGAATTGATGTATTTACGTACGAAGTTCTACGTTGCATCTGACTGACGTTTGTTGCTAAGCTTAAGTAGTCAGTAAAAAGTACTACTTAGTAATTGCATTTGTTGGTTTCTTTACTGATTTGTTGTTCGACTGAGATTGATGCAATTCATAAACATACTTATCTCTTTTATTTTGTATTATAAAAGTATGTAATTCAAGTGTACTATCAAAATAAATGAATTCTAGACAATTAGAAATTAAATTAAAGAATATAAAATGCACAGAAGTCTTCTTCAGCGTAACAGACTTTCAATACTTAGCTGTCCTAACACACTGAAAACAAGATAACATATGTCAACTATGCACCATAGCGTACGGGTTAAAAGTGTATCAGGCTAGGTGACAGTAGGTTTCACGTTTTTTTTTCGTGAGTAGATAGGTTACGAATAAATAAACCTAGAACATATTGATTCGAAATGTCGTTTTCGTCATGTTTATCGTTCTTCTTCAACTGCATCACATGATGACAAAAATCGTGCTAATAATAGTAATAACATAACGCTTAGTTACAATGGAGATGTTCTTTTCATTTGAATTTCTCATTACATATATGCCTAATACAGGAATTTCAGAGAGGTAAAGAAATGTGCCAACCACTGTTAGTTCCTCCAGAAATTTGTGATATTAAATTAACGACTGGTTGTAAGCTTTTTTAAACCGAATGAGTATATTATGCGATTAGCGTATGCAAACAGTTGGATCAAGAAGTTTAGAGTTATAAACTAGTTATCATTTATTATTCCTCTCTATCTTATTGTACATTTAATCTTTCGTTTAGGTTCGTGGCCTCATTCGCTTGTATATCATAGATTTAGAGTCAGCAAACGGTACTTATTTGAACAACAACAGAATAGAATCTCGTCGTTACTATGAGCTCCTTGAGAAAGATGTAATCAAGTTTGGTTTCTCAACACGTGAATATGTTGTCATGACATCAGAAACTGACATGGATGATTCATCTTAATTATTTTTGATGTACAGTCTTTGTAAATATATGTTGATTATTACTGAACCTTTTTAGGATTGAACTTAATTCGTCAAACTGTGTTGTACCTTATCTAAAGCTTTAATTAGAATGAATGATGGGCTCAAGTGATATTTTCATTTTTATTTTTCTCATAGGAGTAATTAGTTTCGGCAAAACTCAGCTGTAAAGTCTAATCACTCCTACGTTTTTAGCAGATATAGTGAACTGCATTAAAGCAGCAGAGGAAAGCAAATATATTGCTTATCTCAATTACATGTATACTGCCCGGTTGTTTAGTAAAATAATAGAAATGCATTTGTAATAATAATTCACAAATTGATAGCGAACATGGCTCCTTTCGGAACCTTATGTCTCACTGAGCCATGGAATATCTAAAGAAAATGAGAGGTGTGTGACTAGGAAGAACTAATACTTATCAATATGTTTAAGTAACCTGAGATTACTGTTAGAGGGTGATTGAGTAGTTAGTGCTGATTTGTCTGATATTGTTATTCTACGCGAATCACTATATACATCGAAATATAGAGTATATACTTACCTACGTCGCAGACTTATAACTTGGGATGTTGATATCAAATACTAGTTAACATTGCTTTTGAAAACAATCTCGTAAAACCCAAACAGGATTTGTTAAAACTCATCGTTTTCGAAGTCATTTACTCAAAGTACATAAACCATATATAAGACTCGAATTTCTGTCTTGACTTATCTCACCATTACTGCGTGGTCTAAAGCCAAACATATGAACTTACTAGTGTTCTACTAAATAATCTAAACGTTGTTACCAGTCATTTACATTTTTGTCAACATTATTTGTATGACTGAATCAACTTTTCTGACGTAGCTAACGACTGAATCACTGCTCGACCGTGGCTGCTACTTAAACATGGTGTTCGGGCTTGCCTATCGTGATGACCTAACTGAGCTATATCGGCTGCAACGTATGTTCCTTTAAGTTCTACCATACCAGGTAGGTTGATTAGAGGACGGTAAGTTCTCTTAGTCTTGACCCCAATAAGCAGTCTCTTGTGCGCTGTTCAACTGAATGGGGCAGTAAGTCCCTCAAAGATAGGGACACTGAGACTATCTCGATAGACGATGGGCTTGTTCTTCATTCTCAATCCAGGAGACTGGATCGATGGGCAGAGCACTTCAGGTCAACCTGAATGACGAATCGATGTGAGTCCTCCGACTCCTAATGAAGTAGAAAAAGCTATAGGAAATCTAATGCGAGGAAAAGCAGTAGAGCCTGACAGACTTACCCCTGAAGTTTTTAAGAATGTTGAACCAGTTTTGGCAGTTAGATTGACCGCGATCTTAGGCAAAATAGGGGCACTAGACTTAACCCCATCTAACTGGTCTCAACCCCTGATTGTCCCAGTCTGTAAGAAAGGACGAAAGTCCTCTTGTGACAGTCGCGGAGGAATCAGTCTAACTAACATAGTATCGGATATGTTAGCCTCGATAATGCTTCGACGTTTAACAAGAGCGGCATCCGACTCTGTTGGTCGTGAGGTTCTGTGGCAGTGTCTGTCATTGAAAGGTGTACCAAAGAAGTACATTGACCTTATACAAACTCTCTACTCGAACACCAGTGGTCGAGCCAGATCTAATGGCGAACTGTCATTGGAATTCTCTACTTCAAGTGGTGTCCGTCAGGGATGTCCACTCTCTCCATTCTTGTCTAACTTTGTCGTAAACATGCTTTTAGAGTAAACATTATGCTTGTCATATTTTTCAGGGTGAACCTTCTACCAGGAGGGTCGCTTATTGACCTAGAAAATGCCGATGACCTAGTTCTATTTGGTGAAGACGCTGACAAAATGCAGTCTTCTGACTACACTAAGCAACAATGCAAGCATGTTCGATATGCAATTGTCCCCGTCGAAATGCAAGATTGGTTTGTGTCGACACCTAAACTAGTGATAGTGAGTAAAGTAGTCGAGCGTGTAGACCGCTTCACTTGTCTGGAGAGTCTCATCAGTGCTGATGGCCTGGTGACTGACGAAATTTCAGCATGGATATAGAAGGTAAAACGGCTTTCGCCAACTTGCGTCACTTATGGCGAAGGCAAGGTATCCGTTCGCTAACCAAAAGTCGAGCCTACTGCGCAGTAGTTTGCTCCGTCCTACTATATGAATGCGAAAAATGGCCGGTAAGAGTAGAAGACATTCGTAGGTTACCAGCATTCGATTATAGGTATGTTAGAACTATTGCTTATATATCCTGGAATAGCCGAGTAAGAAATGCTATAGTTAAGGGAGGATTACTAGGTAAGGATGGCAGGTCAATAGATGAAGTAGTGAAACTTCATCGATTGAGGTGGTTGGGACGTGTTACGTATGGGCAACCACCGACTGCATCGCCGACCTATGTTTTGCCATGCAGGAATCGGTTGAAAGAAACCTAGGGGCGGCCAGATTAAAGCATGGAACAAATCCATGAAGTCACTGACAAGTGGACTGAGTCATGTTGGCAGATGCAGGCTACCTGGTTGGGGTCCACGAGACAATAGTAACCGGTAGTTATGGACTTTGGAAGAAATGGCTCAAAATCGTTGGCAATGGCGCAGGTGCACCCACTCTTTGTGTTCTCTGAAATCCTGAATTCATCACCTTTATCTTTCTCTTTTTTAATTTATTTCACTGCATTATAGTTCTTGAATAGTCTCTTCGAATCCTAACCTTTTTGATTACCGCTATTACCTCTACTACATCTACACTATGGAATCGGAATAGACAAGTGCGTTTCTGTGTTAATATGGTATGGCAACTGGAACTGATGTACCTACGTACGAAGTTCTGCGTTGTAGCTGACTGATTGGCCCAGGTAGAATAATCACTTTTCTGTTCAAGCTTAGGACTCGTCAGGAGCTTGCACTGTCAAATCTTTCTATCAATGGTTGTACGACTGTTTGGGTTGTCATAAGACTATTGACCAAATGATTCACATGCCTCAACATCAGTTCATAGTTATAGCATATACGGTTCGCCTAATGCCTTAGTTCGTATCCATAACTCAAAAAATCTTTCGCTACGAGAAAGAAATTCAGGTGATCTATTATAAACGAAATGGGAAAATAGATTTAAACGCTTATTCTTGCTACTATCACCACATAATTGGTAAGTGGACAGTCATTTGCTTCATGAACACCCTATTTGTGTTTAAATTAGAAAAAAAAGATTATGTAAAGCCAATTGAGTCAATATGCATAAACTTTTTTATAACAACTAAAAACACAATGTAGAATAAGTTTTAGAGGAAGTACATCGATAATCTTATTCAAGTGTACGCAAATACGCACAAATGTGAATAAGAGTGAAACAAAATGAAATTCGAATACCGGGATAGGTAATAACACTACAGTACCTCACATTGCATATATATGTCTACAGTTAGTAAAAGTAGTCTTTTTTAAACAACGAACAGTACCCTAATTCGGCCACTGTCGAATCAACCTTTAAAAATTACATCGCAAGCTAGCAACCAGGCATCAACATGAAAGGAAGATAAGCTGAGTAAGAAATATGGAAGTCGCACGTGCAAAAACAACGAGAATTAAAATAAAACTAAATACTGGGCCAAGTAGAATATATATATAATTTATAAGTAAAAAGTAGAGTAGATGAAAAAACAATCAGAAGAAAAAAAACGAAAGATCAAGAAGTCGGAACCCGGTTAAAAATAAAAATGTTCGTGGTACATTCACACTTCGAAATGAGTAAAATCTGATCATAAGATTGCATACGATAGATACATTTGTTTATCATTATTATTATTATTATTATGACCAATAATATCGGAAAAGATACACATACCAACCACATGGAAGGAATTAAACGTTATAGACATAAAAGTATTTTGGGAGATCAAAACTAATGAATAATGTCTGTTCGTTTTTCGTTAAAAAAAAGACTTAAAATACTAACAGTGTATAAAAAACAAATTATTTTCAAAATCATCGTGTTTTGATCAATGTAAAAGCTAAATATTACCAAATTTAACAATTAAAATTAATTTAAAGGAACTAGTTTTAGTGAAAAAGAATAAGCATGTTAGATGATGAAGTTGGTAAGGATTTTGAAGAAATAGGAAGCACTCTATGTATACATATATTTATACGTTGATTAGGCACAATACTCCGACAGATGAGATTGGATAAGTTATCATTTAAATAACACCAGATTATTGAAGCAATTTTTCGTTTCGGTATTAGGAATCATCTAATAATAATAAATGCTGAGTTCAATCAACTATTTAAAATAATTTAGCTTCTTTTAGGTTTAGGAGCTAATTTTGGAGCAGAGTGTATGGAAGAACCAGATGAATCGGATTTTGTTGCTTCGAAAGCTGCTACCCGAGCAGCTATTGAAAGTCTCGGTTCAGTAGTTGGTTGTTCATCGGTAGCTTGTGATAACTCATGTTTTTTCTCATCAGAACTTGCTCTACTAAAACGCGACAAGCTTTGAGGAACCTCCACTAGCTGAACTGCATGATTAGATTTACTTCGTAATATGACTCTGCCAAGTTCTCCACAGCTTGTGTTACCAGCGCTACTGGAAGGATATTGACTTGAATTTACTGAAGATAGAGGTGACGAATGGGTTTCGGAACGCTTTCGCATTGTATTCAAAGTTTGTTCGGCAAAATGTTCAGCGAAACTGTCACCCGACTCCTCATGAGAACAACTGGTGGAAGGTGTGCTTTTTTGCACTTTAGAATCCGATGATACAGGAAGATCCATGACCAAATCTGGGGCGTGTTTCGCGCTGGGTAAGCAAAGCTTACGAGTCAGTTCTTGGTTGCGTTCTAACGTTCTGGAATCACTATTACGACTATCCGCCTGTTCCAAAGAGGCCAAGCCACGCATGACCTTAATCAAAGAGATTGACGAGTTAAAAAATGACTTGAACAGAATAAATTTTTACTTTATTACTCTCAATAGTTGTTTAGAAAATTTCATCTATCAAAGTACTTTTGGAATACTTAAATACACAAAATTCCTGACAGTCACGTTAACAGTTTATTACTGACAAATGATAGAATAACCCATGCTAATTTGCTCTATCGAATCGCTTATAAATAGCAATGTTATAAAGTTGAGTTCTATCCACAGTCTTACGTATATATTTTGACTTACTTTGAAACTGTGTTATAACAGATCTTTAAATCCAAAGAAAACAAATGTAAATTTTATGGCGAATGAATGCTAGTAATTCACATACGACCGTGATCATTGTGTTATTTAATCGTAAAACTGATGAATGAATTTTGCAGTGTTGATGGTTGGATGAGAAATTTTTAGGACATAAAAAGGACTATTCATAAACTTCCACTCGATTTTACACATTTAGTTAGAAACATAACCTGCTTTGGTTTGGTCGTCCGAGCAATATTCCAGCTCAATCACTAACTCAGTAATTTGTGTAGTGCAAAAATATTTGGGTGTCCCCTTATACCAATGCTTGTGTTTGAATAAATCAAAAAACATGATCACAGCAGTAGAGATTCAGCACTGTAAGTGGATGCTTCGGAAAGGAAGGTAATATAGTTTCAATTTCATATGTTATGTTAACATGAGACTGAAAATAACTATACTCTCGAAATTAGTCTAATTCGATTGATGAAAAAATTTAAGTTGTACAGTTCTAACTACTTAAAGAACCTTAAGTAACATCACAGATGATACAAACTTTAAAAAGACCAAATACAGTAGTGGATTGCTAAACAAAATAATTGAGATTACTTAAGGCTGGTCATTTGATTGTAAAGTTCAAAATATCAACTTTCTTATAATTAGCTTAATACATAGATCAGTCAATAATGTACCCTAACTAATGATACGTCATCATAATTTAAGTCTATTGAGATAGTGTTAGTCCGAATTGAGCCAAGTGGTGTGGAAATATGGTCACACTTTAGGGTGGTGATATTATTGAGACATTTTTAAAAATCGGAAAGTGGAGCAACATTGGTTTGTCATGAAAATATGTGTATAAACTGTTCTGATCAATTGGCCTCTGAATAGATCTCATCAGGTTATTGCAAGACACTAACAACTAATCCCATAATTTGTGACGACAACAAGTAGTAACACTTCACAGTAGTAAACAGAAATAACAGATCTTTATGCAATATTACTGCTTGGTTCTCAAACATCGATATCCATCACTACGGTGTGTGAACAAATCACTTTAATCAAAACGGCAATTTAAATTCAGTACAAAATGAGTCATTACTATTGCTCCAGTCAACTCAATCCCGCGAAGTATGATGACCAGATAGATTACTTAATATTAATGTTTGAAGTAGGAAAAAGAGTTTGAATCTGCAACCTATAAAAAAAGACTATAGATTCAATCAGATAGTTATTTTAACAAAATACTGGCAAAATTACCATGACAACATTTAATAAATAAAAAGCCTACCTCTTCTAAGGCTGTATCAACGTCAGAATTAAACAAAAATCGTGAGCTTCCTTCACCTACAGATTGACAACGAATATTTGCTTCATTTAAGTTATACGTAGGAGAAGATGGATTCAATTCACTGGATGGTATAACTTCATTTTCAGGAACAGAACCTAAAGGTCCGAAAGCCGGATAACTAATAGTATGACGTTGATTAAATCGATGAATTACAAGTTTATCTGAATAACCGGATTCTGATTTTTTATCGGTAGATCTGTGAGATTCTGACATAGTATTAGAATTATCTTTACAGGTAGTCGACTTTATACCTGAATTATAAAACAAGAAATAAAAGTATGGAATAGTTAATTAAAATCACGAAGAAAAAAATCATTCAGCTATTTATTCTGGTATCCTTAAAATTCAAACTTACATAACTATTTCATTCTAGATTAAGTATTATTGTGATAATTAAACAATACGTTTCAAAATGGATCAAAACACAGGTGTTATCATTCGTTAATTTCAGAATGATGTTTGATCTTACCACTAGGAATTAAAACTCTATCTTGATTATAACTCATATAATGAAACTAGATTAAATTTGATAAGTATAATGCACTTTATGCAGTGCACACCTAGCTAGATACTTAAAACTTAAAATATGAACTCGATGATGGTAAGGAAGTTACTCAACATACTGAAGCATAGTTAGTCATCAAAAATGTACAACCTGGAAACAATACGCATCAGTTTAGGTTTCTCTACATCAGAACAATCAAACGAAATCAACGAGGCCAGAAAATTCGGTGGAAGATAATACCGAAAACAAAGAAAATTCAAACATGAAAAATTAACTTTGAAAGAAACATATTGAGCTGAAGAACATATTTCATAACTAGTGAAGGTCTTACATTGTGTTTTTTTTATCGCTAGTACGACCTTAGCATAACTAAGTGGTTTCATTAGACAATTTCATAATTTGATCTATACAAATGATATTAGTTTATGAAATTCAACCTTAAATGAAATCTGTATAACAAGTGAGATGGTTACAATACAAGTAACATATCTACTGAGTCAATCATTATCCTACATTGAAAAAGTGTTAACACATAAAATAGAAGGAATACACAGATGTGTATATGGTTTGATTAGTTACGAAAATAAATTGATTAAAAAAGTAATTACGTAAATTCCTTTTTACCTTTATCAGAATTTTGAATCATTGTAGATTTGTCTTTGGGAATAAGATTATCATGAATAGTTTTAGATATATTTGTAGTTACCGATTGATTTAATTTGTCATCTATTGAAATTCCAGTTTCAGACTCTGATACATTTTGTACTTTATCATCATTAATATCAGAAAGTATATGTTCATTTGAACTTTCAGAAGGACTATTCCAACTGATTACACTACCATTTTCTGCTGCACTTTTATTATCTGCATCGTTATCATTATCATCATCATCATCAACATTATCAACGGCATCAACATGATCTAAATTAGTCAAGCTACCATCACTTGCTGTACATCCACTCTTTTTAGACATATCAATGGTCATCTCGTCTAACAATTGATTATCATCACCATGTTCATCATCTTCACATGTTGCAAGGTGTAGTAGAGCAGCTTTTGGTACAACATATAAATGTGGTACCAAACCACGTCTACAACTCGAATCTGAAGCTAATTGTCCTTCCCACCAATGTTGACTTAATTGACGATAAAGGAAAATCTCATCACCTCGATGAAATGTTAATTCTCGTTCACTTGCCCCGGTAAAATCTGCACGAGCAATGGCTAAAGTGTAAGCTGGCTCGGAATCTATTTTTGTCAAATATATAAATATAAAAAATATCATAAGTTTCTCTAAAAAATACCTTAAAATAAAGAGAATTTAGAAGGGAATATTTCAACTTAAAGAGAGAATAAATTTCCATAAAAATCACTAGGAAACGACTCAATAAACTGATCTGCATATGCAGATCTGGCTAGTGAATAATGTGGTGGATGCTAGTCACACAAGGTGGCAGATAAATATTATACAGAGGAGCGTGTTTCAGAAGTTGCTACTAGAAAGGAGTATCTGGAGATGCATCAGAGTATATTGAAGAGATCTGAGAGAAGACAGTCGTTAACCTGCTTATATATCAAATTGCAGTTTGAAGATTACAGGTACATATTTGTAAGTAAACTGTCTTCTCCAAAGAAATATATTTTATTTGGTCTTGACTTCTTCGTACACTACACTCATACGGATTGAAGTAACTAAAAACTGAACTTATTTAGGGAAGAAATTTTCTAAAACCTAACTAATTTCCTCTGGTGATGAAACAAAATAGTCAACATGACAGTGTTGTAAACGGTCGATTCTAAACCAGCGATGCTGATGGAGTATAATAGGATGTTAAAGGAGAAAATGACGTAACGAACTAATTTAGTCAACGATAGTCACAATAAAACATCTCCAAATGTTGCTTGGGTGCCTAGTAAATTATAGTGCAAAAACACCACCTGCTGGTCAATCAATTTTAAAGTTGTAAATAGAAGAACAGCGATGTTATTGCTGAACAAATGAGACCATTATACATGACTTATATTATAGCTCGTATATACAACCACTCAAACTGATTAGTTGGTATAAAATAGTTTCTGTATTATTCAATATTAAACATAATTGATGTAAAATTCAACAAAACCAATTATGAAAATAAAATGCCGTAAGCGTAGAAATTCAATTATTTAAGCAACTATTAAAGTAAGCATATCATTTAGAGTAGAGAGTGATTAATTTTCAGACAGGAATGTTTGTAGAAAAAAGAAACATTAAATTTCATCTTCTATTAATAAGTGTACTATTCAAGTGTGTATTGTATATACCACACACAAATGTAAATGAATATTGCCCACCAAAAAAAACAAAACATTTAAATTAATTTACACATCATTTGTGTTTGTGGGTGGTGGTGGTGATGGTGTTTGTTTCTCTCTTGGTGAAATAACCAGAAAAAAAAACATAGACCATGAATATATACCATAAATGATTATCATCATATAATAATGGTGTTGCCAAATCTTAATCTGTTTAAACAAAAAATAAATAATAATATTTACAAATAAAAAACAAACAAACAATGACAGGAAGTTTTTTATCATTTATAATTCAATCATCATCATTATTATCAATTAGAATATTAATCTATCACAAAATAATGAATAAATAAATAAAATATCAACCATAATAAACTAACCTTCACTATCAGATAGAGATTGAGCATCTTCTTCAGCATACACGTAATCATCATCTGGAACAGTTTCATTTTGTTTAGATGAAGATGATGTCTCATTGTCAATTAGATTGCTAGAATTTTTATGAATTGGAATAAACAAAAAAAATATATAAGCATAACAAGATTAAAAAAAAAATTAAGGAGGAATACTTTTGAATATGATTTTACAATTATTTTGAAGAAATAGAAGAAGAAAATCATTTTATTAATCGTGCATGGGTGATGGTTTAGAAACAAAAAAAAAGAATATTTCAATCGATAGAAAAGTCAGAAAAAAAAGGTATATATTGAACAGTAATTAAGGATAATTGTCATTGGAATCAGTTAGTCAGTTAGAACGTAGAACTTCGTACGTACGTACATCAGTTCAGGTTGCCATACCACTTCAGCACAGAGACGCAATTGTCAATTCCAATTCCATAGTGATTATGTAGAGGATTAGGGTTCGAAGATATCATTCAAGAAGTATAACGAGTGGATGCACCTGCGCCATTGCAAACGATTTTGAGCCATGTCGTTCAAGATTTGTAACCATCGGTGACTTTCGTCCCGCGGACCCCAACCAGGTAGCCTACATCTACCAACATGACTCAGTCTACTAGTCAGTGACTTCATGGATTTGTGTCATGTTTTGGTTTGGCCGCACCTAGCATTCTTCCAACCTACTCCTACACCATTGGAATAACAACAACGATGTTTCGAAATGATTAACATTGAGTTTTTGCTATCATATAAGGGAAATAGGTTAGTGGAAGTTAATAAGACTATGTAGAAAAAAAGCTGGTCATCAATTAGAATGTGGATATAATTAATGAAGTTAAATTATGTAAATGAATAAAATGAAGAAATAAAGCCCAGTAAGAGTGTAGCAGTAGGTTACTCATATTATCACTACTCTTAATTTCCAACCACTAGGTCAATAATAATAGGTTCAATTCAACTACATCGAATTAAACAACCGTGAATTAAATAAGTATAGCTTTTAAATATATAGTGTGACTCAAAACTAAGTATATAATTATGTATTTGATAAACAAGTTTTAACATTATTCATCACTTAGAATAATGTTTCAAATAGTTTAGATTAAAAACATTATAAATGAAATTAATTTAATTCTAAAACACAAATAATTGTCTAATTCACTATTTTTAAGATAGGTTTATGTATTTTTTCATGAAATAATAATACCATTAGTACTTCCTTTTCCGATTACAATATCAATGATAAACACAGATGATTTGAGTTTGATCAGTGTTACTTTATAAAAAAAAATTATACAATATCAGCATTCCAATAAACATGTGCTCAAAAAATAAAGTCGTTTTAACGATATACATTGCTATTTAGACGGTCATGAACAATCTGATATAAATGTATATTGACTAAGGTTGATGTCATTCATAATAGTGTAAATGTATTGTAAAAACAAAAACACAATATACTAAAATCTATATTGTATTTGTATTAGAGACCAATTGTGAACTATGTCATATTAAAGTTTAAAGAAAAATATAGATCATGTAAGTTCAAGCTAAAAGGTAACTAATAATTAATACAGCTTTCAACTACAGTCAATGATTTCATGGACTAATTTTGTCTTCCAGCATCTAATTCCAAATTTTTTTATTAACAGCAGATTTCTGTGCAGTGTTCATGAAAGTTATTTCTAGTATTGATTGATAATATCAACTATTAAGTAATACATTCATTAACAGATTTAAATTTCTGTCAAAATATATAACATTATTATATTTAGTTAGTTAGTTAGTTGTAACGTAGAACTTCGTACGTGTGTAGATAGGTTCATGTTGCCATACCACATGAGCACAGAGATGCAAATATCAAATCAAATCCCATAACATTATTATATTGCTATTTTTTGTATGCTAAAAATAAAGAAAACACAATAAAAATTAACATTACCATACAATATATATATATATATATATATATATCTTCATTACTTATTAATTAGGCAAAACCTGTAGTAAATTTATCTAGTTGCTACGTATAGATTGTTATCTATAAGATTTAATGGTAAATAATGCGTATCAATCATTATTTGAGCTGATAGTTATGCAAAAGGTCATAATTGAAAAGTCGTTAGTGGCCGATTCATTAATACTACACTCTGTATGTTAGCATGGTAAACAATTGAAGAGACCTTTGAAAAAAATATAAAATAAATATCTTATCAATCAGAGTTAGACATTAACACCGTTGGATGCCGGCCCAGTGGTCTGATGGTTAGGCGTTCGCGCACAATACCGAAGTTCCCGGGTTCGGATCCTGCGAGGTGTATTACGAAACGGCAGTCCAGTTCTTTCAGGTTTCTAATGGTTGTCTAACAATGATTGATTGGTGATTTCAAATGTGTAGAAACACAAATCTCCAAAACTCTAACTGAAAAATATCTGATTCATTCATAACAGATAACACAATTGATCAAAATTTATTATAAAGTATTAAACACTAATAAAGTTGATAATGAAAATAATAATCTTACTTAATACTTGATGCTTTAACATACTCCACAGATGCAGTTTCATCATTATTATTACTATTAGGATTATCATTACTCTGTACATGATCCGAATGTGTAGATGATTGATGTTTCATCTTTAATCCCATTGAAAATTGACATGTATTATTATTATTATCATCTATAATATGTTTTTTATCGGTATTCATTTCAATAACAGTACTTGATGAAAGTGATAAACGATGTGAATCTAAACTGGTAATAGATTTATGAGTTGTTGTTTTATTATTATTATTAATAATAATATTATATTTATTTTTAATATATACAGGTCCAGGTAGTAAATGATCAAAAATTACTAAATGATGTATAATGAATATTTTGACTAAATCAATAACACTTGGTTGATAATGTACTTGATTATATTCACTTGGAACAGGCATTAATGTTGGACCGAAACAAATAGCCAAATTATACGCATCCATCATATTCTCATTAGAATATTCTGATACACTAAAATGACAAAAAGACAAAATACATATCATATCAAATAAAAGGAAGAAAATACATACATACATACAGGGATGAGAAGAAAGTGGTGATAGGAAAAAAAAATTGTTAAATTCAATTGCATTCAGTCTCACTAATCAAGAAGAAAATCTTCAACCAATTGACATCAGTTGAAGACGATGAAAATGATTTCCAAAATGAGGCAATGTTACATGTATGTTAGATTATAAACCATAGACAGCATATCAGTTCGTTTAGGATTGTAAGTAATAATGTCTAATTGTAACAAACTAGATCAAATTATGTTTTCATCCAACTATCTACGTCTAACCATCGGATATTTTAACATCCGGTCATCAGTTATCTGAACTAATGGTTATAAAATAAACTTAATCGATAGAATTCGATCAACGCTTAAAGAATTAGACATGCATAACATTGAGCACTACTACTCACTGACTAATTAACAGTATACATTATTTTTTAAAAAGAGAATATATATTAATATATATATATATCTTGAAACTATTCAAAAATTAATGTAGATACATACTATCAGTACTCTTAGTCAAAATGAACCAGATTATTCATGATATTCAATAATCTGATGAAATCTTTTATCACTATCATGGTATTTTGGACATGTATTTACCAAAAGAATAATTTCTAAAAAGATGAAGAATGAAATCAATACAAATTAAAAAAAAATATTTCCAAGTTGTGTATTTTCCTTTATAATTCATATGCATAGTGATTTTATTATTTTTTTTATTTATGATAATTATAATTCATGGATGTAAGTAAATCTATTGAATCATTTTGAACATAGAACACCTTACAAATGATTATTTTTGTTATTCATTTCACAGTGTTTACATATTCAATATGTACATGTTTATGTGAATGTGTATGCGAATAGATTTGTTTATGCTAACAGTTTATCTTTACAATTGATTATTATGTATGCATTTGATGAAAAACTGAATTCATTTCATATTTAACGAATATTAGATGAAAACATAAAAGTTAGTAACATACTGATCTTCAGATAATAGCTGAGAAAGATTATTCAATTTAAAATTGGCTTTCATGATCCATTGATATTAGTTAGAAGAGCGATGAAAACTAGACAGCAGTAAACAGATACGTTGGTTTAGCCTTCAACTATTCAACAGCCTAAGCTGTCAGTCAGTAAGTTACAACACAGAACTTTGCAAGTAAGTGCATCAGCTTCAGCTGCCATACCACATTAGCACAGAGACACAAATGTCAGTTGAAATCCCATAGTGGTAGAGGTAGAAGAAGTATTATCGGTAATGGAGAAGATAAGGGTTCGAAGATTTTATTCAAGAAGTATAATTCAGTGAGATAACTTCAGAAAGAGAAAGAAAGGGGTGGTAAGGAATTCAGCGGATTAGAATTTCAGAGAATCTGAAGAGTGGATGCACCTGCCCCATTGCAAACGATTTTGAGCCATGTCATTCAAAGTCTCTAATCATGCGTTACTATTGCTTGGTGAACCCGAACCAGATAGTATACACCTACCAATATGGCTAATTGCAGTTGTCAGTGACTTGATGGATTTGTGCCATGTTTTAGTTTGGCTACCTTAGCTTTCTTCGAGGCTGCCTGTACATTGTACAACATTGCTCGTTGATGTAGTTGGTGGTTGGGCATTCGTAATGCGTGTCCCAACCACCTCAACTGATCATGTTTCACTACCTCATCACATGATCTGTCATCCTTACCTAGTACCCTTTCCTAACAACTTACGTGCTTACTCGATAGTCCCAGGATGTACGAGCAATGCTTTGAAGACACCAATGATCGAATACTAATAATCTTCGGATATCCTCTGATCTTCGAGGCGATGTTTCAGACCCATATTGTAGGACGGAGTGAACTGTTGCACAGTACACTCGTGGTTTGGTTGGTAGACAGACATCTATCCTACGATATAAATGACGCAAGTTGGTGACATGCTTCCATTGTAGCTTAGGGTAGTCAGAAGACTCTGCATATTGTGTGATCTCGTGTGCTGTTACGGGTATGAGGGTGGTTGTCACTTCCCGGCTGCCCACACCGTAGAAGGTTGTTTCTTGAGGAACCTGAAAAGGAAGTTCAATTGGTGTTGGTCTTAGCGACCTGGGAGCGTGATTGCAGAGCCCAACGGAAAACTGCTTCACGCACTGCCTTTTTATAAAAGGTTTTTAGAGTATTAACTCCGCTCTTTTTGAAGCCCTTATTAGGCAGCCCTTAACGCCGGAGATGGGAATCCGTGGGGTAAGGTGACGTGTGACATTTTTAGGGTCAACCTTTTCTAACCCCTTCCTTTCTTGTGAGAAGGCAGCATCGCTGCAGATACTGGTTGTCCAAGCGAGACACATTACTGTTGTCACAGCCCTTTACAGTCAGCGGTACGACTGCGCCTTCAGTCCTTGAGTAGCTGCTTTTAGTCTGAACGTTCTCCAATCGACCATCCTGGCATGGTAGAACCTACAGGAACATATGTTCCAGCCAATATAGCTCGGTTAGGTCATCACGATAAGCAAGCCCGACCACCACGTCAAGTGTAAGCTGAATAACATCAACTCTAGTTGTAATAAAAATCTGATTTAGTAGCAATTTAAAAAATATATTTTTATTTGTGAGTCAGAATTTAGTGACTTGATATGTCCAAATTCAGTTTATTTATATCCAGTCAGTAATAATATAGGTAATACATGTTTTGTTTATCATATGGCAGAATACCCTACCTAGTTAACACACATAACATCATTTACATTGAGTTACGGAAGCAGTCTGAGTTCAGTTTCGAGTTAGCTTCCAATAATCAAAAGAGCCCTAATTAATTGTAAACGCGTTTTTTCCTGTTTACCAAAATAAAACCATTTATGGGATTTAAAATAACGTCTATTCAGTGAAACAGGTTACATGGCTTTTTTGTTATTCAATTCAAAGAAAAATATATAACCCATTACCTCGCTCACAATAGTTAGTATCAATAAACAGTAATAGTAATCATCATTAAAATTACCCCTAGCATCGAAATCAACTTATGACGAACCCATTAATCTATCACAGTCGCATAAATGCTTCTTTTCAGAGCATATTGATCTTAAAGACTAACGTGTCAACTTATTTCATCCCAATATTTGTTACGTCTCATTTGAACTAGTAATATGATTAATGAGAAAAAATTGACCAGAAGGCTATGGGACAGAAATCAATCATATTATTCACTGAACTATCATGAAAACTAATCAATGTTTGAACAGTTCCCTACACACACACACGCAAAACCTCACGCAATTTCTGATTCAAAGAAACGACGCACATATGAATACACATATGCATACATACAAACATATTTTATCGATGAAAACTGACTTCAATAAATAAAATTTGTCATGCATATAAAAATGTGAAGATCATCTATATTAATGGATAACCAACCACATAAATAAATGTGCATATATTTAACATTAGATAAAACCGCGAATCGTTTTATTTATTGATAAAATAATAAACTACTTATTAATTAAACTAATTTAAGGAAAATTCAAAAGCATTTATTATTTTCATCATTGACCTTATTCCTTAAAATAGAAAAAACAGACGTTTATGGATAAAGAGAATATTATGAGTGAACACACTTAGTCTGTGATAAACTATCAGCTTGCCGATCGATATACAATGATCAATTTAAATTAATAGTAGTGAAACCGGAAGATAAAGTTTTGCAAACCATGGTTTTTAATTTCTGAATACTATATGAAGTATACTAAGTTACTAAAATCTAGTAAGCACTCAGTTGAGTGAATTATATTCGACCATTAAGTAGCCATTTTCAAAACGACAGAATACTTTCCCGTTCACAACCAATTTGAGTGTAAGACACCTATTCACCACAAACAACAGAGGATGGTCAAGCAATATTGTGAATCGATTGAAGATAGACATTTACACCGTTGGATACCGGTTGACTAGTCTAGAGGTCAAGCGTTCGAGAGTGAGGTCCTGGATTGGATCTTTGGCGAGGGTCGCTAACGCTGCACTGCTGAGGAGTACCGAGTGAGAACAAAACAGCTGTCTATTGCTTCCCAGGTTTGAATAACGCTAAAAATAGTTCGTGATTCAAAATCTGAAAATTCTACAATATTTATAATTACCTCAATACTAACAACAGTTAAATTTATAGCTATACTTTGATCGAAACAGCTCACAATAAAAAGTATAGTTATAATGGGTGTTACTATGATTTCATTTTGTACAATGAGTGTGCAGCTAGCATGTGAACACTTGCATCGCAGTATGATGACTTAGATTACCACTGAAATACAGCTCTACCTCCAAAAGAACTACAATTACTCTAGTATAAGAAAAGGACTAAACTCTAAGTAGAAAACATTTACGTGAAACAATAATGATAAGAATAAGAACACTATATATTTAGCAGCATATGTAAAGTACTGGTTTGTACGAAAACATTATGATGTTGAATTAACTTGAAGAGAACATCAAAAGTTTGAATGGAAAAAACCTGAACACAAACAACGAAAATATCGCTGAAATTTACTCAACTACATGCTTTCTGTGATGTATGAGTAATTCTTCACATGAACTGATGTAAAGTATAAATTCAGTGACAATCAAAAAAGCCAAACAAACAGCTAATTTATTTCACACTAAGAAATTCGGATATTGTAAAACGAATTTTTAACTGACATTAGCATACAATGGAAATTAATACCGATTTGTTCACTATCTTGACAAACCATTGTAGCTAAAAAGCAACCATAAGTCTGCCAATAGATGATACCTAGATTAGTTTATTAATAAGGTTGCAGTGACATTCTGTATCCTGAAGTGTAATACTTACATCAGATGATAGTGTTAGTTTATTACGATTTGATCGACGTTGTTACAAAAAGAATTATTGAGTTTCAGTCAGTCAGTCAGTCAGTTGCAACGTAGAACTTCGTACGTAAGTACATCAGTTCATGTCGCCATACCACATCAGCACAGAGATATAATTGTCAATTCAAATCCAATAGTAGAAGAGGTAGTAAAGGTATTAGAAGTAATCGGAGAGGTTAGAATTAGAAGATATTATTCACGAAGTATGATTCAATGAGATAAGTTTAGAAAGTAAAAGCTAGAGGTGTTGAAGAACCCAGAAGATTAGGATTTGAGAGAACACAAAGAATAAATGCACCTGCGCCACTGCGAACGATTTCGAGCCATGTCATTCAAGGTCTCTAGCCATCGATTATTATCATCTCGCGGACCGCAACCAGGTAGTCGACAATTACCGACATGGCTAAGTCCACTCGTCAATGACTTCATGGATTTATGCCATGTTTTGGTCTGGCCGCCCCTAGCTTTCTTCCAACCTATTCCTACACTACAAAACAAAGCTCGACGAGGGAGTCGGTGGTTAGGCATACGCAACACGTGTCCCAACCACCTCAACTGATGAAGTTTCATTACTTCATCGATTGATCTGTATTGAGTTTCAACTCATTGGTCAAAATTTATTGTATCTAAGAATCATAGATTTCTTTTTTTTGGAAGGAGTGGTGGTTTGTGGAATTGTAAGTATACACTGTTTGGTTGCTTAACTTAATTCATATTATTTCAGTTAGTTCATACAATTCCTCAATTATATAATTTGAATGAATTGAATTGGTAAATATTCTTAACAATTCTGTTGATGATTATCTGCTTTAAAATGAAATTTATACTATGAGCATTTAACTAGTTCAAAAATATGAATCATTAGTAAAATTCTAGTTGTTTCATTAATAATTAATTTTATAATTATTTTCTTTTTAAGTGATGAAAATTTTGAGCTGTATAAATTATGATTAATATGAGTTTATTGCGGCTTGCTTTTTGTTTCATATGTGAAATGTCTCTCTGTCTCTCTCTCTTAGGTACCTTTGAGATTAACTGTGTGCTGTCGGCCAGTGTTCTTTTATAAATATTCTTTATAATGTTTGTTACCTCTTATTTTCCATTTATCTAGTCAGTATTTTTACACAAAGCAACATTGTTGTTATGATTATTGGGTTTCCCATACATTAAAAAGTAGAAAAATGATTAATTCAAGTTGACGTACACGAAGTATGACAAAAAAAATAGCATGATCGACTGATTACACCACAAAGATATATATGCACAATATTAACTCGTGTATAGTTTAAATTGTAAATGTTGTTTATTATTCTGTACTATTCTGTACTGATCAATAAAATGTTAATTGTGATTATATACGTGTAAGATGAATATAACGTATGCGAGAAAATGTGTCCATTCATGCAGAATTTGTGCTTGTAGCTAGTTAACATAATGATTGTTAGGTCTAAATGTTATAGAGAGATGTGTGTATGTATTTATGTATTGATAGTGTGCATTCACGTACTTGAGGTTTTGTTTTTTCAACAATTAATTATTTTCATGTAATGTTGTAGTGTAAATGTTATTGAAGTTTAAATTGTGCATCTATTTGTTTCTACGTTGATTAAATTTCTATAGATAAACAATCATGTTTTGTTCTATTTGTGTAATTGTTTGATCTAATGTCCTTGATATATTCACGGTGTCCTATGGCTTTTACATCATCACTGGACGATGAAAAATAATGTGATAAACAATTTAAAAAGACCAATTAGTTCATAAAACATTTTCGATACTATTCACCTATTTGGATGAATTAGACACTCCTTGTTTTTATTAGTAAGGCAGACCTACTGATGATACGTATTTATCGTGACACTACTCAAGAAGGGTATCTACTTTTAAAATGTCTCAATTTGAAATCAAACGAATTAAATATATTGGAAAATGGGTTTCATGAAATAACCAATTAAACTTTTTATCACTTGTTACATTCTACAATCTCACAACAGTCACTGAATTTTATCAGTAGTCATTTTTTATAACCAAACGACATCAAGTAGAAGACCAGTGTGACTACACTTGAAACTATTCAATGGATACTGCAGAAACCAAACCTGGATAAAACAGGGTTATGAATAGGGTTAGCGACCCCACCCCGTAGAAAATGAACAAATTTTACATTCCTTACGCTTGTTACCCCCAATGAAGCACGAGCCACCGATCAGTATTTCGCAGCCAACTCTGTCGTACGGCTTCCTTTTCAGATCTACCCAATCGCTATTCATTCTCTTCATGTTTGCATCCGATCCTTAGGGCAGTGTCTTCCATGGCCTACCTCCTTCTTTAGTCTTGAGGATTTGGGGGTTGTGTCATGATACAGTTGAAAAATTTCCGCAATGTATGTGCTATCCACACCCAATGCTTTATTTTAATTTATACCCCTACTGAAATCTTGTTGGGCTATCGCTGAAGGTATTTCGTATGTTGCGTATACAACTGTTAATAAACACCTGTATATTTTGGGTAATGGTTCCGTGAATTCTCCAAGTTTCCGCTGCATACAAGAGGGCTGTGTTGATGTTTTCGTATCAAAAATTTTGACTTTGTTGTTTGTTGACCATCAGAAAGATCCAGAGAAACAGAGCAGCAGAACCAGATAATAAACCAGCGGAGGTATTTCAGTCAACAAATCATTTACGACGTACAACTTCGTACGTACTTACATCAGTTCCAGTTTGCCATACCACACTAGCACACAGATGCAATTGTTATTTCAAATCCCATAGGGGAATAGATAGTGATAGTATTACTGGTAATGGAGAAATCGGGGTTCGAAGATATTATTCATGAAGTAGAATCTAGTGAAATAGACGTAAAAGAAAGAGATAAAGGTTATGGGGAATTCAGAAGGTAAGGATTTGAGAGAACACAAACAGTGTATGCACCTGCACCACTGTTTTGAGAAATGTCATTCAGAGTCTCTGACCATCGATTGCTATCGTTTCGCGGACCCCAGCCAGGTAGTCGACACCTACCAACATAGCTCAGTCCAGCTGTCAGTGACTTCATGGATTTCTGCCATGTTTTGGTTTGGCCGACCGTAGCTTTCATCCAACCTACTGCTACACCACAAAACATTGCTCGACGAGACAGTCAATGGTTAGGCATACCTAACATATGTCCCAACCACTTCAACTGATGAAGTTTCATTACTTCATCTATTGATTTTCCATCCCTACCTAGTATTCATTTCCTAACAACTGCATTGCTTAATCCAGGTATTTCAGTTACTGCTATGTCGGCTTCCAAAGATACACCACACTATGTTCAGCAGAATTTGGGATGAAGAACACGTACCAACAGTCTAGATAAAAGGACACCTCATTGGAATACCAAGAAAAGCCGATCTCAGCAAGTGTGAGAACTACAGAGGCGTAACTCTTCTCTCAATACCATGAAAAGTTCGCAATAGAGTGTATTTGCACCGAGTGAAACATTCAGTGGACGCCAATTTCCTAGATCAACAGGCTGGAAAACTGTTTCACCTTGGTTCGCATTGTTTTATGGAGATTTCGTACAGATCGAAATTAATCCTTCATTTTTTCCAGTGATTCTAAGTATTTATAGATAAGGAATCGCAAGTACTTTCTTTAACTCTCAATAGTTTTGTGATTCGTATTAATTCATTTTTAAAAAAATTGCTTATGCATTTTGATCAACTATTTCAGAATTACTTAGTTTAACATATAAATTATTCAAGTTCAGATGAATAATAAACTCATAGAACCAATAAAAAGTTATTATTATTATTTCAACGATATTATTAGCTAATCCTGCAAAATCGAAAAGTGTATTCATTGTTTAAACGCATAAATCATCATTGTCTTTTTCTAAAAATCAACACTATCACATGCTTAAATGTGTATACCATAGAATAGTGAGGAGTGATTTGAATTGAAAGTAACAAACTTTAGAAACTACTTTTCTAAGGTCTTATTTGTATTTGATGATTTCTTACTTATTAAGGAAGCAGAGTATCAGTTATATATATATATATATATATATATATATATATATATATATATATATATATATATATATATATATTTCTATCAACTCAAAAATTATTAACATACGATTTATTGTTCCTACTTTGCTGATAATTTATTATTTACAATCTCCCCTATTCACAGCCACTTTTAGTTCACTCGTGTCTAGTTGTTAATTTACATTTATTGGTGTGATGTGATCTAGTCTTGTGCGTGAATAAAGGAATATCTGAAATATAATAACGAATTTTGGACTGGCTATGACTGGTATTTATCTTTCCTCTTCATTAAAAGGTCATCAGCGTATTAGTTAGTGAAATGATATCAAGCATACCATACAACACATTTATTTCAATAAGTAAGGTCAAAATAGAAAGCCTTTTGAATAGTGAGTAAATCTATTAACATTATAAAACACACAATGATAAAAAGTAAAGATTTCAAATCTTTGAATGATATAATAACTTACTGATTCAAAAATGCGAATAAATATCTCATTACAACGAAAACTGGTCTGCTCAAATTTTGAGTAATTACATGACGCAAGCGTTGAATCATTTCATTGATTTCTAGGTCTAAAAATAAGGACGTGATGAGAAACCAAATAAAATGACAATTTTTAATTAATACAAAAACAAAAAATCAATAAACAGTGTCAAATAAACAGTTGATTTTAGGTAGTTTATAAGTAGTCAGTAGAAAAACCTTGGACATAGGTTTCGACACTCATTAACAAAACACACCTGCTATCTGGGAGGAATCGATGTTCGCTGTTGAATTCAAACCTATATCATCTGATTTCATAGTGTGAATGGTTACTAGTACACTAGTAGGACTGAGAGATTCATAAATGATTGTTTGATTGTGTACTTCTATTGTATAGTTCCGAATAGAGACATAAATTGAGCAAAACAAGAAAACATAGATTCTTTCAATTATCATTTGAATATCATATGTGAGATGATAGCCGTTACAAAGTGACACAAATTTGGGATTCATAAGAATATTAAACTAAACTCTGAAATGCTTGCAAAACTAAACTTTTAGTTTCGAAAACAACTCACTCTGAAAACTTCCTCATACAACAGATTATCTTCATTGAATTCAAAAAGTGAAAATAAATATTTTAAGTAATGTAACATGATCAACATGAACTTATCAGTAAAAAAAAGTTGACGTTAGAAACGATTATCTTTAAATATGTTTACTAGGATGTTTAAAGATATCGAATAGTAGAAATTAGATACATAGTGGATAACACGAAGGAGTAATCAACTAAAATAATAATTTGATCACACGGTTTCTATTGTTCGTTTTAAAATATACATTCTTGATATTTAGTAACTTACTGACGAGACTACAATTATTTCAATTTCTGCCTTGAATTGCACTAGTTTTGCTTGTTTTCTAACAGGATAAACTGACCTAAAACAATTGGAATAACTAAAAAGCTCACTTCTATAAAAAAAAAAAGTAAGCACTGATGTTGTCCAGAACAACAACGAAAGCTACGCAATCAAACCAACTTGCTTAAAGAACTCAACAAATATATATATATATATATATATATATATATATATCAGCACTTCTTTTGTCATGACCTAATTGTTTCAACAGTTTATTATTTTATTAGAAGAGTGATGTAATTACTTATTTTAATAGACACTTGTATATTATGGCCTTATATAAGAAGATAAACTAAGTAAGATATTTCAGGTCAATTATGATGTCAGAAATAATATTATAACGAGTATTGAAGAATATTATTGAAAAAAAATTTCACTTGTAGAAGACATTATTATTTTATGTTGAAGAGACTAACTACTGATCATCCTCTTTTTAAATTATTAAGGATAAAAACTGATTTTTTCTTTTATACAAAACAATGACCAATTTATAGGTGCATGAACATAAATCACATTCAGTTGTAAACATTTTTTTGAGCAAACTATTAATATTCCATAATAAACAACACTAAAATAGTTGAAATAAGATTCGAATTTGTAATTAAATACATGTAAGTTGATTGCTCTGATCATTTACTAGACATATATATTATATATATATATATATATATATATATATATATATATATACTGATTACCCATTTTACAGTATATAATATTGTTTCTGTGTAAATCAGTCTAAATATGAATACATCCATACTTTTCATTAACATAATACAAAATTATTAATTTTCAGATTATTTATCTTGGTATAGTTGTTGGTATGAAAATGTTAACTATCATTTTAACCATCAATGTTATAATTAAATAATACATTATTTGAATGACTAGACATATATGTTTTTTATTAAAATTTGTTTATAATGAATAATTTTAAATTACTGCATATCACGAACGTTCAAACCATTATTATTATTATTATCGGATTTTTTTTAACACAGTTAAACACTTCGAGGTAGAAAAATGACAGGATGCAATATAACTAACTCGAATAGTTTAATTATGGACACTGAGTTAGAGATGTAAAACTGTATCGACAAAATATTTTATATAAATAATGATATATAGACATAGATAGGGCTTAATGGATGAAATTCAAACACCTTAACTGCTAAGTCGTCGCTTTGCTCTTACTAGTTAAGTATTCACTATTCAGCCGATGAACTATCAATATCAGAGAGGTACTATGGAAATCTTATACACTAATATTAACACATGCGGCCAAAGTTAGCTATGATATAAGGTTCGACTTAAAAACAGTGAACATACTTGTAAAGCTTAAAATAAGAAATCGTATAAGACTTAGTATTAATTTACGATGGTGAAGATTTTTATGCAAACAAGCGGATTTTAATAGACGCAATAAAAAAGTTGCAAGACTAAAACTGGTTCATATTACTAACTCAGTTATATGAAGCATGTTAAATAATTGATTGAATTGCACAAATAAAGGTTACGCGCCACCATATATATATATATATATATATATATATATATATATATATATATATATATAAATCGTTATCGGCCAGTAGATGAAAGTTTTATAACCTTAAGTTTATGTTTTCATAGCCAAAAAGTGGTTTAACCATAAAATAAAACAGAAAAACAAATAAATATATGATCAGTCATAAAATCTATAAATGGCATCATAAAACATTATTATCACAATGATAAGCTAGTTAAATGAAAGTAACATTTCACAAAAATCGGTTTAGTCACAAATACATTACGAAGTTGGATTAGTAATAATAATCGATAAGGTAACAGAAAGCACAATCAGGAAACTAACAAATTAGGCGACAATAATGTATCGATTGTTGACAAAATGTTAGACAATATCAATATAACTAACTTAGGAAAAATGTGTAAGTTTGTAGATTAGACATGCTTTGAGTTACACTTTGTGTATGACATCAAGTAATACTACGTAACAAATTAAAGTAGAGCAGTATTAGGAACGAGGAGAGAGTAAACTGGAATAATACGTGTGACCAGTTCACAACTCAATTTTAGTTGTTCACAATACTTAAACCATTAAACCAAGAACCTTCAATATAATTTAGTCAATAAATCAACGATTTAATGAACTGCACCTTTCTTCATATGTTCACGATAATTAGAACTATTGCATCTGAAATGCTACAATATTATCAGCTTTAGAGAAATATTGTCACTAGATATAGAAAACCTTCGTGTAGTTATGTAGGTTGCCTACGATTTTCAATTGTTATTAATTGTATAAGCTCAAAATTGATACAAGTTGAATAATTATCGGTGATGTCAAAAATTGTATGGTCAGGGAAAACAATTATTTCTCGTCTTCTTCAAATGTGATATGTTGATAACTAAGCTGGTTAGGTTTGACTTCGCATGTAAGGGTTAAATGTTTTCACCATTGGATTAATAGCAGTGCAAGATTATCGTAATATATGAGACCAAACAGAAAATCCTATAATGTCATAAAAAAAAAAGCAAGACCGAAGGTTCTGGGTTCGTATCCAGAGAGGTGCAGGAGCCCTGAATGTGCACTGCTGATGAATACCATACCAGGACGAAACGGCCGTCCACTGCTTGCAGGTTTCTAATGGTGATCTAACATTGATCGATTCATGATTTCAATATATATACATATATAGATAGATAGATAGATAGATAGATAGATAGATAGATAGATAGATAAAAGTTTACTTACGTTCACGTGTTATACTGATGAGTTCTAAGAAAATGGTATTCGGAAATGGAGGTTCACCGAGTTCACGAAAATATAATTTTAATAGTCCAGCAGTTGAATTTATGTCTCTTGGCTCATGAATACCAATTAAAGGATCATCACCATTTTCGAAAGCATCTTTAAAGTCATTAATTTCGGCTTGACTGCCAGATACACGAAATATACCTTGTTGATGCATTCCTTAAAATTTCGAAAAAAATACAAAAAGAAAAACAAGACCGAAATGAACATTTAAAAAATATGTTAACATTGTACCGCATAAATAATTGGCAATAAATACAAGATTTATAATTGAGTAGTTCTCAAAAAAAAACATTTTTGAGAATCTGACATACACTAGCTAATTAAACTGAACTATAAGTAAGACAAACTGAGAAACAACTAAATGATTACAAAAAAATACTACTATACTGTATCAAACAGAACAGATAATGATATTCGGTGGTTGAAAGTTATCAGTAAGAAAACTATGAGTCTATATTATGGAACTCACTACAAATAATATCTTCACTGTAAGCACAAATATTGAGTTATTTAGATTGTGACCGATTCTTTATTGTAGCACTATGATGCTTACATAAAGTAATGACTAATATAAGCATTCATAGTGTGCATAAAATGCTATCAAACAAGTCAGGATGTATTTACAGAATTAAATAATTTAGTGTCACAATGTAGACTGATTTGATATTAATTTGTCGGTTGAAAAGTAAGTCAAACAAAAACAAACATGACCAGTAAATAAGCTAGGAAATAAAAAAGGAATGATTCTGTTAAAAAAAATGTTTTGAAATGTAACCATAGTAACATCAACTAATGTTGTAGACGGTTAGTCAGCCAAAAGTTTATTTGAATTTCGGGACTTGTAATAGAATAAAGAATATGAAAATCTAGGTTTAAAGTATATGACTAAAATTAACAGAATTTGCGGAATAGGTATTCTATATATCAGTAGTTAGTTCGATGCAACACAAAACCCAAAGATATATATGAAATGATAAAATTAATGTTATATCACATAAGGATAGAAGTAATGGGATTCATACCACTGCGCTAAGATGTAATGTTGATGAGATGAATAATGAACTAGTACATGGTTTATTATACAATCAGTTTAGTTTGGATAGCTCAAATTAATGAATTTTTACTTTAATTGTTCGATTGGAATCTGAACATGTTTTTCCATTTTGTTGTACCATCTGTCTGTAAAAGTTTATTTCTTTTAAATTCAGTCAACGATGACTTACTAATTACACACACACAAAACTGAAAAAATGTCTACCATTCCTAAAACGATGGTGGTATAATCAGCAGTAACAAACGAAAAGGAAAATATATTGCAATATTCAATCAATTCAGTCGAAAAACTCTAGACGAAACTTTAAATTACATACTTGACTATTATATATATATATATATATATATATATATATATATATATATATATATATTAACTGTGAACATTGTGTACAAAAGGCATATAGTTGGACAAAGACGTTTGCGCTGGACAAAACAAATCAAGTACTTCATTGACTGGACAGCATTTCTACAACTGAACAACACCTGGAACTCAAAACAACTATCAACCAATACCAAAGTTGGAATTTTCAATATGCACATCAACACAGGTCTATTGTATGGGGCAGAAACTTCAAGAACAACAAAGGCCATCATCCATAAGATACAGATGTTTATTAACACTTGTCTACACAACAAACTGGTGATCCGTTTGGTTAGACAACATCGGCAGCAACTTACTGTGGCTGAGAACAAACCAGATTCCAGTAGAGGAAGAAAATAAGAAAAAGGTTGGAGCTGGATAGGACACACATTATGGAAATCATCCGAATGCATCATAAGGCAAGCCTTAATTTGGAATCCGCAAGGACGAAGGAAAAGAGGAAAACCAAAGAACACAATACGCCGAGAACTGGAAGCAAACACCAAAAGAATAAATAACAACTGGACAGAACTGGAAAGGAAGGCGGACAACAGAGTAGGTTGGAGAATGCTGGTCGGAGGCCTATGCTCCATTGAAGGTAACCGGAGTGAGTAAGTAAGGATATTTACCGATCAAAACATCCCAAGGAATCAAACTTTTACAATATCACATATACGACGAATGTACAACTGAAGTATTCCAATGATTTTTTCCACAAATGCAAATACAAACGCTTTTATTTCTTGATCATATCAAAACAATACATTTATTTATTGATAATAAACAAAGAATAATACTGCGCATACAGAAGAAAGTTTTTTTTTGGCCTAAGAGTAAAATGTGATAGACGTGTGCGTGCGCGCACACATTGTGTATTGCTCAGATTAACCGATTCGACAAAAAGAAAAATGTTGAAAGAACAAGACAAATTTACCTACGGATTGAATAAAAATTGAATTTTATAATAATGAACATACATTTTGATTTTAAAATGATAATTAAATATTCTCTTACATTATTAAATACCAGATCAAGTGCAAAGAGGTCATTCATACAAACTAAAAAGAATTAATCATACTAACAACTAGAAACATCAAAAGGCTATTAAACAAAGAAAGTAAACATTTAAAAATATGGAACAATAATCTTCAATCAATCATGCAAACAGAAAATGAATAAACACACATTAATAATCTGAAAATACATTAAAAGCTTGCTTCATAGAAGCAGTCTTTTAAAAAAGACTTATACTGCATTAATACCACTTCAAACAGTCAATCAGCATTTTGAAAAGACAACAAAATTACGATACATCCAACGTACTGTAATTCACTTTAATAACTAAGAAACTGTTCTGATAAATTTAAAGTGATCATCATTCGACTATATGCAAATTTCTTAAACATCTAACATGATTTCATTAGTCAAATGTCTCAAAATCAATGAATAAAGTAACTTTTTTAACGAAATAGATTGATGTATCCAGGGTCTCAAGCCACATTTCCTGTAAGGGCTAATGATCATACCTGGATAACAAAAACTGAAATACGTGAAGTGGCTTTAGAAGCTATGTGTTATGATGTGCGGTATCCCAGATCAAGACATGTTACATGCTAACCTCACCCCAAAAAACTGGTAATTAAGTGAGAAGGCAAGAATGGGAGAGAAAGTCTGCTGTTAACTAATTCTCCAATTCCATGAGTAAATATAGAAAGCTCCGGGAGGAGTTCGTCGGAAGACTAGGCAACCCGAAATTCATAAGGACACCACCACCTGAGTATTCGACAAGCTAGAACATCCATCAGCTAATATTGAGCATATGATTAGTGCTTAGTTAGGCGATTTCTAAACACTTATTTAACTTTACAGATATTTTTTGCCATAAACGGGAATTGAGTTAACTACTGTGATGAATTAGTTCTAGTGTATAAAAAAAACTTCACTCAACCTAACAGAATAAAAATATGTTTACTGTAAAAACCTACCAAATTCATTAATAACACGAGTGCACGATAGTATAATACAAGGGATAGGTTGCTTGGTAGCTTCTACATATTCATCTATGGTGCCACCAAACAGTTTCGGTTTACCAACATTTGGCACACGAAGGACACGACGTGCTTGATGCTTACTGACTAGAACAGACTGACTCCCAGGACTTACAGTACGATTGGAAAATGAAGGACTAGATACGGGTGTGGACGTTAGATCACAATGAGATAATGATGCAAGGATAGGTGAATTCAATACATCTTGATGAGCAGGAGCAGGAACAGGAGGTGGAGGTGGAGGTGGTGAAAACGAAGAACTGTCAATTTTCAAATGATGAGAAGTTGGTGAAGTTGGCGAAGCTGGTAATTTAGGATTTTTCGTAAACTCTTTGCATCCAGGAAGTTTTGGTAAAACAGGGATACCATGTCGAAGCATGGATTTCAGGTTTTGAAAAGATGATGCTTGTGGTATTGGTTCATGTGAGTTCGGTTGTGAAGAAGCTAATGCATTCTGGATTTGTGCAAGTTTTACCTGCATTAGTTGACAAATGTGCATTTCTTGGGTGTAGTGTGCAAATCTCTAACAAAAAAAAAGTAACGAAAGAAAGCAATGCGATTGAAATAAAAATGAATATAACGAAAATGCAAAAAACTTTAATAGAAATCGTATAAATATGTAATACAGTCCATTACAAAACGATAACTATTCGGTAAGTCTAAAGATTATAGTTGATATGAAATGACATTCTCAATAATACACGCTGCTTTCCTAAGACTGTAAAAATGAAGTTAAGAACCTACAAAAAATAATTACATGACTGTAAAAACAAAACAACATAGTTCCTTGCGATCGCAACAACAGAAAGTCAATGAAATAATAAACGAAAAATCACTGCAATAATAATAATGCTGAAAAGCCTATTTTCACTAGTTAACTTAATACATTCATTAGCTGAAACTACTGAACATCTGTGCATGTCCAAATATTTAGACTACGGAAACTTCATAAATTTCTGAATAACTGTAGATAGGCAATTGATCATCATTACTATTACAAAAATAATAGTAATAAATTTTGATTACAATATACTCTGTAGACAATATGAAAATACAGTTATTTAAATAGATAAATAGTACGAATAAAGATTTTGTTTAATTAATCTAAGCGTAACCATAATCACCCTCTCTATAGAGTGCGGTGACAGTTTTTAATCTAATGTTATTATACAATCAGTTGAACTCACGAGTACATGTTAGACATGAACACTAACAAATTCAAATATTAAACTTTTAAAACAACAGGTCATTTAACACAAAATCTTCGATTAGTATGGTCGGATGATGATAGTATTATGATTAGATTTTATATTAGATATTGTAGTTGACCATTATACAACTAGCTGAATATTTATTATTGTAAGTATAGATCAGATAAATTAAATATTAAGGAAATATGTAGATTACTTTCATCACAGATTAAAATGAGTTAAGATTTCATTAAAAATTAGTGAGGAGCATTTGGAGATTTTCAGGTGGTATAAGTAAAGTATCTTAAGCAGCATGCACTCGCGACCCTACCAGGCAACAAAGAAGAGATCATTAGGTCTTCTAATGAAAGCTTAACCAATGGAACCACTGGAATGACATTCAGTAAACAATTTAAAGTTCGATCATTTAACGATAAAGCAAGGCGGACAAGAACAATATTAGTAATAACTGTTTGAGCTACAATGGGACAAAACAAATGTTCAGTGTTCCTTGATTTTCACAGTTAACCTGACTGAGGCCAACCTACCAATTAAACCGATCTTAAGGAGATCACCATCAACTAAACTATTCAAGGTATTGTTCGAAAGTAAACCCTGACTATATTTTACAACAGATCAAGGCATCGAAACCCGATAGTTACTGAGAATAATGATCAAGTATATTAGGATTACACTCTTTCACAGATGAAAGAATATAAACAAGTTTTAAAGCGTAGGTAATCGAACCTATATATATATATATATATATATATATATATATATATATATATATATATATATTATTGAGCAATAATTATACATTTTATTTGTGATAAAATCAGTTATTTAGGATTTATAGTTTTTCTTGACGTGTAACCTTCAAAATATGAACTATCGTTTCAACATAATACAATATAATTACACTTAATATACTGATTATGTAAAAAAATAACAATAATTATCATGGTTTAGTTCTGTAAAATATTTAATTAAATATCAGGTAGGAATTTCAATATAAAGTGATTCAACAACTTAGAGGATTGTCATATAACCAGTGTCAGCGACAGTCAATATTTATCAAGATTGAAGGAGCCGAATAAAAAATACCGTATCCATTGTTATCTCTGTACCAAGATGTTTTATGTTAATTTTTCAGTTAACAGAAATGACACCAGGTCATAAATATTGTAGATGGGTAAGTGAATAAATAGAAAATAGAGTGAATGAAGTGCACGGAACATCGCTGACAAATTCAAATATAATACCGAAAAATTGTAATATTGAAATGGACGAAATAAAATTAGTTTTGAAATTTCTAAAATAAAGTCAAGTTTCAGACTAATCAGCAGAGTAGATCATAGCTAGATCATCGTGAGGAACCTGAAAGAACTGGGCGGCCGTTTCGCCTTAATATGGGACTCCTAAGTGGTGTGAATTCCCGACCGCCGCATGTGGGAATTGAATTGAGGACCTACGGTCTCGCTCATAAGCACTTGGACTCTAGACTAATGAGTCGGCATCCAACGATTTGACTTTCTAACTTCAGTCAATCCATGATCGTGCGCAACGTTTATCTATTGCCTGTGGCGGATAACTATCTCATACCCGACACGGATTGAACTCTTGGTGTTATAAACGAAGATTTTAAGACCAGATGGAATAGGTAATGTATTTATAGTAAAAACAGTCTAGTAGCAAAATGTGTATTTTCAAAGTTCCAAATGCAAAACAAGCAGATTATTGACTTTTTTCTTTCACATGTCTTCCGGTTTTCAAAACACGTTGACTGAGCTCAAAATCCTTATCGGACTCTCTTCTTTTCAGTGGTAACTTTTAGGAAACACTATGCTGCACGCTAATTATAAGCCATGTTGCGAGTAATATCCATCACAATGGGTCATGGATGTAGATTACTGATGAGTCTCACATTAAGGCGGAATGGCCATTCAATGTTTCCAGGTTTCTGATGCTAGTCTAGCCAAGATCAGTTCATAATTTCAACTATGATAACAATACTATCTCCACAATCCCCCTGTATTAATAATCAAAAAAGACCCAACATTTACATAATACACTTAAGACAATTTGCTGTTTGTATTACCCAAAGACCTGAGGAAACTCAAACTACTGACCGACAAAAGCACCTTGGAACAAGTCATGCATCGAAAGGTAGGATAAAAGGTGAAATCATTTAAAAACTTTATCACACCATTTAACTGCCCTAAATATCCAAGACCTGTGCTTATCATAAAATTTCTTAGATAAGGTAGAGAGAGATAAACGCAAAGATGTGGTTATGCTTATCTCCTGAATTTTTACTAAATTCCAGGGTTTTGAAGAAGCACACTAAATGAGTCACAAATTTGACCACCATACTTAAGATGACCTTAAAACTAACCATATACACGTAGAACGAGTGACAATTAGCGTGGTTACGATGACTAGTCAAAATAATAATCATAGCCAGAGATGAAGAACACATACACATATATGCAAAGAGGAGGTGACAAGTAATGTTTATGACAACAAATTATAAACAAATAGAGAGAGAGAAACAGGAACATGACTCATATAAATAAAGCTATTATTTTAGTGATGCTAAATCTATGAGATAGAATAAATATTTGTCAAAAAAGCTTAATATATATAAACTGCAATGATAATTTATAGGTATATTGCTAGGCTATCCCATTAAGAATAGAAAAATGAGTATTCCCTACAACAATCACCATAGCCAACTTGTGTCATTTATAGAAGCTGTAAAATTAGGTCAGCAAACGGGTGAATTGGAAATAGCTGACCTAATTAGTAATTTAAAGTTAGTAGTTTTAACACAAATAATCTGGAAATATTTAACTATCGAAAAGCGTACATCACATAAACGAAATAAGGTTTTCAATAATAAATAACAAGAAATCATTGAGGTAGCACTTCGACTGACGTGAAAAAAAGCGATCAATTAAACTTCAATTCAACTTACATCCAAATAGAATTTCTCTTGTTCAATTCTAGCATCACGAAACAATGACCTGAGACTAAGATATAAGCCAGCCTGAGATGGGTCGTTCCCACCAAATGTAGTTGAGCCTGAATGATTAATCTGGGATACAGTTGATAAGTTAGGAGTATCCTGTAGACTACTGATTTGATTCACGACAACTGCTGAACTAGGCAGTAAACCAGGGCTTGTACTCCGACCAGTTGTAGATAATACCTGCGGATTAGGATGTACATTCGTAGAATTGACTGTACCAGGTGAGGCTGATGACGATGATGACGAAGTAACAGAACCTGTTCCAATACTACCTATACTACTACCTAAAGGGTTGGAAGTCGTTAAATTATTTGATACAGCTGATGAAACACTACCACCACCACCACCACCGGCAGCACCAATAAGTGAACGCCTTGAACGAGGTTTTTCAATGCAAAACAATCGTGAGACATCATAGTCTTTCTGATTGATTAATTCTAATAACTTTTTTTCAACCTAAAAACAGCAATATTAGGAAAAAAATTTGAATTAATGAGATACTAAAACTATCAGCATACAATCAACAAGAAGTCAATATTGGTATTGGAATAATGTAACATAGAAAGTATAGACGTTTTTATGCGACAAATAACAAAAATGACAATTAATCGATTTAGACTAGTTTAGAATAAAAATTTAATGAAAGTTAAACAAAAGTAATTGGACAGTAAATAAGAAAGGTAATATTAAGTGACATTTAATTGAAGCTAACCAATTTAATATTTAAAGTCATGTTCATTGAATTAAAGTAGAGACAGTAGAAATGTTTAATAATATGGTAAGAGATTTCTTTGAGAGAAATAAAAATTATATTTCATAAGTTTAAATAGTTAAAATAATAAGTTTGAAATATCTGAATGTAATTTTGGTTTTAGAATTCAGATATAAACTTTAAGTCACACATTCAACTAACAAACACCGAATTACGAAGGTTAGTGATTGTATCAAACAGTTCGACATCTTTTTTCAGTATCCTAAGTTCAACTTCAGCATTACACTTTTACTAGTTTCATAATACAGGACCAATCCTTCAAACATCATAATCATACGTACAAAAAATATGAACACAATGTATATGACAATTAACCAAGTATAAGTATCTGACCAGTTATATTTAGAATATTGACTGCTGTCATACAGCACAGATTGCAGAAACCGAGTCGTAAACTAACAACATCAGGTTTTAGCTTAATTTCTATTGTTTCTGATTATTCAACTGTTGATATCTTGACTACATTCGATCAGTTTTGCACATTCTGTAAGGTTTCTTTAAATAGTCATTATAAAGCACGTTAATACAGAGTATATTTACACGATCGAAATACATCAACTAAGACTTTTCACATTTCAGTAGAAATACCATCAATGGAATAATCCAAACCACATCGTCTCAAATAGGACGAAACGTGTGCCATGGATTCCGCTGCTAACCAAATTTTGTGCATTCCATGAAAATATCAGGTTTTGCTCAAATCATAAATATGTTGTTAAAGGTTTTACTCCACGATAAAAGACTGAATCCAAGTCAGATGATATTCAAACACCTGCACTGTAAGCAGGGATGGATGGTGGCTAACAGGGGAAATCTACGAAGTTTGTCTTGCCCTATATGAACTTCATCAGCTGGATGTACCCGCGGCCCAGAGTTGATATTCACTGTATAACTCAAACCCGATACCATTCTCTACAGATGCCATAAGCTTTATAATAGTTCTCGTATTATGTTGTAGTCAGTTCAGCAATAATAGAAAAATGATCACATACTACATAGTCCACTTTCAATAGGTATGTAGACAGACAAACAAGACTTTAAAGAATAATGTACAATAAACGAACAAAAACTAGACTCATTGTCATGCTACAGTTGAAGTGCAGTCTAGTAAAGTATATTTAATTAGATAAGCATCGAAAATCAAGTGTGGACAACATAGCGAAATGCATTCTTGTAAAATTTATATTGAAATATTTTTGCTTCATAATAAATATCAACTTTGAAAACAAACAACTTGAACATAGAAAAAAGAGTGAATGAAAAAAAATCTTTAAGAATAATTCACAGCTCAATGATATCTGCACGACTGATTATATAATATAACACTGGAAAAAAAACATTCTACTCGATAATAACATCGTCCAATCAAATCTAAAAGTTTACAATTAAGAAAATATGCCATCTTACGTATGCGATATAACAAACACAGGTATATAAAAGTAATTTGATTCCAGTAACAACCAGTAGTGAGTTAGATGGATTATGGAGGCTTGTAAAATTTTCACTAAAGATTTGAAACACAAAGAAACTAGTGAAAATAAGAGTACTGGACATTTGTTTCAATCTAATTTGTAACTGAACTAAAAATGTGTATCCATACATATTCGGGTATAGCGACGAATACTAAAGATAAAGATTATTGAGTTGAAATTTTGAAGTCAAATTAAATTAAAACCTACAAAATTACCTAAGTGCATAAACTAAGTAGGTCAGTACGCCATCGAAGATTTCAATTTATTGTTTAAAAGCATGTCATATTGATTAAATGGCTAACAGATTAAATCATGTATGAAACTACTTAGCAGATAGATGTCCATTACTTAGTAGTTTAGAATAAAATCTACGAAATAACAACGAACTAGTATCCTTAATTCTCAATAACTATCCAATCTGTAAAAGAGAATTCTGTCTGAAAAACCAAAATATATTATTATGTAGGTTCATACATTTTTTGAAAGACTGGTTGGACAAAAACAAAAACCTATGTATTTACAAACTATTAATAAGTAACAATTGTAAAAGAATAATAAGCGTAATAGACAAAAACAAATCAAACAGATCAACTAAGAAGTGTAAAGAAACGTATGCTTTATAAGTGATTCAGTTAAAACGCTAATGAACATAGATACATACAAACAGTATAACAAAATACCTCTTCCAATGTCTTCCAAGTTTCATCTGTTGATACACGGAGTTTTTCAATACTAGCGACAAGTTGGGAAGCTGTTGTTTGAAGTTCATCATACAATGGACCATCTGTACGAATATGATCTTCCTATTAAAATATATTTCACACAAATACAAAGTGTATTCAGTAAATAAACCCAAGAAATATGAACGAAAAAATGGGTTGATGTGAGTAAATAATTATACTAGTTATAAAAATAGATATTAGTTGATAAGTATCAAAGTAGCCCCTGGAAGTCACTAAAAGTCTAGAAGCCATAGCCTTGATTAGATATTCACCTAAACCACTACTATACTTGGCATGATTCCAGAGACTTCCAGAATCCCAAGGTCGTATGAAACTTTTGGTAACTACTCTTTTCTGTAAATAAACTAACCACAGAGCAAAACGTGCTGTAAAAACTTCGTGTTTTTTTCCTGTGTTCCAGTTTCCGTGCAGATCTAGCTTGGGGTTAACAGGAGTAGATAGGGATTCATATCGAAAGTTCGTTTAACAGATTTACCAACATCAAATAGTATTTTAATAAACAAACTGAAGAAGTTGAGCGTGTTGAGCGGTTCACTTATCCCGGGAGACTCATCGATGCTGATGACCTTGTGTCTAACGAAATGTCAGCACGGATACGGAGAGCTTTCTTTTTAGATTGGTTCAACTGGGATATACTGCTCTAATCAGATCTTTATTGCCTAATCTTTTTGATTAACGCTAATATTTCTACTATCTCTAGCACTATGGGATTTGAATTGGCAGTTTGTATTGATGTGGTATAGCAACTTAAACTGATGTACGTACGTACGAAGTTCTACACTATAGCCGACTGACTGACTGTTCAAACGCTTACTCATAATGCGTTACACTTACCACTAAACTAAAAGCACACATGAAGAAACATTGGTAAAGGGTACGCAATATAATAATAATAGTCAGTATTTAGCTCTCAGGATAATATCTTATAAACAAACTACTATGTTAAATGACGAAGGATAAAGTCCCAGGTATAATCTCTGTGATACGTTTATTTTATCAGATCATAAAAACATAGTAACGACAAACTACTGTGATCATTAACAATAAGAAAATAGCTAAACTAATTTAACAGGTAAAACTTTTATGCACACTGTCTCAGTAAGTGAAAATTACAAAATTCGAATAAAGGATTAGAACCTATGACCTTCTGATAGAAGATTTCATGATTTAACCACTAAACCATCATCTAATAATTATATTTTTTCGTTTTATTTCTGTCCAAATGGAATGGCGCCTAAAAGAATAAGGTAATCGACTTAGGTATGTTTGAACCCACTACGTCTATTACAGTGAACGAATAGTATTACCACACTTTACACCTAAACTGTGACTCGAATCCAAGCATATAAAATCTATGGCTTGCAGTGGGGTAAATAATAATAATAATAATTTCAGATTACTCCTTACAAAGTAACAGATTACTGAAACACCTTTTTTTACCAAACTTGACTCGATTTGCAAATTACAATGAACAAATATTACAGAAAAATGCTGATAATTGAATAAATAAACTTAAATACGTCTATAAATTTGTAATTATTCACTAACAATTATAAGACTATAATAATTTACTGATCCATCTAACCATACAAGCGTATCACCATTTAAGGCATTTTCACGAAATTTACACATTTGTATATATTAATATGTATAATTCAAATAGTAATAAAAATAAATTCATATTTATTAGTTTGCACTGTAATTTTCTATTAGAAAATAAAGAGAATAAGAATCATGAGTGCATCAGTCAAATATTACAATTTATACTTTTGTGTAGCATAAATAACTATCTGGAGATAGCTTATTCTATCATTTGAAAAGGTTAAGAACACAAAACTAAATAAATAATCTTTTTTTTCTTCTATTACAATTAAATCATCGACATCTATTTCATCAACAACATTAAACGAATTATTAATAATACCAATGAGGAATGGATCAAGTAACAAAAAGAAAAAAGAAATACATAACATACAACTACAAATAAATAAATCATAAATAATCTTTTAAGAAAAAAAAATACAATTAGAATTACCAACAAAAGAGGCATCATCATTACGTAATGCAATTTTTGATTAATAAATGAGGAAGCATTTCATAGATCATTATTATTATTAATATAAACATTTATGAAACAACAACAACAACAAAATGATTAAAAATTGCAAAAACCAAATATTTGATATATTTAGGTAGCTCAGAATGAAACAGTTTAATAATTGGAAAATTAGAAATATACTTTGAATCATCCCTAGACAACTAAAAACAATACAACTGAATCATTAAATGTACAGAGTGAAACACTGATTACAGACGTCAATATACAACAATATTCAAATTGGATACACTCACAATAATTTCATGTACAAACTAATCATCATCATTATCATCATCCAAATATTTATTCATTTTATTCACTGACTAATCAAAATTCAATTCTTCCATAGATTAATTATGTTCAATTATGTTTGAACAATGCCATCATTATAAGTATCAATAATTAATTGTGAAGATATACAAAATTAATTAGAATTACAACAATAAGGATAATATTATACACTTACCATATCTTCTTTAGATGGCATAAATGTAAAATAACCTGGACGTGTATACACTTGTTCATTACGTTTAAAAAAGCATGCTTTATCTTGTCGTAAATCAAGTGCTGTAATATTTCTATTCAACATTTCAACAATAGAACCATGACATGATTTTAATGTTTCTTCACAACTTAAATGCATCATCGCTGAACGGGCGAGACTATTGTGAAAACCACAAAATAAACACTGAAAATGAAAATAAAAAAGAAGAGAAATAAAGGAAAATAGGGAAAACAAGATCTAGACAAAATCCGATATATATACATATATATAGCATGCTTTCAGTCAGTATATGGTTGACAAAATAACAATAATAAATACAATAAGGCAGAAGTAAAGTAAACTATGATTTTCAAGTGAAACGATTAAAAATGAAAGTGAGAATTACTCAAACGTAAATATCAGCGGCTATAATTTAAATAAAATGATAAAATTATTCAAATAGAATTCCAGATTGATCAGTCAGTCAGAAACAATTTACAGTCTAGCTACAAGAATGTAACTCAAGTTGCCACACGAAATTAACAAGATAAATAGTAAAGGATACATATGTCAACTGTAGAACAGTGTATCTGATAGGTTGTGAGGGAAAAATAGGACTGACAATGTTTTTGTACGGCAGAGAGTGGAGAAAGTTCGTTTTACTTCTCCAAATGCCCTCATATGGCCGCACGTATGTAACTACCGCTAGGGGAGTCTTATTCATTGAGTTCTCGTGGCGAGGATATTGTTTGCGGATTTAAGAAGGCAAAATTATACTAATTCACTTACCAGGCACTTCATTGTGAGCTAAGAGGGCTAATGATACGATTCAGTCGCCCATAATGATGAATCACGGTTTGAACCTAGAAGAACTTAGTAACTGGAAATCAAACTACTCAACCACTAAATCACCTCCCCGCTGATGCCGATCATTGATTAGAGATTGTAGCATTCATCAAAATTAGTTTTCTAAGATACATTGCTAACAGAAAGCCATCATTTCGATCATCTTAGTAAGAAGTCAGTGAGGACGAACATGAGTAGTTTGATGAACAGCTATCCAATAGTGTACAGATTGGTCAGTTAATTATAAGCAACATATAAACAGGCGTATACACCCATATCAACCAATCAACTATTTATTTGTTTAGATACTGCTACTAGTCTTTCGATGACAAATGCATTAAGAAAAGTTACTAACATAGTAGTATATAAAAAGAAAAGTTCATATGAATGGAAATTAGTGATCCATACAGAGTGAAGAAGTTGTTAAGAAATTCCAAAAACTGTTTCAATACTATATACTAATGTTATATGTATAATCATGATTGACGAAAGAAAATAACAATTTTTATGTATAAAATTATAAAACATTCTTCTAAAGCTACTTATTAATAGGCTTCATTGTCATTAATTTGAAAAGTATGAGATGAAATGGATGACAGAAAATCATTTATTATCATAAAATTAGAAGCTATGAATGAATATTCCGTAGTGGAATGAAACTAATCGATCTGTACGTGAAAAGTTTGAAAAGAATGACTTGATGTACTACAACTTGAAACTTGTCAACAAAATGTAAAGTGAAAAGCTGTGATATTTAATTATTTCGATAGGCTTAGTAAAATTAATCGGATAAATATCAACAGGATTTTTACAGTATGCAATTCCTATTCGCCAAAAAATGATTCGTGATGTTGTTTGATTTATCATCCAAGCGAGTATAGCGATACATACTTTCAGTGTGTGCTGTTTTTAAATTAAGCCTTAGATTTTGTGAACCTTGAAGCTAATAAATGTCAACATTGAGAACAGAATCTTAGGTAAACGGGTAATTGGAAGGCATTTAACTCAGTAGTGTGCTCACTAAATGTCACAAAGATATGCTGATTAAGGGATGTCTTTTGATTACTGTGATGCGAAATACTTTTGATGACATATCAGTTGAAAAATTTTACTTCTGACAACGAAGGAGATAAGAATTCCAGCATTGTTGCTATACAAAAAACTTATGTATATAAATTATTAGTTAACAAAACGCTTGAATACAGGGCAGATGTATAAGATATATGAATAGGCAACAACCTTAATGACAAACAATTGAAGTGGATTGTATAAAATTAAAGGTTACACAAAACATTATTTAACAATGAATAAAACAATTGTAAACGACAGAGATTTCCGAAAATCAATTAGTTAGATAAGTTCCAAAAAGCAATGAAGAATACACTGGATGCAACCTAGCACATCAGTTGATAAGGCCAAGATTCAGCCTTAAATTGATATTTACATTTTTATGTACTATTGACCACTACCATCATTATCGCGTACTCTAATCCGAAAATTATCAAAATCGACAAATCAATATTATTATCCATCAACTTATTTATCAGACACAGATCTGTACGCTCTTCTTCAAGACAAGTCCTAAGTGCAAGAGATAGTGATACTATCTGGTTGCCAAACTGAAGTAGATAGGATGAGGTTAGAAAGTGTCAATTAATGGTTGAAATTCAAACGTCATAATTTTATTAAGCCACTGCTCCATGTAAAGTAATAACTGGCGTATTGGTGTGAATTGACTCACCGGTTTGAGAATTATGCATCCTATCCTTCACAAAATATATACCATCCATATCGCTTTGCTCGTGATATCAGCATAAATTAGTAAATATTACTCATTTTATGAATTGTAATTGTTATTTCTATTATTATCTTGACAGTGACATCATAATGCTTTTTAGGTTAAATCATGTAAAGAAATTATCAATATCACATTAGGCTTTTAGCCAATATGAATGGTCTGAATGAGGATACTTCTCATGTAATAAAAAAAGCAAAAAAAATCTATTTTCTGGATACCCTATGACATGTACCTTTTCCATCAAGAATGAATAGAATATTAGCTAAGAGAATCACTGTTTCCGCAGAATAATGTGCTGACAAACTTACATCATACACCACAATACTCAGGTGGAATGATGGGCGAAATCAGCAAATTATTCATGTGAGCGTACGCTTTGAATAGCAGTCTACATCTGCTACTTTAAAAGACGTAACGCACTATATTTGTAGTTCGTGAGAAGTAACTTATTCCACCTATCAAATAAATATTAGGAAATCTTGGAAAATGGATGAATTGCAAATGTTTTGCTTGCTCAGTTACATTCCCTAATAGCTAACACAAGTGATAAAATAACTACCCGGGCAAAAGGATGAAGATAACAATGTGAAACATTTACTTGCAGATTATACATATACATGAATAAAATTGATGCTACCTCAACTATATCCGGAGCCTCTTGAGTGAAATAACGTTGAACACTGTGATTAGTAGCAGCCAATTGGACTAAATATTCATTTCGTGCACGAGTTGTTGATAAAGTTGCATTGATAAAATTTGCTTGTTTCTGTAATACAATACATTAAGTTATAAAAAGAATGATAGTAAACAAAAGAGATGTATATATATATGGGCGAATAAACTAACCCTTTTCAATAGTGATTAGCAAATAAGTAAACTTTCTTAATTTATAATTAATTAAATGAAAATGAATGCCTTATGAGAAATCTCGATGATCGTAACGGTTAGTTCAATGTCTCAACATTTTAAACGAATAGTATTGCAATGATATATTCATTAGTATATTTGGTAACACCATAATATTCGATATAGTTGTGTAGCTGGAAATTTGACAGTGACACTGTTAATTCAGATAGTATTTATTCATATAATCTTGTAAAATGGATCGACATCGTAAAAGCACTTGATATAACAAGAATAACGTTATGAATAATCGTTATTTAACATTCGCTGGAGGTTGGTGATAAAACTGACCACTGAAATGTCAATTGTAAATGATAAATTTTGACGAATACACAACAGTTTAAGTGAATCGCTCCCGTTATATATAATCCACCACTATTATCAACTAATAAAGACAACTTGGATAGATGAGATACTTAAAACGACTCCATATGCAGTTTATGAATACAGGCATATTATATTCATGCAAGTATTAATCGCCAGTTCATGAAACATTCGACTACTCAAAAATGTTCAAATCAATGTAAGAATGAAAACAGCGTCCTATCAGAGTAATAAAAACCTACTATGGAACATGTAAATATATTATCAACCGGTATCCATCTTATTTCCTAAATTTACAGTTTTTTAACTGTACATAATACAGGGAAGCAAAAAAATGATAGATTTGAATTCCATATGAAGAAATGAGTCATTGGGGTATCAGAAGAATGTTATTATAGAACAGATACATGTATATACATCTGAGTCGACCTATAACACGTACAGTAATATTGACTACATTCTTTCAATGACAGACTACTACAACAAAAATACTTTTAAAATATTTGGTATTGTTTTGGCATTAAACAAGAAGCAGACAGAAAATACTAAATGTAAAATAAATCAAATTATATAACATCAAAAAAAATCAATTTATATCTGTTATTTTGTTGAATAAATGTAGCTTTAGCTCGATGGTCGAATCATCATTCTTTTTAATCAGTGATTTACAAATTTCTATATCATTTAGATCTGAGTGATCAAGCAGTATTTTTCCTTCTGAAAAAAAATTAATTTAGTTTTAGACATTTTTTTTAGACACTCTGGAAATCTGACAGCTGAGATTGAGAAGTTTACATTAGAACGAGAGAGGATTTACTTATTCATTTTGAGGGACTACATTTACCGTATATAAATGAATCGAGAAAGCATAAGTGGACCCTCAACAATGTCTTTAACTAAAGCTCTACAAACAATAGTAAAATGGATACTGAGTCTTCGCTTCTCAATGTTGTAAAGGGTTTAATTCAATCCCATAAACAATAATCTAAATCTATATGGTTCTTCGGAGAGCAGAAAATACAATTTCCTTTCATAGTGTCTCGGTCACTAACTCTAAACAAATTTTTAGTTGAGCATACATAAACAAACAAAAAGCGTTTTAATAGAAAAATTGTTTGTTAATTTTACAATCTATTAATTTAAAAAGCTCTTGATCATAGTGTGACGAAATGTATGAAGCCCATCATTACAACCTAACACACAGTAATCAAACTTCTCCTCCATGTACTTCTGTGGGATTTCCGGCTATACACAATTACCGGTGCAAAAATAGCCTTTGTAAAAAGTCGTGTAACTTTACGTCTTATTTACTGTTAACTTTTCAATCTAACTTATTCAGTGTTAATAATTCTTCAGATGAATGGTAAGGAAAAAAAATGCATCCATTATTGATATACAACATAGAAATTGCAAATACCCCAACATCTCTCTTGAATCGAAAAATAAAGGTAAGGATAAAATAAATAAGAGAAATGCGAAACGAACAAAAGAAAGAAAGTAAAATAAACAAGTTCAAAATGTTCAATACAAATCATCTTGGTACATCGATAGCAGATAATCAAATCATAACACTAAAGATTATGACTATGAACAAACATTGTATTCTAAGCAAACACAAATTAACTTTGCAAAAATAGACAAAAACAATCGTAGGTGGAATTAATTGATATACAGACAGAGATAGAGAGAGTGAGAGAGAGAGGAAAGAGATTGATTCACGAAGGAAAAAATAAAACAACAAAAGAAAAATAAATAATCTGTGATAAATCATGTATACATATGATGAAAAAGTTGATGTATAAAATGTGAATCTAATTTTTCAGGTGGATTTATTGGTAGAAAGTTGAAGAATAACTAAGCACTGGTTGAAGCGGGAGCTTGTAACAGAATATTATAACTATCTTAGCACTAAAATATAGAATAATTAGTGTAAAATATCCTGTCTTTTGTGATCTATTATTTTGTCGTTTGTGACCGTTATCCAAAAAAAACGCACCAAGACACTTATTTCGGTCGATTTCGCATCTACTATTACACTATAGTTTAGTGTATCATTGTCAATTGAACAACCGGTTAGCACTATTAACCTTAAGCCCTACGCCTGCAATTTGTTTGATTTACTATCCACTAGCTTCTTTCTATACGCTGCCTCGAACTAAATAAGAATTTATAAAGTGGACAGCGCTGACGAAAACCAGTCAACATCATCGCTATCTATTTTCTGCAACCTCATTCAACTCAACCACTGACATGCTTTTAGAGATCGTTTCTCAGGAGTTGACCTTCTTACCAGGAGAAGGCGCTTGCTGTCACTGATGACTTTTTCGGTTCTTATTCTATTTGGTGAAGACCCTGACAAGAAATACAAAGTCTTCTGACCAACCTAAGCAACAATTAAAGCATTTTCGGGTGCACTTCTCTCCTTCCAAATGCAAAATGTTGTTACAGGAATGGCTTGCATCGGCACCTGAACCATAGATAAAAAGTGAAGTAGTTGAGCGTGCTGGCCGCTACACCCCATCAGTGCTGATGGCCAAGTGTCTAACGAAATCTCAGCACGGAATCGGAAGGCTCCATTGACTTTTGTCAACTTGCATCACTTATGGCGTGGGATAGATATCCATCTACTAAACAAATCACGAGTCTACTCTGCAGCAGTTCGTTCCGTGCTATAATACAGGTCTCAAACATCACCACGAAGGTCAGAGGATATTCGAAAATTATTAGTATTCGATCATTAGTGTCTTTAAAGCATTGCTTCTATATCCTCGAAACACCGAGTAAGCAACGCTATGGTTAGGAAACAGGTACTAGGTAAGGATGATAGATCATGTGATGAAGGACACATTACGAATGCCCAACCACCGACTACATCAACGAGCAATGTTGTACGATGTACAGGCAGCCTCCAAGAAAGCTCGGACAACCAAACCAAAACATGGCACAAATCCACCAAGTCACTGGCAACTATAATAAGCCATGTCGGTAGGTGTAAGCCATCTGGTTAAGGTCCACCAAACAATAGTAACATATGCTTAAAGACTTTGAATGGCATGTCTCAAAATCGTTTGCAATGGAGCAGGTGCATGCACGCTTGATGTTCTCAAATTCTAATCCGCTAAATGCATCATGACTTTTCTCTCTTTTTAGATTGGCTCAACTGGGATTTATTTCCCCAGTCAGATCTATAGTGCCTCATCTTTTTGATTACCGTTAATACTTCTACTACCTCTTATACTATGGCATTTGAATTGACAATTCCTTCTTTCTGTGTTAATGTGGTATCGTCACTTGAACTGATGTACGTACGCACGATGTTCTACGTTGTAGCTGACTAACTGTTTCACGTTCGAAAGTCAATGATTAGCTTCTATTATATTTATATTTTAAAAAGATTTGGCTCATAAACAAGCAGACCAGACTACATCAAAACATAAAATTTGAGAATTATTATTAAACAAAACGCCAGTATGACTGAACATATGAATCTGTGAGCAATTTACGGGTCAAAAATTGCAAATCGTATGATGGCGGCTTAAGGGTTAACACAAAGCTCATGATAAATAGAATACGTAGATATAGTAATCCAGTTACTTAATAACTAAACAAAATGAACATATATAAAATGATAATATTAATCGATACATTAATTCTGGGAGTTAATATTGCTTTAATTTTTGTTCTGATGTCACTCCATATTATGTTTGAACCAAATTCGTAAAGAATCTCCGAAAACTAACAACAGCTTCCGATACATGGTATCATCTAAAGTTAGACTTATTTAGATAATTTCCAACATTAAGACAATGAGTGTTGGCCAAAATAGACCTGATTAACTTCTTACTGAACGACGACATTTACAAAGTCACAGAAATATACTGACCATTGTTTGGTTCCATGGTAAATGACGTATGAATGTGAGAAGTTTGAACGAGTTATAAAAATGCCGCTACATATTTGATTGAAGTAGTGCCAACATGTCGTCGAATAATCCAATATGCACAGTTGCGATCAAACACAGAAAATTAAGCCAATCAAAACTAATATCGATTAACACAATTGAAATATATCACACTGACGCATACAAGTTAAGCGAAAATAAGGGGATCGAAGAATTTTTTTTCAAAAACGGTATAGCCAAACTAATATCTTTTTTGGATGATTTGTATTGCTTGTAACATACCGGACAGTCGCCTTTAGAAACTACAAAATCAGTTTGCTCATCATGAAGTATCTGCCAAAGAGGTTACAGTGTTAGTACCATTGTTCTTGTTTTATTGTATTAACGTTTTAACCTTTGAGACCAATATCACCAGAATTTTAGCAAGTATAGTGTCAGGTGTTTTTACAATTCGTGGTAGGAGTACAGGATCAGTCAGAAAATCAGAAAACTATGGATGAAGTTGCTCTTATCCCTGACTATTAACCAACTGCAATTGAATTTGTTGCCAAATAAACTTAACAGTACCAGTAATTGAAAATGTATTTATTGAAGAATAAATTCATTTTCTATACCAGTATTCATTCGTTTGTTCTGGTTGTGATAAATTATGTTACTTTTTTTCTCGAATTTGGGTATGTTACACCAGCTACAATACTAACATTCAATTTTGTGGGTATCATTTAAGGATGGTGGTTTTATGATGTTGTATACTAGAGTACTCAATACTAGTAAATGAGGTTCTGCTTTGTTTAAGCACTGGTTTGCTTTCATATTGTGCTACAAAACATAACGCCTTTTTTTCGTTTGATTTCTTTAGTCGTTATGTTGTACACTCTCAAAACAAACAATAAAATGCGAACATGAGAGTGCTGATTATTGCACACATAAAACAACCAAAACAAACTTTTAACTCTAATTAGGCACTTTCATTCAACACTGATAAATAAAAGACTGTGAGAGAAAAACAAAGATACGAAATATTTCCCTTCTAAAATCAGACCTAGAACTGAGTTATAAACGCAAATTTTATGATATCTGTGCACTAACCAAGTCGAATTCGTTTTGAGCTCGCATAGACCGTTGACTATTATCAGGATCTTTACCTTTACTACGTGCTTTTTGGTTAGCAGCTAACAATTTATCTTCAGCACGACGACGAATTCGATCGGCCTCTAATGTTGCAGCTTGTCTATGTGCATATTCACGTTGATCTGCTTGGAGTTTAGTAGTATTGGCCAAAACACGATCTTGACATGCGGACATCATTTCGCGACACTACATAAATAAAATACAAACGTCAATCTCCTTTATCAACCATACAAGTAAAACGAAAAGATTTGATTAACATAAAATCAGAATAAAAATCGGGCTAGGAACTCTGATTTAGTCGGATGATAATTGAGAAAAATCATAAATAATTAATGAGACTTCCAATTATCATTTGTAACAGTGACCTCAGTCGGAACACTGTTACTGTTTCATTCTAGTATAGGACTTCCGAAATATGTACACCTACGAATCGATCGGTGATCAGTCCCAGAACTCGTAGGCCTTACGGTGAGCGTTTAACTGCGACATTACTAAGTTAGCGTCCACTGATACACATTTCCAACTCCAATCAATTCATTATATAGAACGACAGTTATTTACTTGCAAATCAGATAAGTCTATGACGGAAACCATTTTCAACTTTAACTGATGTTTTTAAAACCCATTCATCGGTGCTGTAGTCGTGCTTACTGCTGGCTTACGTGAGTGTCTCCTTAAAATTCCATTAATAATCCGTCACCAGTTAAGTCCGAAAATGTTAGGGGTGAAACGGTAGTCATCGAATTTATTGAATGATCATCTCGCTATAGTATGAATCGGTTGACGTTCAAAATATATACCACTGGATGGCAATCCATTTATATATTGTTTAGGTGCTCGCCCTGGGGATTTAAATCTTGGGTTTGATTTTCGGAAAGTCACTGTCTCCACCACAGAGTTCTACAGTAAAATGAAACAGCTGTTAAATCCACCTTAGTTTTTAACGGTACAATGGATAAGGTCAATCTATGATGAATGTTACTTGCAAATTAAACGAATCTCCATCAAATCCTCTCAACAATTGGGTACGTTATTACTTTGGTGTATAAATGTTAATAGTTTAATTATATCAAGTACAGTTATAGAGGAAAATGTTCAATTTACCAGTTTTAAAGGTATGATGAGATTAATTAGGAGGAAATCCAACAACTATCACTTTCGACATATAGTGTTCCCCAATTTTTAATGTCACTACGTATTTTCAGCTAGAACTGAATGGTTGGTTATCGTTACAAAACAACTTGTAACAAGTGTTATTGTTTTTCGTACATATTTACCCCGAATACATATATATATATATATATATTTATATATGACTAATATTGATTGAATCAGAAATGCAGACAAAATATAATTACGTTTCTGCAACCCACACAAATGAAGAGGGTAAATAGTTTCACTTTCACATGTTCCACAGACAAACAAACTGGACAATAAAACTGTTTCATGTGAAATATAATGAATTTTCTGAGATATGAACAGTAAGATTATAATTCTTATAATGATGGAGCAAGAATTAAGCCAGACAGTTAGGGAATGATCCTTAGTTGATATATTGTTTCAATAAAAAACCTCTGATTAGGTTCACTCCTGAGATTGATATTTTGTGTCATTTTGTTGAAGGAAAAATTTATTCTACTACTTGCTTTTGCATGTGAGATCAAGTGAGAGTTTACATGAATAATGCGATATCATAAGCAGTCATCATCCAGTCATTTTGTTTGATTGCATATAATCAACTGATTAACGATAGATTTATCTACTTCACAATCTGCAAAAATCATTTAGGAAATATTTTGACTCCTGTAAGGGCATAGACATTTTACTGTTACGCCTAAAGTTCAAATTAGCCATACTAAAGTTGATTGTCATATTCCAAATTTATCATAGCTTTAACAATAAAGACATAGAATGATTACAAACTTAAGCAATTCATGATAAACAAATTTTTCCATTTCATTTTATCTTACATTCGATCACTAAACAGAATGAACAAATATAAGAATGAAATTCAATCAAATAAAATCATTAAACAATACAATGAATTATATCCGATTAAAATATTAATTCGTGCATAGAAAAAAGCTAAACACAAAGAAATTGAAGTTTCAAGTCATCAAGAAGAAATAATAATAGTAAATTTCAGTTGTACATTAATCAACACATGAAGCATTTATTTACAAACCAAAGTAAATATAATGTAATGATAATAGAAACGATAAGAATTACAGAGGTAATCAGATTCTGGCGGAAATGAGTGTTGATGTAAAGTTTACAACATCCGATATCTTGACAATGAGATGATTATTTAGAATCTACTTCACCCTACTCGATTTAGGTAGCTGAGAAGTTTATCTCACTGGCCTTAATATTCACTGTGTGATTTAATGACTCTGTAGTTGATAAATGAATTTCACTGAAAATAATGTTACATTTCAATGAGTACAGGGATAAATTTTATATTTAAACTATAAAACTATATTAAAATAGTCAATTATTCAAGAAAAAAACTACATTAGATTTGACAGAAAAACTTACTTTAATAAGACTAGAAACATAATAAATTCAATATTAGAATGTAGTGAAGTGTTTTCGGATGGATAAACAAGTAGGTGGACAGAACAAGTCACAAGTATGAACAAAATTTTATTGATTTAAGCTTTTAAGTTAATCATAGAACAAGAGGAAAGTATTAAGATGAAAAGAAAGGAAGGAACTGAAGAACAACTTAGTGAACACTACTAAGAAAACAACACATAACTAACCAATTTTCAGTTGTCAGATGGATGTACTGGTTTTGATTAGAATATGAAAGGTTGTACATATGTAATGATTACGATTAGTACTTATTGGTGTTAGGGGTTTATCAAGATTGTTAGATTTCATGACTTAAATCACAAACTAACGTTAGTCAAACAACCAGAGAAAACCATGAAGCAATGGGTAACTATTTCATCCTAGTAGGGGGATACCCTACAATACACATCCATATCCTTTTTGGTATTTCAGCCTAAGGAATGCTCGATTTCAATTCATAAACGCTTCTAATAACCTCAGACTAAATCTACAGTATCTTGAACACTAGAGAATAGGCACGAAGTGCTAAAACAACTTTATGTTCCGAAATTAGTTTATGTACAGAGAAATGAAAGCATTCATAGTTCAAAACGACCTTGAGTTTCTGGGGGTTTAGAGAACCATATTAAATATAGAGGAGGTAGGGGCGAATATCGAATCAAGACTGGAACGTGATTCTGCGTTTTGCAGATTAGTTTACGAAGGTCTTTTTTTCAATGATGACAGGATAAAACGTCTCCTGGCGTTCCTGGGCCTCTAGAGACTTCCGTATCTATGCAAAATAATGCAGATTCGTAGACCAGACATCACCAGCAACAACCTACTGTGACAGAGAAAAAACCAGACTCCAGCTGAGGAATAAATTAAGAAAACGGTCTAGAGATGGATGAGATATACATTTCGGAAATTTATTCATTCAAAACACGCAAAGATTGGTACAAGTAGGCATGGAAATATATATGCGACACAATAAAAACGAAGTTTTGAAGAGATAGAGAAAAAACAGTAAATATAACAAAAAAGGGATGGATATTAGTAGGAGAAAATGTTTAGTTGAAGACCGTACAATCAGAAAGAATCCTTTTAGTTTAAGTTTCTTTTACTTATGTGAAGAGAATAAAAGTCACAGTAGAACTGCCACTCACTTCTATTCTGAGTCATGCCTGATAACGTCTCAAGCCACTACGGTGCACAATCTCTAAGATCCTAACCAGGGAGTTGTGAAGGAACAACAGATGCTAGCTCTGTACAACCTATGTCATACACTCACCACCTCTTCGCTTTTTCCAACAAGTTATAGCGTTGGTAAATGATTCAGGATGCGGAATTCACACCGACGACATTCGTAGTGAATGTGTAAATCACCGAGGTCGGTATTTTAAGATGGTGCCATTAACTGAATTACCATCGCTTTGTCCGAACCTCTGAATTACTAACATGGTGTTGCCACTTGTAGGCTTTGTCACTAGGTATGCTTGAAGCAATTACGAGTTCACCTTAGTCGATAAACGCGAACAAGACTCTTATTAGCGTCCAGGTAGGCTATCTTGAATCCCAAGCTGAAGATAAAAGGCTTCGTAAGCGTAGAAAGTATATTCTACAAACACCCAGCAATAACAGTACAATCAAGCATACAACTCTTGTTTATTTATACATCATAGAAACGTCCTTTGGACAGTTAAGAAAATAGCACACTAAAATACACAGCAGCTAATCACAGCCATGGATTTTCCTGGTGGGAAATGAAATCCCAAGATCAACTGATCAGCCCATGCTGGCAAACGTGAAATCCAAAATAAGGCATTTAACAAGCGAGTTTTGGAGATATAACATCCCCAACACCACTGAGTGTCAGCAATCCTTCGGCAACTTATCAGGCATACAGTTCTTCAATAGGCAATCCAAGAGACCAGCACTGTCTAACGAATCGAAGGCTGCCCTGATGTCAAGAAACACAACGATCGTTCGTCTGCGAAAGTATGGTAGTATCCCAAAGTTTTGCGAAGATATAATCAATAGAACCTCGACCAGAACGTAAACCAGCCTGCTCCACATAAGTCAATTTCTCTCGGATTTCAAACAATCCGCGAAGTATGACGGAACCAATAATTTGGAAACAATCGGGAGTAGATTTGTTCCCCGAAAGTTGTTACATTGCAGAAGGCACCTAACTGCGTTACGAGACAAGCCCTAAATTAGAATACTCAGTGCCAGAGTAAATGAGGCAGACCAAAGTACATACTGCGTCCAGAATTGGAGGCGGACATCAAAAAATGATAGAAATCGGGAACTGGAAAAAACTCGGGAAAAAGTTAGCTGGAGATTGCTGGTCGACAACCTATGCTCCACGAGGGATAGCAAGCGTAAGTAAGAGGCCTTTCCGAGGGATACGCCTGACTTCCCCAACACTTTCATGCGACCGAACGTGTTTCAGAAACAAAATTAATAATAATAATAATAATAAGAGTGTCTAGTTCATTTATATATAACTAAGAGCCTTACACAGACTCAAGATGGTACGATCTATGAGGGAAATTTAACTAAAAGAAAAAGGTATCAAAGATAACAATAAAGTGTTGAATTAGTTAACTTAAAACCCTTTTAACAATTCAAGAAATTAAGCAAAAACAATATACTAAGATGCATTTAAAATAATATGACGTAACTACACAGGCACAGAGATTCATAGAAAAAACAACTAACAATTATACCATAAGACTACAACGGGAATGTCAAAAACATTATTGAGTTTGAACCCTAACCCGATGAGCACCTAGATTGTTGAGTTACAGGTTTATAGAATAGATGCAAACATAACGAATAAGCTATCTAAGTGAGAACTAATTCAACTTGTGTTATAATTCTCTCTTTATTACAATCCAGCTATTCCTAATGGTAAGTATTCTCGGACACCATTTCACTCGAGACGATCTCCCCAAATCAGAACACGGCTGAACAGGAAATAGATTATATTCCAATAACAAAGTTAGATGGAAGTCAGAAGCTACAAAGAAAAAAAATATGTTAGTATATTTCTAGTTTTCTTATATGAGAAGATTCTAGAATGTTCCCTCAGTATGGGCTAGAGCTGATTGGATACGAAAGAGCCAAACAGAGTGCAACAACGCAATCATTCTTTAATCCAATCAATGTCCCACTAACAACTTGCATCATTAAAAGTATTTAATCTTTATCCACTACCTTTAAGATTGATTGAATGACATTCATTACCAGCATAATCGATTTAACTGAAATTTATCCATAATGAAACAAAAAACTCAATCATTTGGCTATTCATGGTCGCTGTGTTACAAATGATGATATGTAGAGGTATTTAAACAATTTTATAAACCGAAGCATGCCATTAACTAGAAACAATATACGTAAATAAAAAGAAACTATTTTGAAACAAAATTAATCATGACCTATTTAGTTGATAGTAGGTAGGACTCTTTCAGTTCAAATAGTTTTTAAAATGACCTTTACGTATGGTACGTACAGTGAACGAAGTGAATTTTGTCAAAATTTATTCTGCAATAAACACAGTCGAACACATCAATCAATCAACGCAGCTGGATAGGCAAAAATGTAGCTATTTTTGACTAGCGATAAAGAATTTTAAGCGAAAATCAAGTTATTCTATAAATATTCAGATACACTCACACACAAACATATACATACTTGTATATACACTAGAAATTATGGATAAATTATAAATTTTAAGGTGAAACTTAATCTGTAAACAGCAGTCACACTGTCGCATACTAAACAGAATGTAATAAGATTTTCAATGTTTTGGATGTTGAAACGGTAACACAGTTGACTGGTTTTAAAGCGAAAGTTGTACTACTGAAGAATTTCGTTAAGAAAGTTATTATTATGCAATTCATGCATGGAATTATAGTTAAGACATTCAACTTGAAAAAGATAGAGTTGAGTCTCAGTCCTGTGAATTTGATTTGTAGATTCGGGAAAAGTAGAACTTGACCACAAATGAAAAGTGGCTTGAAGTCGAGTGTATAAACCAGTATATGTTTACTAACGCGATTTTATAAATAAATTACTTTATATGAAAGGGGAAAAAATTAATTTGTTGATTTTATAAACATACTGAAAGCCTCGCTATCTGTAATGTTAACACCTAACTTTCACATTATTCAACTATTGATTACAAAACATATATATATATATATATATATATATATATATATATATGATAGAAAAAAGTGGTCAGTAAAAAATTTACAGTATAAGTTTAGAAAACCACCTTTTCAGTCCATCAGATTTATATGAACTTTGTCCCACTTTCTACGTTAACGATTCTGTTTATCAACAATTGTTTGTAATTTAACGAAAATATCATTTTTTAAAGAAACTACTAACAAGAAGGCCTAATGTGTATATAGTATAAAATTATTAATGATAAATAAAACCAGCTATAATATCAATTACAAAAAGCATGTGAACGAGAATGATAACAATTAACGTAAAATCAACCGGAGAAAACTCGTGACTGGTAATAATAATATTAATAACTAGTAAGATACGAAAAAAAAATCATCTGATAACTTTTGCCACATTTATTTCTTCTGTTTTACTTTATTCTAATTATGTATCATGTAGTGTGTGATGACAATGTTTAGACTAAAGTAAAAAGTTAGAATTGAGTTATACGACATCTTGATTCTATTTTAACGAGTATATTTTTTATTGAAGTGTTATCTAGTATTTTTTTTTTCTAATACATGTTAATTTCTTTTCTGTAACAACAACTGGAATATCATTTTCCTCATTTGTATTTCTGCAAAACCTTTATTGTTTTATGATTGGTTGTTACAACTAAGAAGTACGTTAATTTCCCTTAATTGTTGCATAAACAGTTTGCAACGTCAAGTTTAGCTCTTCTGACTTCCATCTGGCATATAAAAATATCTTAAAAGTTCATTGTTCTTAGCTTGTGGAATTATTAATGCCAAAATGTTTTTGTGCATCAGAGGCAGTACAATCGAGTTCACATCAAAAGAATCTAAACTGTCCAACGAAATAAATAGAAACATTATCATGATATAATGCTAATACAATTAAGCGAAGTATTATGCTCAAAAAATTCAATAAAACAATACCAACAGTTTAATAACAGTGGTTCAGATAAGTTAATATCTTACGATACTGAAAAGTTATTCTTATTACTTTTACACAGAGAATAAAGTTTACCTGTTTATGCAAACGAACAGCATCTTCATCCATATCAGCTAAACGTTGAACCATTTGTTTTGAGAAGATATCAGATAAAGTTGCGTGAGCTTCAGATAGATGCAATGTTGAACCAAGTAATGTATTCCATATAGTAGTTGCTGTATACGGAGCCCAATGAGGACGTCTAAATTTATATTTCGAAAAAAGAGAAAATAATCTGAAAATAGTTCCAAGAAAGCACTTACTTCAACAACATTTAAAGATCCTATAAGTTTCGAATAGTGTATTTAATGGAAGTTCGTTATCAAGAAAAACATCGTACATGGCAATCAAGACGAAATTTTAGTAGAAAAAATACCTAATTAATCTTATTCTAATCTCCTTTAGAAAATTAATGATTACATCATGCCATGTTTTTGTTATAATTATAAAATCAAGGTTCCTATTGAGCGGCTACAAACAAATATGGGAACTGGATAACACACTTTGTAAAATTAACACTAGCAGAGAGAGAAATAAAATTAATAAGATGAGAAACAAAGAGGTTAACATGATAGTATCAGCAGTATAAATGAAAATTATGGAATAATAGTACCAAAAATGAGGATCTTAATGAAGACAAACAGTGAATATGTTCTCAGCAAGTGGGAGAACTACAGAGGCATCACTCTTCTCTCAATATCAGGCAAAGTTTTCAACAGGGTATTGTTAAACAGAATGAAGGACTTCGCAGACGCCCAACTTCGAGATCAACAGGCTGGATTTCGTAAGGATCGATCGTGTACTGATCAGATTGCAACATTGCGGAACATTGTGGTGTAATCAACAGAATGGAACTCACCACTCTACATCAACTTCACTTGGAACCCTTAAGGTTAATGGAAAAGAGGAAGGCCAAGGAACACATTAAGCCGAGAAATAGAGAAAGATGTGAGAAGAATGAACAAAAAGGGAGGCTCAGGACAGAGCAGGTTGGAGAATACTGGTCGGCGACATATGTTCCATAGGGTATAAGAGGAGTAATAAATATATATATATATATGTTAATTTTCAGTAATTAGCCAGCAATCCTCTAGAAAAATTTATATTTTCCTTACGATTAATATTATTATCAACTTCAAAGAAATGAACTGATGATATACAACACACTCTAATACACATGAATACCTTTCACTATTTAATGTTGATTGAAGATCAATACAGCGAATCAACAATCTCTATGGTAATAATCACAGGGGATATCTGATATTTAATATTATCAAACGATAACAATTGATAACAAAAACACGTTTTAAGATTATCATACCTCTTGTTCAATATTATAAAGATAAAACATGTAATATACCGTGATAAAGCTGACTAGATTAAGTATCTACATAATATGTGAGTTAGGAAAACATGATTATGTCATCTGAAATACTGGAAGAATACAGATCACATACAAAGCAGGAAATTTCTATAGGTATATTATTCGTGATTCGCATGAATTAGAACACGCAACAATTTCAAATAAATCATTCCAAATCATACAAATTGTTACCGCTTCGAAAAATTTATAGCGACATTGCTCACTGTCACAGTTTGATCACGAAATTAGTACAAGTTACTTTTTCACGGCAGTACATATCAGATATTGATAAATATTTAGTAACAAATGAAACTCATTAAACATAAGAGCGATGACTAACCAACATAATCACTACAACATACATTTCAGTAATTCCGGTTTTAGAATCAATGACATTAAAATGGGAAAAAAAGAGGACAGATTAGAGAAATCTCTATTACTGATTCTAACGTTACCTTTACGTAACACGTGTACATACAATAACACTAACATAAACCGTGTGAATTATAGGCTAGCTATCACATCAGAATGTGATTTCTAAATAACACTCATTAAGGAGTGTCCATTCATTCGATACATATACACAAAAGTAAACAATGGATTCATTAAAAAGAAAAAAAAACACAGAAAAGTCACCAATAGTAATAAACTAGAGAAATAATAGCCTGACTGTAGATGCTACATGGTGGTCAGGCTTGCCTATCGTGATGACCCAACTGAGCTATATTGGCTGGAACATATGTTTCTTTAGGTCTTACCATGCCAGGCAGGTCGATTAAAGAACGGTGAGACTAAAAGCAGCGACTCAAGGTCTGAGGAGGGCAAAGTCGTACTGCTGACTGTAGAGAGGTGTGACAGCAGTAAGGCGTTTCCCTCGGACGAACAGATTCTACAGCGATACTGCTTTCTCACAATAAAATGAAGGTATTAGAAAAGGTTGGAACTAAAATTGATACACCTTATCTTATCCCACGGATTTCAATCTCCGGAATAAGGCCTTCTGAAGAGCGGACGTAACACGTTAAAAACTTCTCATAAAAAGGTCGTGTGAGACCGGTCTCAAGCATTTGTTTCTTGAGCTCTGCTGTAAGACTACCGATAAGAGCAATAATAGTCTAACTACCTCACCAGGTTCCTCAAGAAACACTTGCACGGTGTGGGCAGCTGGAATGTGATATCCACCCTCATACGCCTAACAGCCCACGAGACCAACTTGGTCACAAACAAATCCTTCCTACACCTCTTAATAACTCCTCTCATACTTTTGCCACCTCACGCCGCCGATGCAAACGTTTTGAGTTCACAAAACATAATTCCTGGTCTCCAGAAACCACGCCTTAGACTGCATGTTGAAGCCTTCAATGTTCAGACCTTGAGTTTGATAGGACAAGCGGCTTCCTTAACGCTAGGAATCCGGAATCTAGCGCCATCGATGTAAGCTGAGTCTCTGAAAAGCGCATACACGACCCCAGTAGTGTCATTCATTTGACTTCACCATGTTAATATAAATAACCAACTCGGTTTACGCTCAGTGTATCTGGAAGCCGCATTGCTGCTACCCGTAGCCTTGCTGGTGTAGGTAGAGCATCAAGTTCTCAAGCAGAGCTGGATCCCAGTAAATAATCGCTTATGCACTGTCCGAATAAAAAGACTGTAAGGACTTGGAAAGAAAGGGACATTCGCCGTTGCCCCTTTGTCGTATCTGCCTACACTGCCACTGACCGAAGCCCGCATGAGGAAAGAAACGAGTTTTACAGAAAGCTTTCGGACCTTTTTCAAAAGTTCAGGCGCTCTGATGTAGTAGTAGTAGTAGTAGTAGTGGCTGGTGACTTTAACGCTCAAGTAGGTAGACTAAACGAAATTGAAAAATACTTGGGTAGATCTAACGGTGTCACAGCTGATCGAACAGATAATGGAGACCGTCTGCTGCAGCTTTGCTCAGATAACCGCCTATTTCTAGCAAATACTAACTTTAAGCACAAAGAAAAACATCTTATGACCTGGCGAGTCCCCGAAATCTACCTACCGATGGACCTAACTAGATCACATAGCTAACAGCCATGAGTGGAAAGGCTCCATTGAAGACTGCCATTCATTCTAGAGCACATGTTTAGATTCAGACCATACTCTAATAGGAGCACGTACGTCTACGTAAGAAAGACACTTCAAGGAAACCTCTTAGGGTTCTACTTAATGATAGAAAAGCTAAGAATATATTACAGTAACAATTGGAAAAACGGTTAGGCGGCTATGTGAGTGATTCCCATTCGAGACAGCTTGGAATGATATCCAGAAAGCTATGAAAACAGCAGCGATTTCTGACAGTAAAGGTTAGGGAGAAACAATAGAATTCAGTAGCACCTACTAAACTGAGAGACGCTCGAAAACTCTCCCGTCTGGCTCTGAACACGAACACGCTCCTAAAAAGCCTACTCAATGATCGCGAACAGTGGTGGGTAGAGAAGGCTAGAGCGATGGAAAAGGCAGCGGCGATAGGCACCAGTAGACAACTGTTCAGACTTATCAAGGAAACCGGAATTAAGAATCCGACTGTAAGTGAGACTATTTCGGAGAAGGATTGGCTTATTATTCATTCCCAATCCAGGAAATTGGATTGATGGGCAGATCATTAAAGTGTCCAGTTCAACCAGCCTTCAACCACAATTCGGTTACCTACGATTTCTAGTCAACCTGAACGGAAAATTGATGTAAACCTCCAACTCTTAATGAAGTTGAAAAGCCGATAGGAAATCTAAGACGAGAGAGAACAACAGGGCCTGATTGGCTTACCTCTGGAACTTTTAGGAATGGCGGTTCAGTTTTAGCAGGTAGGAAGAATATGGGAACTGAGCGTAATCCCATCTGACTGGTCTCAATCACTGATTGTCTATAAGAAAGGGCAAAAGTCCTTGTGTGACAATCATAGAGGAATTAGTCCTAATGGTCCGATCGATGAAGAGATCTCGGCACGGATATGGAAGGCTCCATTGACTTTTGTCAACTTGCATCACTTACGGCGTGGGATAGATATCCATCTACTAAACAAATCACAAGTCTACTCTGCAGCAGTTCGTTTCCTGCTATGATACAGGTCTCAAACATCACCACGAAGATAAGAGGATATCAGGAGATTATTAGTATTCGATCATTAGTGTCTTCGAAGCATTGCTTGTATATCCTCGAAACACCGAGATAGCAACGCTATAGTTAGGAAACAGGTACTAGATAAGCATGACAGATCATGTGATGAGGTAGTGAAACTTGATCAGTTGAGGTGGTTGGGACACACATTACGAATGCCCAACCACCGACTACATCAACGAGCAATGTTGTACGATGTACAGGCAGCCTCGAAGAAAGCTAGGGTAGCCAAACTAAAACATGGCACAAATCCATCAAGTCACTGACAACTGTAATGAGCCATGTTGGTAGGTGTAGAATATCTGGTTCGGGTTCACCAAACAATAGTAGCGGATGGTTAGAGACTTTGAATGACATGGCTCAAAATCGTTTGCAATGGAGCAGGTGCATGCACGCTTGATGTTCTCTCAAATTTTAATCTTCTGAATGCCTCATGACTTTTTTTCTCTTTTTAGATTGGCTCAACTGGGATTTATTTCCCCAGTTAGATCTTTAGTGCCTTATCTTTTTGAATACCGCTAATACTTCTACTACCTCTCATGCTAAGGGATTTGAACTGACAATTGCGTCTCTGTACTAATGTGGTATAGCAACTCGAACCGATGTACATACGTACGAAGTTCTATGTTGTAGCTGACTGACTAACTGAGAGAAACGATAGTTATTCACAAAATACAACGATATGCTGAAACAATTACAGTATGGTAAAACAATAAATTTGTTCATTAGCAAACTACATACGAAATGACAATTTATTTTTAAGGCAAAAACAAATTCTCAACAAACTTTACGAAAAGACGAAGGTGGCTAAGTTATTCTATGACTTGAATAGATTGTAAAAAAAACGGAAGTGTCTATCAATAAACTAATGACCTTATAATGAAACAAAGACATTATTAGTATTCGCAGTTGGAAACCGACAAGTATAAATGAAACAATCAATTACATATATTAATAAATCAAAGGACTAACTTTGTTGTCTCATTCACATGACGTTGTTTTAATCCGTTGGCAAGTTTAGCTAAAGCATCTGCATAATCCTGTTCTACACTAGCACGTCGACGATAAAAATCCTGAAGTTCAGCGACTACAGTAGAATCAATATCTAATTTGAGATCTAAACATTTTAGCTGTTCTGTAAATTGATTGCGTAAATCTGAAAAGAATAAATATATTTATAGGTATAAAGTGGATAAAAACAAACGAAAGGGTAACAAAGTGCTAAAACTGGTTCAAAAGTAAACCAAGAACCAAATAAGTAGGGCACACAATATTCTAAAAAGGCATCAAACCTTCCAACAACCCAAAAAGAACAGTTTCATACAACTTGAAACTACTCAAACCATCAGATCCATAAACAAATATGAATATGACAGAAAGTTTACGATTACAGTAAAGAAATAACGCCGTATACAACACCTTTTAGCGGTTATTTTTATCTTCTCTTTGTAAATTATCACATGTAGAAACACTTAATTGCTGGATAATAGATATTAAAGTTATGGTTAGAAGTGCAAATGTATTACTGATTAGTTTACCAGACACAGGTTAGTGTACATACCTTCAGACTACACTCTAAGTATAAGGGCTAGTGAATCGGCCCAAATGGTGAGACGGATGTAGATAGGGAAGACTTTGAATCTAAGACTTGGAAGATGAAAGTGGGACATCTTAACCACAGAGTCAAATAATTACATCTTAGGTGGTTATAAGTTCAGATATTTAGATCGAAAAAGACAGCAAATTCGGTTGAATAATAGGAAACCAATATGATGGATAAGAATTACTTACACTAGAGAGTGACTGATCTACAAAAACTCGTAACTCCTAATCGGTTAATGGCTGAGTAACATTGTCATTTTTATTTTTGTTTCGAGCTTTCAATATCTAGACATATCACTTTACTGTAAGAGAAAAACCCCTTTGATAATTTTTTTTGTTTTCAGATGATAGCTCATTTGGGAAAATGGGTCAAAATTTCAGTCTGCGTTTTTCTATATACTTATCTAATATTTACAAAAATGTAAATGGCAATTAATTATATTTGGGACACTTAGTCAATTCACGAAAACAATGGCGAAGTGAAAAACCAAAAACTATAAAGATAACACTAAGTAATTCGAAAAGAACGCGAAAACTAAATTAAAATCATGAATGAACAAACTGGCTAATTTTAATCTACTTTATCTCATATCAAAAGCTTGATCTCCCATTTTGGGTGAACTTCATCCATAGTTCTTTAGAGTTTGTCATTTTCGATTTTTCATCAAATGAACATGAGTCTCAGACCATCAAAAACTCAGTGATTAACTTGTTTTCCCGGCCTTATGGCATGAATACTTCTGCTTTTTTTATAAACTGAGACGATCGAAATCCCTGGTCACTTTAATCACTTGTAGTAGTCTCATATTTCACTTAATATTAATCTCGAAAGATCTATTATTCTATGCCCACTTATTTGAAAACATTATAATAATTTGCTGATCATTTTGATTTTTTCCCCACCTATTATTCAATAATGTAGTATTGTGGATTTATAGATCTTAAATAAAACAAAAGTATATGATAAATCTACTTATTCAATGTACTGAATAGCAATAAGAAAATAAGAAAATAAAAGCATACATCATTACAGTGTGAAAAAAAGTATATAAGTTCAAAATTTCATGTACTATTTATTGATGAGGATGAAATTTTTGTTATTCTTATTACTAAAACAAGTGATAGAATTTCAGCATTGAAAAGTCGAAAGACTGAAGTAGTAAGTTAAGCTGGTTACCAATTTATGAAGGTAGTTGTCTGAGTGATATGAAGTCGAACAGCATGAACATTCACTCAGTAGTAATATTATAAAACAAAATGACTATCTATCCATTGAATTGAAAATAACTAATGTAATAATGCACTCTTTTCCTGAGGCATCTTCATTACGTAAATTTTTTCGAAAATAGATTGAGTACTAATGGTGGTAGTTACCAAAAGAACTTAGTTTTAGAGGATTCGTTTCTGCTCAGGGTGAATTTTGAAATGTATTAGTGTTATGTGATAAGCTTAAAAACAGGAGATAAACAGGAATGTAACATAAGCGGACCAACATGCTTTAGTAGGTTACCCAATCATAATGAATCCAATAGATGTATAAGAAAAGAGAAGGAGAATTAACGTATTAATCAAGTACTTGTGTATGAATCCCACTTTAAATGCCAACGATCAATTCATATACAAATGTTTCCATCCAAACATCATTTTTAAGCAGTCATACTGACATTTTAAGATAATCTATATACATGACGAGTGACAAGCATTGGGTTTAGCTGACTTAACATATTCAGGCAAAACTGAACTGTTTAAGCTAACTGCTTACTTTCATCAAAAAATCAAGCTACATCATTAAATTACACGTTAGTTAGTAATTTAAATGCTTTTGCAATGTTCTGTAATAGAAATTATTTGAAACATTTTGAGTAGTGTCAATCTAGTACTGAATATCATAACAACGTTTGATTCGAACAGAACCAACTCTATAACATTGTGGACGTTTTTAAAACAATTTGACCAGGCTAATCTAAAACTGATTGATGAAATTAATGTTTCAATAAGTGACTGAAGTAAATCATAAAGAATTTAAATCACTTAACATCATGCCGGGCATCAATAGCTGATAAATAAGGTTTAATTACTGAATGTGTGGGGCATACATCATAAAACTATATGACTGGTATTCTTTGTTCGCGAATATCGTCCATTAAGAGAGTAAAACGTCTTTATATACAAATCATTGTAATCAGGTGAAATTCACAAAGACAATAAATGTCACTTCATCAATCGATATCTGATCACATGTACAACATGAAGTAAAACGGCAGAATGAATAGAAGTAGGATGAAAGACCATTGATCGCTAAGAAAAATGTATGTGGTAGCTTTACTAGCCAAAGCATTTTCGGTCAGAATAATAAGCAATAATTTATACCAAAAAAGGTAGGTATAGGCAAAACAAGATTTAGTACGAAATCCCGTTAGCTCATATCGCTTCATTGCACATTACCACAGGAAGAGGAACGACAAAAGGATAAGAATATTACAGTAAGTTGAAGCAGAAAAGTAAAATAGATAGGTTTAATAAACAAATTAACTCCTTCTGGAGCTCAGCTGGGATTACTGCCGGCCCCAAGCCCGGATAAAGGAGGGTGGGGTGTGGAATTTGCAGCCCCGTCCTGTAGAAAACCATTTCGCCAAAAAAACATTAAACGGAAAATAATTCAAACCATTTAAACACTGTCGTAGGAGTGGGAAGGTCTTCATTTAGAGGAGTTATGACGTCTCGTGATGAAAGCCGAGTTCCTTCGAAAGTCACGAGGCCGATGTCTCTTCTCACAAAAACAGCAACCATTCATTTAGGTACACGGATGTAAAGGCATGGACTGGCAAAGCAAGGGCAGCATTCTTACAGTTGAAGAACATCAGTAACTCGAAACAACTATCAACCAATACCAAAGTTGGAATTCTTAACACAAACGCCAAACCAGTTCTACCGCACGGACCGGAAACTTCGAGAACCACAAAGGCCATCATCCACAAGATAAGGGGTTTATTAACACTTGTCTACACAACATACTGACGATCCGTGGGTGAACACCATCAGCAGCAACCCACTGTGTCTGAGAACAAACCAGATTCCAGCAGAAGAAGAAATTAGAAAAAATTGCAGGAGCTGGATAGGACACACATTATAGAAATCACCCGAATGCATCATAAGGCAAGCCTTAACTTGGAATTCCCAAGGACGAAAGGAAACAGTGAAACCAAAGAACACGTTATACCGAGAACTGGAAGCAAACATGAAAATAATGAATAGCAATTTGGTACAACTGGAAAGGCGGAGGACAGAGTAGATTGGAGAATGATAGCCAGCGGCTTAGGTGTCACGACGGATAACATGCGTAAATAAGTAATAAACAAATCAAAATGGAAAACGAAAAGTATACACCAAAAGTCTGTTCCAGAAGGCAAGGAAGAAACGAAGTTATGCCAGTACCATTAAATTCAGAACACTCGCTGTCCAGAAATAAATTACGATTTTTGTCCATACTCCAAACGAGTCGCCTGTAGCTATCAACATGATTCAAATCTGAAATGAACGACAACCTGGACGGATACTATACCAGTGATCTAATCATTGTTAATTCTTTCCAACCTACCCCTGTACTGATCAGCATAACTTTTTTGACGTAATCGGAAGTGATGAAAGTGTAACATAGCTTACAGTCAATTAGGTCGACAAAGATTACAAATCAAAAAATCAAATTCATTTGATACTTTAATAATAACATCGGTACTGGTCATCTAATGGTTTCACTACAGGCCAGCAATTTTGTGAAGCACTTCAAACTTTTTCAAAGGTCATGGTTCACAATTGTTAAGTGACGCGAAACGAACCACTTCATAGCATACTTGCCAATCTTACTTATATAAAAAACGACATCACTTGACCGAATTCAAAGTGACGTGCTACATTAGTAAATAGATCTTATCACTTACTAACCTATTACAGTGTACCATAAATTCACTCCCAATATTTAGGCTAAGCAAGAACGTTTGCAGTGAAGTTTTTCAGGTATTTTCTGAACTATTTAACCCCGTAACAATGTGGTTACTTAGATAAACTATCGAAAAGATTATTAATATTTTAAATTGAGTAAACCAGAGTGACCAGTAAAAAGCAAGGAAGGCAAAGTAATCAAAAACAATGAAAAACAGAGAAACAGGTGGGTAGAGCACTTTAAGGAATTCTTGAATCGACCAGCTCCACTGAACCCACCAAACATCGGAGCGGCATCCACAGACCTCCCAATCGATGTTGGCGCACCTACAATTGAAGACATCAGACAAATCAAGAGCGGCAAAGCAGTCTTCAAAATAGTGTTGCTAAATAGAATGAAGGACTTCGTATACGCCCAACTTCGAGATCAACAGGCTGGATTTCGTAAGGATCGATCGAGTACTGACCGAATCGCAACATCACGGATCATTGTGGAGAAATCGATAGAATGGAACTCACCACTCTGCATCAACTTCATCGACTACGAGAAGGCATTCGATAGCGTGGATAGGAAAACACTGTGGAGGCTTCTTCGACACTACGGTGTGCCTGAGAAAATGGTTAACATCATACGGAATTCTTATGATTCATTAATAGTTGTCTATGCAAAATACTTCGGATTCGTTGGCCAGACATAATCAACAACAACCTACTGTGGGAGAGAACAAACCAGATTCCAGTGAAGGACGAAATCAGGAAGCAGAGGTGGGAGTGGATAGGACACACACTACGATAAGCACGTAACTGCGTCACAAGACAAGCCCTCACATGGAACCCTCAAGGTCAAAGGAAAAGAGGAAGGCCAAGGAACACATTGCGCCGAGAAATAGAGAAAGATATGAGAAGAATGGACAAAAATTGGACAGAACTGCAAAGGGAAGCCCAGGACAGAGTTAGTTGGAGAAAACTGGAGGGCGGCCTAGGCTTCATGGGGGGTAACAGGCGTAAGTAAGTAAGTAATGTTGTATACTTCAGAACACCTAGCAAACACATTAAGGTATCTTTTCTAATGGTTCATTGGTGCATAGGTTTTAAAAAGGAACATGCGAAAGATACAGTAAAAACTGGAAGGCATTAAAAGCGACAAACAGATGCTATCGAACAAACAACACTACTTGATATGTTGTACATTCGTATCTTTCTAATATACGTCTTCTTTAAGTAATACAATTAGTAAAAAGCTATAAAACTAACAATTACACACGTAATGTTATTTTCCGGAGACACTGCTCGTTTTTCTGATGAAAGATATGTATAGACTATCTCTCATCATTCACAAAATCTAAATTGCTTGTTCATCAAAGATTACTGGGGGAAAAACATCAAACTAAAGTAGAAGTAAAAAAGAAATGAATCGATTGAACCTTATGTGCACAGAGACCAGATAATTTGAAAACTTAACTTTAAAAAGAATATCAATTGTTTACAATACAAAGAAATATGTGCATGATGAGCAGAAACCGAAATTTAAACGCATGCACAGAATAGTGAGAAATAGCAAGAAATCTAATGAGTGCAATGAAGTTAGAATTTACAAACTTACGCCAGTCAATTCCCCCAATATATTTTGATGAAGAAATAGAACGTCGAGAATTGTTGCTTCGTTTGAGTGACCCGCTTAAATGAGGACCGAGTCCACACGAATAATCCATTACCAGCGTTAAGTGTGAAACTTTAGGTCACAATATGCAGAATTCAAGCCAAACAGAAAGTAGACGGACCATGATAAAAATTTAACATCAAATAAACAATAATTCTGATTATTCAGCTTCAGAGGAAAACAGCCGAAGATGAATTCGTCCTATGAATTTTGCCAAACAGGAAAAAGAATGGGGTATGGAAGTCTTTTGACTGAATGACTGATGTAAAGTGAGAAGCATAAATGTTTTATAAAATAGAAAATTATTCTATGAAGAATATTAAAAGTTAATCTATCGAAATTGTTACCAAATCGGATTACCAAAAGATTTGAGATAATTAACTTCGTGCAGACAATTAAGAAGAAGTCAAGCAAGAAAGATCAATGAGGCAAAGGTAAGCATGCACAATGTTGAAGCGTCTAACCAATGAGTAGGTAGTCTGACAGAGATTGGAATTAAACATGTGGTATAAATTAACCGAAAATCTTTAATTATATGGTGAATTGTGCATTAATGAAATTATACACACTAAGAAATCAAGTTTGAAATTTTAGGCACGATATTCACAGAGAAAAACTACAAATGATATTTCATCTACAGATAATCACACAATCTGGTTACAAATAAGGGTTTAACTGTCATTTATGTAAACTTATAAATTTCAATCAAATTTGTAGCATATAACGGAGTCAAAATAATCCCCTGAAAGTCGAATCCTTTATTGGAGAGAATATTTATCAAATAAAGCGGTCTTGGAACATTTGACCACACACTTTTTGGCCAGTCGATTGATAACTTTATTATACTCTATTATACTGAATAACACAAGTTTTTACACATTTACCTTACATAAATTTTAAACCAAAACACTTAAAAATTAACATAGCGCGAATGCTTTTTTTGTGTTCTACAGTTCAGCTCTTTTTAATTACAAGTTGGAACGAACTTAATAACTATCGAGGACTATTTATTTGTGCCTAGTCTCCATCAGCTTCAAAATGGAAGTACATTTTTTCAGCTTTTTGGGGAATTTTACCTGCTTTCTCACTCGATTTTCAATGACTTAAGGGGAAAGTGAAAACATCAACTTTCTCACAGGTATTTATCGAGTAAAGCGTGCAAAGACTCTACTTAAGATAGTCCTTATATTTTAAATATTTTGTGACCCAAGAGCTAGAAAACTAATAATAATTTCCATCACTTAACTGTGGTTTTGGATGATATTGAATTAGGGTCGATTAGCACATTTTTAAGGAAACTCATACACACAGGAACAAATTTGAATGACCAATCGACTAGTTGTATTGAGTCAGTACGTGATGCTGACTCAAAATATGCCTAACGAACATTAGTCTTCAACAGTATTATCCTACAACTAGATATTCATTTTATCGAACTTTTAATACTTTTTAGTTAAGTCGGTCTGCAATCCACATTTCCTCTTGAAATTCGTGGTCCAAAATATAACTTTGAATGGCATGAAAGCACTCCAGTCCGATTACATTTTAGAGCGATTACGAAACATTCTGTAGTTATACACCCGTATAAATTACAGAGACATGAAGACAGTCTTTTCCATGAATCAAGCAACACTAACTTTTATTCCGTAATGAGGCTTTTAAACAGAAGTGTAAAGGAGGAAATATCCCTCTCATGTAATATATGGAGCCATAAAAAGACGATTGGAAGACTTTTATAAACAGAATTCTATGAAATGTCTATTAACCAATTCACAGGAATAGATATTTTATTTACGTTAATCAATGGTTTATTACGTCACGAATTCTATGGAACATTTGGATTTGAAATAATAGGAAATAATGAATATAATGGATGAAGCTATAAAGTGTAGCTGTGTAAAGGATTAGAATGAAACGATCAATACCCATATTTTTCGTTACTTTTTGCATTGCTAATTAGTTGATGTTTTTGGTGGTAAAGTAAAATGTTCATTCGAAGCTATTTAGTAAAATATCTAAATGTGTCTAAAGGCGAAGACAATAGGTCAACTAAATAAAACAATTAACTCAATCGTAAACATCTTGTTAAAATATCATAGTAAGCAAGATGCAAAGGGAAAAAGCCCTAACAAAAGCCAGAAATAAAAACCACAAACCATTGGTCAGTTAGTTAAAGCCACTGTTAAGTATGATATGCTATAATCAGCATAATTAGATTAAGTATAGCAGCAAATCAAAACAATGTGACCGGATACTTCAAACAACATGTTACTCAAACCAACAACATTCAGGATTGAAAATATAGTAGATAGTATTTAAAATAAGCAAATAGAAAGATTTATGAAAAGCATCAACCAAAGACAGACAACTAATACCAAGATTTAAGGAAAATCAACCTAAAAGAAAGCGCCGATCATTAAAGTCCATCAAGAACAGGTTTGAATAGTTATGAGTTTTATTCATATTTGATCATACTGGTAACAAACCCGAAGAATACAATAACAAGATTTTAAACTTATGATGTTTAACTACAGATCTTAAAGTTACTGGTATTCCCTTTCTCAATCAGATAACAGGAATAATCGCAAGAGATTGTTTCCAACATTCACTGTGTTTAGGTGCTATTTGTCAATTAAAGAAAATGAAGATTAACTTAAACTTAGGGACAGTCGGACAGATGAGAAACGAATGCACCTGCCAAGCATTTGAAGATGTTTGGATTCAGGAAATATTAACCAATTGTTAACCTACAACCATGAAGTGCGATTAAAACATGCATTACTGGAAGACTGATAAGAAATAGTGATATTAAAGGCAGAGCGCGAGCATATTTAGGATATCATACGTAGTTGAACGAACAGTTGCTTAAGAACCATAGTGATCTTGGATTAAGATTTTGAGTTAAGAATAGGATCTCTAGGGACCTATAATTCACTCAGTCTGAATCATAATGAAATCGGCACTATAAGTCAGAAATTTAGTTACAAAGATTTTTATATGAGTACTGGTCAGTGAGTTAAATTTTAACATTCACAAATAAATTTAAAATTAAGTCTAATATCAGGAAGAAAACAGCACAGGGATTCATGAAACAGACGTGTGCTTGTCCGAGTTGTCACACCTTATACAGCAATTAATACACAGGACTCCCAAGTAATGTTAACTAGTTTAAAATCGCTATTACGACCCTACTAAGTGGAAAACCAAATACGAAAAAAGCAAAGAATGAAAAGCATAAAAACTTGTGTAATATCAAACTCATCATCTACAGAAATATGAAAGCTGAATACGGTCTACTCAACGCTGTTTACGTTGAGCCATGCTACTTGGGTCCCTTAACCATGGATTGCGACTCACACGAGCTTCTTTTAGTAGCATAACTGTCAGTAGGTTGATGTAGTCAAAGGTTTAGGAGCTGAAATGACTCAACGTATCAAGGTAAAAATCAAATCACCTGATGAAATAGGCATTTTCATCAGATATCGTTATTACGGAGCCCCATCCTAGTCACATCTTGGACTCAGCTTCGACTATTTTTACTACTGTCGAACTGGACTATAGCCGTGTCACATTTCTAAAGATCGAGTATACTTCAGGTGATCTTCAAATTCGGAAAAGCTTAAGTACTTAAGTACTTGTGTCTATTTTTTGCATTGATAAACCTTCGTACTGTGATGTTTTAAACAGGTTCGACATCTTTATAGCACTACCCTTTCAATAAATTGATATCGCTCGACATATATAAAAATGAAAAGCCGTATTATTACAGCACAACGAATGGATGAGCTTCTGGAAATAATTCACAATATGCTTACACAGTTTAAACTGTATCCTTGAGAATGATTTTCTGAAAGTAACTATTTCTGAGCACAGAGAATTATGATCAGAACACTAACATATTTAGATGGTTCCTGGATGAAGTTGATGTTGAACATATCAAGCCCCATGCAGGCGTTAATTTAAACTTAAAAGACAAAGAACTGGATCTAAATGCTTCAAATACCAAGTCAAATCGGGTACTTGTGGTTTAATGACTTTTTCTATGAAACAAAGTTATTAGATAAAAACAAGTGGTAAAATTTTTCAAACAAGCGAAGGGATAGTTTTAACACTGCAGTGAAACCGACCTTCGTGATGCAAACGATTCGAAACAATGATAATAGAGAAGCATAGAAAATCTACGAGTCCAACAACCACAAGGAGACACAGAAAACTTAGATAAACAATTCTGTCATTGAAAGACAGAAAACCTCTAGTTTTAGAATCTTGTGAAAGTAGACATCATACCCAGCCTTCCTACAACCGCTCCGGTTTCAAGCTTCACAGAGGCGATAAAAACGGGAAACTTTCAAAAGATGAACATGCAGAAGATCTTGAGCTTTGTATCTTTGATATTTTCGGGACAAATTACTGGTATATACATACAGAGAATTTGACTCTGGATAACAATATAACTAAGTGTAACTTAGATTATCATGTAATCATGGTAATCAAGACTACATTTGCTTATGAAAAACCATCCTCACAAATCCACACACCGTCAAATTTTAGCTTATGGTCAGTTAGTTATCATCAGACAAATAATGATGTCGAAGTTTGCTTAAATAAAGCCATACTAACAGAGCACGATATTAAAGTATTCTTCGCTTACAAGCACAGAATAAACTGCTACTGCAAAATAATAAAAAGCAAATGTTTTTTTATTCAAACCCAATGTATTACCTTTGACTGATATAACACACCTCATCTCCAAAAAAGGTCAAACAAGTGTGACCTTGGATCCCGAAAACTCAATATATCCAATAACAATTACATAAACCTCCAAATATGTCCAATAAGGTTAAATAACAATATTTAGCCTGAAACCCGTTTCGAGGGTATCACTTCGGGGTTTGATAAGCTTTTCAGATATGATCAGATAAAAGGAAATGAATTTTATCATGTGAAGAGACATAAGATTCGTATTGCACGCTTTTAGTGTTATTTAGGTTTTTAGAGTGTCTTTCCCCAGCTTTTGTCAGCTGAAGTTTTTGCTGATGCGTATTCATATGTGTGTATTTATATTCTGAAGTTACGTTTCCCAATCTACCTGACGTCTCGTTTCCTTGCGTTTAGCATAGAAACTTTAGGACCTTCAACGTTTCGTGATCAGATTATTTTATCTACGTCATAGTGGTTCTAACAGTCGACAAGTTCGAAAAGGTGGTCGGCCATTGTATTTATTACCTGGTAACGATGATAAACGATACGATGAATCCAAGAGACAGCCTTAAAGAATTTGTACCTATTTACTTTCAGCCAAAGACAAGCGATGCAACGAACCAACTTTACCATGATCTTCTATGAAATATACAGACTTCTCCTAGAAGAAACTCTGGAACATCTAATTATGATTATAAAGTTGCCGAGCGATTGCATACACCCGGTAATTTTAACAATAAGTGTAGGCATAACCTCCTATGATTTAATAATAATATGTGACAAAACCGCGAAAATATTTCACATCCTCTTCAAGAAGATTTGGGATGAGGAACAAGTACCATCAGATTGGAAAGAAAGATACCTCATCAAATACCAAAGAAAGGCGATCTCAGCAAGTGTGAGAACTACACAGGCATCACTCTTCTTTCAATACCAGACGAAGTCTTCAACAGGGTATTGTTATACAGAATTAAGGACTTCGTAGACGCCCAACTTCGAGATCAACAGGCTGGATTTCGTAAGGATCGATCGAGTACTGACCAAATCGCAACATTACGGACCATTGTGGAACAATCAATTGAATGGAACTCACCACTCTACATTAACTTCATCGACTACGAGAAAGCATTCGATAGCGTGGATAGGAAAACACTGTGGAGGCTTCTTCGACACTACGGTGTGCCTGAGAAGATAGTTAACATCACACGGAATTCTTATGATAGATTCAACTGCAAAATCGTACACGAAGGACAGCTAACAGACTCCTTTGAGGTGAAGACCGGTGTCAGGCAAGGTTGCTTACTCTCACCCTTTCTCTTTCTCCTGGTCATCGACTGGATTATGAAAACGTCAACAGCTGGAGGGAAGCACGGTATCAACTGGACAGTTGGGACGCAGCTGGACGATCTGGACTTCGCAGATGACTTGACTCTTCTATCGTACACGCAATAACAAATGCAAGAGAAGACGACCAGTGTAGCAGCAGCCTCTGCAGCAGTAGGTCTCAACATACATAAAGGAAAGAGCAAAATTCTCCGATGCAACACAACATGCACCAACAAATCACTCTTGATGGAGATGCCTTGGACGACGTTAACACCTTTGCAAAGATATAAGAGGAATGAACAAAAATTGGACAGAACTGGAAAGGGAAGCCCAGGACAGAGTTGGTTGGCGAAAACTGGTGGGCGGCCTATGCTCCATTGGGGGTAACAGGCGTAAGTAAGTATATGTGACAAGTGACATTATGTCACCATGATTGTCATGACCTCATCTGAGCGATCTGCCTATAGATTTGCCTTCAACTGAGGTATTGAGAGTGTCAAATCTTTATTAGTTTCTTCAATATGACTTTCATTTTTGAACTACATACATTGTCCACCAGAAATGAAAACTAGATGTGGTTTGAAAGATGGGAAGATAAAGATTCGGATTTAAATATAAAGGAAACTCCTAATGCTAGGGGTGGCAGCTCGAATACGTGAATTTTTACCGTCAGTAGGAATAGGGGGACTCGTCTGTCATTTTGTGACACTTGTTCAAGTGGTGATGAGGGTACAGTATATTCATAGTCTGCAATTATTTTGTGAAGTTAATCTTAATATTTGGGGGACTATAAAAGAGTGTCTCGAGATGTTGTAGGAGTTCTGGAAACATCTGATAAATCTCTTTAAGGTCTAGCAACAGTGTTACCAGTTCCTTGAACCTGGTGATTGTGCCACAGATATGGATAGAAATCGGCGATTAGTTTCACAATAAACTGTATCGTGTTAGAAAGAAATTACAAAGCAATGACTTTTTGTGGTTTGTCGTTGGTGGAGCGTTTACGTTGTTTCGCATTCCGTAACCAGGGTTGTGGTTGATACTTGAGTGGGATGCTTCAAACGAGTACTTACTTACTTACTAACTTACTCCTAACTGGAATCTGGTTTGTTCTCTCCCAGAGTAGGTTGTTGTTGATTATGTCTGGCCAACGAATCCAAAGTATTTTGCGTAGACAACTGTTCATAAACATTTGTATCTTCTGGATGATGGCTTTCGGAATTGTCCAAGTTTCCGCTCCGTACAGCAGAAATGTCTTGACATCTACATTGAAAATCCACTGGTTATCAGTCTTGTTGATTTAAAGCAATGGTTGTAATTTACTATTTGTTGGATTTCGTTTAAGAAAGGGACAAACCATCAATATAGTGGGTTAATGATTCCAAATGACTTTAGTCTGGGGAGAAACCTTTTATGTGGGACTTCGTCAAGAGCTTTCTTATAGTCGAAGAATAAGACTAATACTAGAAGCTCGCTTGTATTTTTTCGAATAATGTCATGTGTCGCATGACCTGGGTTTCAAAAACCCATCCTGTGAGGTGGATATGGGGTTGTTATTGAATATGTGTTGTATTAGAGCCCCCACTGCTTTCTCCGTCACCCTAGATACTACTAAGGTAATCATTATGGGTCGGTGATTTTCAATATTCGCTGTGGTCCTGATTCAGTTGTTAGTCTTCCCGTTATTAGGGTAACACTATGTAGTGAGTTATCTGGTAAATAGTTTTGGAAGCATAACATGCAGCTCATTAATCCCATTATTCAACATGCATGCAAGGATATCATCTGGTCCATCAATGCAATCGTATTTCGCCTAGAAATACTTTGTACACTGAAATCGACACTAATGATTTCACTGGAAGGCCGTATGGTCAGTTGTGATTCATTTATTGGATTTTTGTTTATTAACGATGCACAAAAATGTTCGCTAAACAGCTTAGCGATACTTTTAGTATGGAAATTTATTAAAGATATTACTAGTGTTGCGGTAAAATACATTTGTTAGTTCGTAGATATTGTTTATGGCAAACCAGCTAGTCCACTTAGTGCTTCTGAGGCAATTCCAGAAGTTTGACAATCGATCTAACTAACGTTCTCACGAAGTGTAGTGGATTTACATTTCATAGTTGTGGCTTCTATAACAAGACTGCATATGATGACATTACGATCACAACCTGGGAACATTTTTACATGGTGGAGAAAATTTGTAGCTCAGGTGGATGATTATGGTGGTGTTTGGTTCTCTGAGCTGGATGTTTTGGTTGTGAAGCTTTCATTGTTCTTCTGAGCAGCATCATCAGCACAAACTTCAGATAAAGTTAAGTATTCGAATTTCTCTACGTTTGACCTGTAGCTTGTTCTGCTAACCTGGATCTTGATTAATTGCTGTTGACTTTAAACCTATCGTTGTTTGAACCTTTATTTTGATTGTGATTTTGATCTGTTTCTTGGTCCTATGTCACCTATGATTTTCCTGGTTGGTTGATAAATTGGGTCAAGGTCGATGTGTTTGTTGATTGCTGATTGACCTGAGTGCCAAGCTTCCGAAAATTCTCTCGTGTTCTTTGTACTATCCCACCCAGTATTTCCACATTGTTCCAGTCTTGGGTTGTTGCTACCGTAGTTGAGAATTATATCTGTGTAGGTTGGCTTCCGAAATACTTGAGTTTCCAGTTTTCCTGTGTCAGTTCCGGTTATTATACAGGAATGATCGATTGTTGTTTGATTCCTTTTCCATCGTGAATTTGATATCATTGAAAGAATGAGATTTCTGGTGAAAACCGAATTCAATATATTGTGATGTCTGGATGAACCGTCATCATTTTGAGTCCACTCTGCAAGCTCTAAGCATTCAGTTAGTGATTTAAATCTTTTAGGTTATTTGCTTAGGAACCAAAAGCTTTCAGCCATGTTTAAGTCCCCACAAATGGCCTTGCTTGTAAATGGTGGGGATGGAGCGAATTTGAATATTTCTGACAACATTGCTAAATTCCCTATTGGTGCGTTATGCTGACGGTAAAAATAGCCTAACAGTAAAGAAACTGCATTTGAAGGTTTCAGAACTATTCACACAGAATCTTAAAGTGTGTTTTGTTTCGATATATCACATAAGAACGAGTTTAGTCTAGAATGGGCATATATGAGGCATCCTCCATCTCATCCTTGAAACCTACCATTTCGAAATAGATAATAGTTTTCAAGCGATATATCAAGATCGGAAATATTACCGGTAGTCCATGCCTCAGTTATCATTATGAGTGATGGTTATCAAACAGTTGCGAACATCACTGAAGCTGTCGGACGAGAGTTGATAAGCTATTTATTAAACAAATGTCCCGGTTAGCTAAAATAATTAGGATTATCTTGACTGACGGAGTTACTATGACCTTATTGGATGTATTAAGAGCTTAAAGCCAGAGAACCTTTGCTCGCCTGTGCTTTTTGTTGGTGACATAGGTTGGGAGAGGACATATTAAATAAGTTATTAAAGCTTCCAGGAAGATTTTTTAGCCAAGGCGAAAAATAGAGAAGGATTTCATTTTTAGATTATGTTGTTGAGTGATTTTATATTCTGCATAGTGTGAAAAGACTTCAGCTATATGTCGCGCCAGATCTTCAAAAATTTATAGTTTCATGTATATCATTTGCTTACATAAGAAACAAAGAATGGACCTAATACTCCCGAATTGGTGAATCACACCTTCGTAATCGTTTTATTTTGGGTTTTCAGATCTTGCTAACTACTTCTCCCATCACCTTTACGG